TTTTTTATTTTAATGAAGAATGATTTATAATAAGAATAAAAAATGTAAAGGGTTATTCAATTTCATGTACGCAAATGTATCAAATAAACCATCTCTGGCAAAGGAACTGTATGGTACAGAATAATAATAATAATAATAAAAGTAAAGATTGACAAAGAGATGGCGTTATTTTAATATGAATTATATTTGTCACAATTTTACAATACACATGATAACCTCACACAAACTTCGTTCCGCGTGTACAAAAAAATAACAAAGATATTTGAAATTCGTTTCAAACGAAGAAAAAGAGAACCCGCAGAATGGTTGGCTACGAAATCAGAAAACTAGAAGATAAGGTTTGATTCAAATTACTTAATACTTATCTAGATAACTCATGGAATCATGAATAATCTATTTTCAGGGAAGAGCATTGTTTGCAACTGTCGATTTTAAGGAAGGTGACACGATATTGGATGAAGTACCTTTGGTTTCGAGTCAATTTTCATGGAATGCTGCTTGCAAATATTTGGCATGTGAATATTGTCTAAAGTATGTAAATTTGTGGAACAATTTTCATTAAGTCAAGTCCTGGCTGAATACTTACTCACTGCAATATATGTATGATCTCTTTTCTTGAAACAGACCTCTGGAGACTGCTGAAGAAAATTTTAATCGCTTGAGTGGACACAAAGGCTCCGAAACTATTACTTTGCCATATGCTGATTATGGCTGCCGCCTCGACAAACAAAACCAAACAAAATGTCAGGACTGTTCAACCCGTTATTGTTCGCAAGAATGTTTGAAGTATGTTTTTTTTCTTAAATTTTTTTATTTCTTTATGTGAAAATAAATTTCAATTCGGTGGATCACATAAAATCATTCGGGTTCAGGTTTTGTTTGAAAAACCGCGAAAACCGTTTGTCTGAAGTCTGAAGTAATCATGAAACTTCGTTTTTTGTGGTTATATTGATAATATTTGCTTACCATGAGTTTGTTTTCTTCTCTCGTCTTTAGTATTGCGAACGAAAGATACCATCGTTTCTTGTGTTTGGCGTCAGATTACGATAATCCAACTCATCCACTGAATGTTCTTAATGAAGTTTGGAAGTAAGACATATGAAAATACTCTTTATAAAAATTTTATAATATTTTTATTACAGGAAAATTCACTATCCTCCTGAGACAACCACCATACTATTGATTGTCAAATTGATTGCAATGTACAAACAAAGCGAAGATAAAGAAGCACTTTTCAACGCAATTCAAGAATTTCAACACGAATTCATCAATGAAAATCTGATGATAACACACAAAATGTTGGGCGAAAAGCATCAACACAATCTTGATGAACTATTTGCTGTATTCGAAGATTCAATTGATTTTACTGGAATTGAAATGTTTCGGAATCTAGACTGTTTCAAGCGACTTTTTGCATTGATTGGTATTAATGGACAAGGAATCGGAACTTCTTCATTTGCGGATTGGGCACAGTGCGTATCAGGGCTATCTCTTGAAGAAGATGAACGAATGGCCATCACAGACTTGATTGATAGCTGTTATGCACAACTAGAAGAAGGTATAATTTCCATTATCCGCGGAATTCAATTATGGGTAACAAATAATAATATTACAACAATAACACAGGTACTGGTCTGGAATGGTTGAACATTGAAGGATCGGCACTCTATTCGATTGGAAGCAAAGGTGGTTTATTTGTTATAAATATCATATTAATATATTTACAATATTCTTTTATCTTCTCCACACTCTACTTCAAAGCAAATCACAGCTGCGTTCCAAATGCTCAAACATCATTCCCGCATTCAAATCACAATCTTCATTTAAAAGCGATCCGTGACATTCAGTGTGGTAATTTATTTCATTCTTTTCCAACCAAACCTTTTACCATCGACAAACGATGGGAAATTCTCATTTTCATACTGTGATGGTAAAAAAGGTTGAAAATCCCCCAACGCAAGTTCTAATTTAAAGTTCTCTTAAATTTCTTTAAAAGGTGAAGAGATTTGCATCTCATATTTGGATGATTGTTTTCTTTCACGATCACGACATTCACGGCGGAAAGAACTGCGCGAGAACTATCTATTTATGTGTACGTGCCAAAAATGTGAAGCGCAAAAGGATGACGAGGATGTTACATCAGATGAAGAAATGGATGATGATGATGAAGAAATGGATTAAAAAATGCATTAAATTATAATGTGGAAAGAAAAATTTATTCGTTCAATTCAATACCACTGTAAAAGAGAAAAAAATCATAAATAAATCAGTGCTTATGCAACAGTTGCTGCATCATCCAGCATTGGTTTCAAATTGATTAGATTGTTGCTGCTCTCCACCAGTTCAGTGAGTGACACACGGCCACGTTGCCGAATGAATTTGCTCACATCGTGCAGCTCCTTCGTTGAAATATATATAAATTTTCCTTGGTCGTCGATGACCCCAGATAGAATACCATCATTTTGTAAGTGAGTTATGCGATCGATGACGGCTTGTGTTTTCAATTTAAATTGATTAGCGAGTGATTCGAGTATGACAACCTTATGCAATTGAATAAAAGATATGAATGTGTTGAGTAAGGCTTCTTCTTCGTCTTCGTCACACTCATCAAAACCCTCCTCTTCGATTTGGAAGCTAGCTTTCATTTTAAGATATTCTTCGTGCTCTTTGCGTGCCTTCTCCTCTTGTTCTGATCGTTCCAATTCCTCACGCTTCTTCTCAGCGATCTGTTCCGCTTCTTCGGCTTTCTTTCGTTCTGCCGCTGCTAGTTCATCGCGTTTCTTCTTTTCCTATTTACATATATAAAGAAATGGAGTTGCATTAGAAATATTAAAGTCACTGAAACCATGCGATTGAAATCTGTTACAAATTTTACCTCTCTTGCAATCATTTCGGCTTCTCTTTGTTGACGTTTTTCTGCTTTTGCTTCTAATTTGGCTCTTTTTTTTGCGCCCATCTTCTCTCGATTGGGCTCACCACCATCACTGTCCTCTTCACCTTCTTGTGATGCGACAGGCTGGGGTGCATTTCGGCGTTGATTTCGAGCTATTTGAGCACGTCGTGGTATATCTGAGTCAACGACGTGGTTGATCCGTCGGGATGGCCCTGCACCTGTGATAATACATTCATATTGGTGATAATACAATTTGGGAAAGAAGAAACAACGGCTTACTTTCATTTTTTGATTCTGAAGTCTTGCGTGTGAATAGAAGAATGCAAACTAATATAACAAGCAGAGCAGAAGCGATTCCAAGTAATAATATTAAATCCATTTTAAAGAATACTACTATGTTCAATTTAACACGTAACAAACATTCACTCCGTATAAACGTCAAACTATTAGCTTGACATTTAAATGTCACAAAATACATTAATGTCACAAAATATTGAAGCAAAATAATTCCTTTATTTTATTTTAAAATTTTTTTAATCAAATTTTATTCATTCATTAAAACTATGACAGATTTACAGAATTTTCATTTGATCATTACGAAATGATATTGTCACCGTCACGAGTTTACTCAACAAAAACTGGCAAAGCATGTGTGTTCCAATAGTCATCCCAACGCACACTTTGAAAATTGAAAAGCCGCTCGTTGAATTCCTCCTTTTCCTTCACGCTGTTGTATGGATAGTCGTAAAACCATGTCAACAAATGTTGTGATAGTTCCAAATAAGTCTCGAACACAAAGCCATTTTTTCCATGTTCTACAAGTTCGCCGATACTATGTCATATATAAACAACATTTTATACATGAAAGTACTATTGAAAGTTGAAAGCAAGCTATTAAAATACCATTTATATTTAACAGCACAGACGGGAAGTGCGCAGCCAAACATGTCCACCACTTTCATCGGAAGATCAAATCCACTGGAGCTGTAGTGTAAACACACGCCTAAATCGGCTGATGCCAAACACAAGGGATAATCTTCAATGGTCAACCAGGGTGTGACAATTGTTACATTTTTGTAGTTTCTCTTTGCAATATGGTTCATGTAATACGATTTTTGCGGACCTTTACCAGTAATTATGCAGAAAAGGTGCGGATAATGTGAGCGTTCCTCTTTTGCAACGTTCTCGTAACCTAAACACAAACTCATTCGTAAAAATTCTATTATTTTTTGACACCATAAATGAAGTGTATACTCACGATCTAAAGCTTTCAATAGAATTGAAAAATCTTCGTCTGGAGTCCAACTGGTACTCGAAACTAGAATTGCAGGCCGATCGATGCGTAATTGCACTGTACCATTTGAATCTTTGTAAGTGAACCGAGTAGCTTGGAATTCATCTGAATTTATGCGGACCGGTAAAAATTCGTGATAGTCATTAGCAAGCCTGTAGAATAAATCGTGTTTTTGCTCGAGACCAATAGATTGAAATTGTGATGCTGGACGATCATAGAGAACTGTTGCTCTGTTGGATGAACAATAGGAAAAAAATTTAGGAAAAAAAGGAGAGAAAAAAATTAGAGAAAAATAAATTGTTTATCAACATACTGTATGTCCCAGTTTTCTCGAAGATCTTTTTGCATCATTTTGGTGACACAGAAATTGCCGGAACTTTTTCGCCCGAAATATTGTTCAAACCACTTTGCCAATTTTACCATGCGTCTTTGTGGATTTCTATTGATTGTTGACAAAGCCTCAGGATTTTCATTAATTGTTGGAAATGTGTCGCTGGCCAGACTGAGGATTGTATATGTATAGTTATGCCAATCAATAATGAACTTGCAATGTTTGAACAGCAAACAATACATGTAGCACACGAAAAGTGTTGGTATTCCAGGCGGATTTTGACATAGAATTGTATCGGGTCGGCGAATATTAAATAGTGCAATAAATAAACTCAACGTTTGCCATATCGATTTGAAAATATATTTCAACATTTTTGGCAAATTGAGTTCGGGAAATGCGACCAGTTGCTGAATGTTACATTTCGCATTTTGACGAATTTCGGCGATTGGTTCAGTGTCACCATATCCAATGAGATCAACATTAAAATCATGCTGTAACAAACTTTTCACATGGTATTGCATCCGAGGTGATCGTCCAATATCGCCCAACACAATGACACAAATATTTCGTTTACCATTCGGAATGCGGCTGTTTTTTACCTTTGATGATGATGACATTCTTGTTGCATTCACTTTGTTATCATCTACTGTTTCTTCTTCTTGTTTATTATTGTTCCAATTTTCAATCTTCGACTGATTGTTCTTGTTTTTTCGTAAGCCACGTTCGTAAGCCAAAAATCGCAATCATTCAGAAAACAATTAAAAAAGACGAAACCAAGTTGCGTTGAAAAATTTGTGTTTCGGTGACAGTATTGTGGAAATGTCATAAACGTCATCTCTGTGTAATAAACGTCATCTGTTATAAGGCCTGAACAATTATTGAAATTCAATTAATTATAAGGTTTTATTTTTTTTTTGAATTTTTCGGATACAATGTAGAAAAAATGATAATTCTTAGGTGTATTATAATCAACATTGATATAAAGTAATCATTGACTTTTTGACATGGAGTCAGTCAATCGCGATTGATTTTTAACATCGCTTCACGAATGTTATACTTTTTTATGTATTTCTGTATGAGGCCAAGGCTTAATGTCGAAGTGAAAGACGTCATTTCGGATGGTTTTGGTGGTTTCGATGTATCTTCAAGCGGTTTGATGGCCGGTCCACCTTCATGGTCCTTCACAAATGCAATGCAGCCATCACGAAACAAAAAGGACACTTGAAATGTGTTATCAAAAGTGTACATCATGTTGGTAGGATCGATGACCTGCAAATGATAAATAAATAACTTTTTACCCAGACTAATAAGATGAGTAGTAATTACTAGTTACTACTGACCAGTTGGAAGTATGGAATTGGTTTTGAGCCATTCTTTCGGTATATCTGGAAGAAAAAAAAGAACCGAACATAGAAGAGAGTGTATAGCGTATAGCGTATATGAGAGAGTTAATCTAGCTTACTTCTTTGATTGTATTGAAAACGATTTCAACTTTCGAACTGCCCGTTTCTGTGTTGACACCAGCTTCAGTCACAGTAGTTGGTCGTTTTTCGGCAGTCGGATTAGCTGCTTTACGACGTACACGACGTTCTTTCTGCGCTGCCTGCGATGCCCCGGCAACGTCATCAAAATCAAAAATCCCGAACGTTGAAGACGTTGCAGCAAATGATTTAGCAAATCCAGCGGTAATTCCATCCAACTTGGACCAATCGCAAATGTTGTGTTCATCCAGAACACTTTCAATCTAATGAAGAAGAAAAAGTGGATACAAAGATTATTTTCCGGGGAAAACACCCGTATATTTTTTCTTCACATTGTTAGCTAAAACCCGAAACAGATGTTATGTATGAGTAAGACCAATTTCAAGGATTTTGTATTGTGGAAAAAGTGCTCGATTGGCAATTGTTGTGTATAACAATTTTTCAACTTCTCACAGTTATTACATTCGTTTTTTTCTTCTTTTGTTATTTTCTCATTGGATATAAAAGTATAAACGGCTTTATAATTACCAATGCAGCTGCGAAGTTATCGTCAGAAAATTCATCATTTTCTATTTTTTGTACAGTTGTACCCATAAGATCGCTGGCCAACTTACAAACCTATCGAAACCAAATGAGATATTATCCATAAAGACCATTTGAACGAAAAATACCAATATTCCAACCTGTGCATCCAACACAACCTCAGCGGATTGTCCAATTCGATCGGAAAGTGACCCTTGTCCAGCCAATTCATTCGATCTGGTCAACAAATCTTTCAATGTTGTCAAATTGTCCGCAACCGATTTATTATCCACATTTTCAGCAGCTTGACCGCCTAATTCTAGTAAATGTTTATACTCTCTCTTGCGAACGGCACTTTGAAGCAGAGATGAGTTCAAATCACTTTCACCAGACATTTTTTCCGAAATTGGCTTTATTCAAACGTATAACTTTTCAATTCGTCTTGATCAATTTCTTGCCGATACAAAAAAGGATGACTAGCAGTCATTTAGTTCACCCGGTTGGCCGGCAGATGGCTGCTTGTCGTAATATATGTTCATATGTCTCAGATGTCAAATCACTTGTCTAATGAGAAAAATGGCACAAAAGACGAGACTATGAAGAAAGCATTCAGTGCAAACTCATCTGGATTCAATAATTATTCTTTTAAATAAATTGTTGAATCAAAATCGAGAAAATAGAAACCAAATTACAACACATCAATATGGATCAATTGTCTCGGAACGATATAATCGCAGTTTTTGTGCGTGTTGGTATTGGGGCGGCCGTAGCCTTTTATTCGCTAAAATGGTTTATGAATCAAATGGACCCGACCATTCAAAGTAAGAAAAGAGCACGGACAAAGGCAGAATTCCAAATAAAACGGATTACGGAAACAGACAAAAGTCTTAAAATCGATATATCCACATTATCTGATTATGAACTGGTAAAATAATGAACGCAGATTTTTCTGATTAAATGATGTGGTGTAATTTAATTTGTTTTGTTCTGTTTTATTTTATTTTGTATGACAGGTAATTGCATCGCATTTGGTTGTGCCTGAAGGTATTCAATATTTAATCTACTCACTATTTATTGAAATTGGTAACTTCTAATGAATATATTCACTGTAAATAAATAAAGACATCAACGTCAGCTGGGCAGATATAGCAGGTTTAGATTCCGTAATACAAGAGCTTCGGGAAAATGTCGTATTGCCAATTCGTCATCGACATTTGTATTCATCATCACAGCTGTGGAAAGCGCCCAGCGGTGTACTTCTACATGGCCCGCCGGTATGTTTTCCTAACTAATTTTTAAAGAAAAACTAGAACAAAATCTCATTTAATCAAAGAATGGATCACTGATTCAATCAATAGGGATGTGGCAAGACGTTGATTGCAAAGGCAACCGCAAAGGAGGCTGACATGCGTTTCATTAATCTCGACATTGCAATGCTCACCGATAAATGGTATGGTGAATCTCAAAAACTGGCATCAGCTGTATTTTCATTGGCTACAAAATTACAGCCATGCATCATTTTTATCGACGAAATCGATTCATTTTTGCGTTCACGAAGTTCACATGACCATGAAGCAACTGCTATGATGAAGGTATTTTTGGTATCTATTAATAAACAAAATCTTCTAGTTTTAAAAAATACTGCCAATGTTAATAATAATATATACAATTTATTATTTCAAAGACTCAATTTATGATGCTATGGGATGGATTGGCAACAACACCAGGAGCAACTATTATCGTCATGGGCGCAACGAATCGTCCAAAAGATTTGGATCGTGCGATTCTACGTCGAATGCCTGCGCAATTTGTCATTGGTGCACCCGACACAGAACAACGTCGAAAAATTTTACAACTTGTGCTTGAAACAGAAAGTGTAGCTTCAGATGTTGACTTGAATCGACTGGCCAAACTTGCTGTCAACTTTTCGGGATCTGATTTACGGGAATTGTGTAGAAATGCATCCGTTGCGAGATTGCGAGAGTTCGTTCGGGTTAATGATGGTACAACCTCAGACGCACGCCTTGAAAATACTACCAAATTGGACAGGCCACCACCACCAATATCAATGCAACATTTACTAGATTCATTCGGCAAGATGAAGGAATCAAAGATGCACACCGGAATGCTGGGAGAGCATCGTATTGATTTAGATTAGGGAGATTAGTAGTGAATGTAATACATATATGTATAATCTAGTTCAATAAATATCGAATGAGAAGAGCCTCCAATAACGAGTACGAAAAAAAAACAAATGGCTTTGTTCGATGAAAAAAAAACTGATGTTTTCAAATCAACTTGTGGCTTTTTTTTACATTAAATTTTCATCGATCTGATATTTTCGTTATAAATAGTTTCGTTCATTATTTTGCATAGGATTGAATTGAGTTTCCATTATCGTTTCTCTTCGGTCATTTTAGATACGGTTCCTATGGATTTGGTCGCAATGTCATTTTGGTTCAGTCAAAATGCTATTCTGAGCAGTGAATGTCGTCGCAAAGCTTTTCTCACAAATAACGTTCTCGAGCGTATTCTGTTGGTTTGTCAGACGCTTCTGGTAAGCTGAGCACAATCAGTACTAAGCACAAAAGATTTGGAATCTTGACTCCAATTCACGATAATGTACCAAATTTTCATTCTTATTGCATCTCCCAACTTAATCCTCTTCTCTCGTTCATTAGGAGGAAAAGTTCATTTTTTGTAAGCAATGCCGACAAAAGATAGCAAAATTCGATAGCCTATTTCCGATGAGCAAAGAAGGCGTTAGGACAAACTTCTGTAATTCGTGTAAACCATTGGATTTATTTCTCATTTGGTTTGAAGTGAACCAATCAATGATGGAAGTATTTCAGCAAAAATTTGAAGCCACGATCATTTCTTGGTCTGTCCGGAAATAACATCTTCTTTGATAATGCAAGCAACTTGCAAATGGACAGTGCATCAACAAATGTGGCGGATTCAAGTGCTGATGACGAATGGTGAATCAACGATGATCACACAATTTCATATATATACAGATCATATTTTATTTCGAGTAAAGATCACAATTATAGTGGCTATTTATTAATCATATAATATAGGACAAGCAAAGCATGAACTACAAATTGTGAACCAATTTATTTACACATTTTATTGAGATTGAGTGTTTTATGCCGTTGGTAGAATAAAGATGATACGACTGATTTTGCGAAAAGGGTTTGCTCGTTGGTTTCATTCATCTAGTAGATCATTGAACGCAGTTGATAGTTTCTGCAACGGAAAAGGGGAAAAAACACAAATAAAAATGTATGCATTATTATGCTTAGTATGTAATCGAAATAAGAAACTGTTACAGTGCCAACCTCTTTACAGGACGGACATCGACCTGACGTCAGGTTCAGAAATACTTTTGTATCACGAAGTGTGGCGAACCATTCCTTCAAACAGGCCGTATGATAGTTCAATGCACACTTGTCATTATCACAAGACACCATCGGAATTTGCCCAGCAAAACGATACGTATAGCAGATGCTGCACAATTCACCCATTCCACCGTGGTTGAACGAACTCTTTAGAGGGAATGCTATTAAGTCTGTAAAAATGTGACATTTTTACCAATGATTAAAGAAAAACTTGACTTTGTCATTCATCCACTTACCGAAAATCCGCAGGAGATTTCTGTAAATATCATCGTTCACGATCCAATCATCGAGTTTTTCATGGTAAATCTTTCGATACTCTTCCACTTTCTTCGTTGGCCCATAGAATGTTGTGGTTACTGACGACGGATCAAGGGGATCTACTTTGATTTTCATGTACACTCGATCTTCTATGGAAATGAAATCAACAAAAATGTTTAGCTACAACATTTTTCATATGGATGGTTTTTCAAGGTACCCAGTTTAATAACTCGATGATTGTGTTTGGTTGTGATTTCCTCTGGATCAACCACGTACGTCAACTCATCGATAGTGTTCATTTGTGCATAAAACTCGGCCATTTGATCGAGCAAACTAAGGAATGTCGCCGAATGTGTTTCAATTGTTCCAACCGGCTTGAAATACTTTTCATTCTCTGGTAGACTGTGCGATAGAATGGATACATTCAGTTTGTCATCCAGCTGCAGAGTCAAGTGATGTGAATCATAATCTTCAGCCGGAACAATTTTGATTTGTTGACAATCTGAACTTATGTACACCTTACAACGCTCACTGAAAATGTAGAAAAATGTATGTTCAATATCAAATGCAATTGCATACAATTTTTCACTTACTTTGATTGAGCCTCATGCAAGAGACTCGTGACAATAGCATCACTATTTTGTGATATCTTTGCAGTTATCCTTTTTTCCAACGCAAAACTGTCCATCATTTCAAATTCATCTGTTTTGTTTACTCTGTAAAAGACATTAGCTCAGTAGCGCATGAGTTCATCGTTTGCCAATAGGGGTTTTTGTTTATGTTCAACGATCTGTCAAAACTGATAAAGGTGCTCGGATCGGTTATTATTTGAACCTTATGAGATAGTTGAATGGATGAATATAAAATGAAATATTTCTTTTTAGCTAACTTTGATACATTTTTTTTATTTTAATGAAGAATGATTTATAACGTGAATAAAAAAGGTAAAGGGTTATTCAATTTCATGTACGCAAACATTGTGTTTTACCATCATAGGATAACCATTCATTAGGCAACACATCAGTATTTCCGAAGCAAGTGAAAAGACCCCAACCGAAGAGCTTAGATTGACACATATTCATTCAATTCCTGTGTAAGACTGTATTCATTGCCTCTTACTCATCTTGAACAACACAACACAACAGTGATTTTCGTTTGTAAAGACACCATTTCTTCTAAATTTTTGTTAAATCTAAAAAAGCAAAAGACATCAAACTCAATAAATTTCATCAAATTGAAATTGCGGAGAAACATTGTAATCGGAGATAAACAAACATAAAGTAAATAAAACAGAATTAAAATTAATTCTTTTTTTTTCATTTGTTTGGCATGTGCACCACAAAGATTGAAAAAAAATCGGCTGAAACTTACTGCAAATGTTGTGTCGCTTCGTATGAAATCGTCACGTATTTTTCAATATAGAGTTCAAAGAATTAATCGTGATTCATTTTTCTATTTTCATGTAAAAGTCACCATGGTTAGAGCTGAGTATGTCGACTTCTCCGGAAACAGAACGTGACCATCGCGCCTGTGGAAGACTCTGTCGTGATGTCGCCCAAAATGCTCTGACTGCAAACGATTGCCCGTCAGGCCACTCTCCTAGCTCTTCTCCAAATATTTCCACTTCAAGACAACCAGTTGTTGCCAATGATCACACAAACCGAGAAAACTCTCTTCAACTTAATTCCACTGCAAGCGTTCCTGGTACTACAAATGATAAAATAGTACAAATAATTACACTTGTTTCAGACCTCGGTGAAGAGATTGCAACACTGAAAAAGCTCGAAGATGCGTTGGAAAAACAACGTGTGGATCTCGAAAGTACTATGGACGCTAAGATTGAAGAAGCGTTGAAAAAACAACGTGTTGAATACGAAAAGAAGAAAGACAAAATGCAACGAAAGTGCGACAAATGTCAAACCGTACATGATGAGGATGTGAAGATGTTATGTACTTCAAAATGTACTCGTATTTTGGTCGCTGATTTGCTATAGAAGACCGACAAAACGAGAAATGAAGAAATCGACGGTGAACTTCAAGCGCTACCAACTGGGGCATAATTGATGTTGATAGTATCATATGAACAGTATTTTTAAGACAGACTTTTTTTTACCTCACATAAAGTTCTTATTATTCTCTCAACTTAAACGATATTTGAATAGATGAAAATGAAATGAAAGTAAATTGGTTAGCTAATTTTGAAATATGACATTTAAAGGTGAATAAATACTTTTTTTATATCTGAACAAACTACGAAAAATAACGTTTTTACTCTATGGAAAAAATTAGCTGGATGTGCTAACATTGAATACTTTCTTAAGTTAATTTTCAGAGTTTAGAATGTGATTATCATAGTTCAGGTACTTGACGCACTCGCAATCTATACAGAGGACACCTGAAGTAGAATATACCGACCGATTGACGTATTGATTTCATGCAGTGAATTTTGAATTCATGTACACAAACAACGCACTCATTTGTCCAATATTTTCACACGAGAACTTTTAAAATGACCACAAATCAAGAATTTCCTCAAAAAATCACGTTTGCCTGATTTCCGTTTTAAATTGAAGAGCGAGTTACAATTACCTTAGATGTCGAGGGGATATTATTAGTTACCATGTAATTACACTGTTCATAGAGCATTAAAATGCCGGTGAATGCAGCGCAAAGGCTAGTTCAACTCACGGAAAGGTGTAATGAGAATGCACGAGAGAAACAAGGACTCGAACAGTTGTGAATGAGGGGGAGAGATCAAACAACAAAACCACAGACAACAAAAATGACATTCAAGCTGCTTATTAACTTCCTCACGTCACGCATCATTGCCCACTGAGAATCGCTGCAACTTTATTCTACATGTGAAATGCACACAAATACAGAAGAATTAAATAAATTAACGAATGCGATGTTCGAATTGTATTTTTTATTTTCAGCAATATCTTATGCTTATGAAGTTGCAAATGTGCACTTATGGAAAAATATAATGAGTTAGAAAATGAAAATAGATAAGCGGCTCAAACTTCATTTGATGATGGTGTGTTCGCGATAACTTGTTCCACAAGTTCATTGAGATAATTGTGTTAATTTGGAATTGGACGCGTTGTCGCTCACAAATCCTCGCGTTTTTTTTCTTTTCCAGTCGTTTCATCTTTTTCATCTTCTTCAGGCTTCCCTTTTTGCTCATCTGCTTGGGCCTTTTCTTTTTCTTCATCTTCTTCAGCATTTTCTGCGCCTTCTTCTTTGTCTTTGTCGTCATCCTCATCGTTTTCAGCCGATTCTTCCTTTCCAACCTGTTCCGCCTTTTGGCCTGTTTCTCCTTTTTTTGTTTCCAACCAATCTTGGTATTGTTCCTCTAAATATGGGAACAAAGCTTCCATGCATGCCCAGGAAGTCCATTCGTGTTTGGTGTGACCGGCGGAAAAACATGGAATGTCCGATGACCGTGTATTCAATTCTGTATCCAGTGGCGCATTGGATGTCACATAGTTCCGAGCATGCTGAAAAATTGTAAAATATTTTATTAAAACCCATGTTTTCTCAAAAATTATTCATGTGTCCTACCTCGTTGAACCATTCGAACATTCTTCTTGATAGTGATCCGGCATAGTGCACTGAGTCGGTGAAACCGATGGCGAAGCATTTTTCCAAGAAGGCATTCGGGTAATTTCTGGCCATTCTCAATGTAACAACACCGCCATAACTGTGTGCAACAACGGCAAATGATTCGATGCTATCGTAAACTGGCTCAATCAACTGTTCCCAAACGGAGATGATGTGTTCTTCAGGCGATTCATTTCCTTCCAACCGGATCCGCTTAGGGCCTTCGATGCGCGAATTATGATTCGTATTGGTGACCAAGACATCATACCCCAATTCAATGGCACGTTTGATGTATGGAATTTGTGTACCATGATCGGTTGACTGATTGATTATCAAACTGCGCGACCATTGACCAGCTCGAACAACACCCGAACCATGGATCAAAAATAGCAACTTCTTTGTGTTGGCGAAATCGGTTTTTGTGCCGAATACAAAACTTGACTTTGGCGTTTCGGGAGAGGGCACCCAGATTTTGTGCAAACCAATATCCAACAGCATTTGATACACATGCTCGGTTAGTACTTCACCAAGTGCCTCGTAATGTGCTTGATTTTTACTTGAGTCAGAACTAACTTCAAATTTGAACGGATCATCAGTTATTGAACCGTCCGTCGGATCGATTTGCCGCAATTGACCGACATCTTAAATTAACAAAGGTTAAAAACCAACAATGAGTAGTTTTTCGTGATTAATTTTCAATTGTTTGTTCTCTATTTGCTATCTTACCGTTGAAACCATAACCGAATCCCTCTAGTGTTGTCGGAAATTCGGATGACATTGTGGTGCTAGCTCTTTGACCAATGACGCGCGATAAACGGTGACTGTACAGTGAAAAAACTATATATAAAATAGAAAAAATTGACATAATCCCGATAGAAATTAGTACTTTTCCCTTTTTTCGGCAGTTGTAATCGTTTTATATGATAATAAGAGATTTCCAACGAATCGTTTATGATTATCTATAATTTGGTCGATTGGAATGTTCAGTATGAAAAATGTTTACCTTGTCGCGATGCACTAAAACACTTGAAGAGTTTCGTTGAAAACATTACCCGGCCCGCTATTTATTTTTACACGCAAAATCATTTGACACTTTGACAGCTGAATGTCAAACTGAGCGGCTGCGATGTTAGAAACGATAGGGACAAAAAAAATTGCGGATTTTTTCTCAAGAATCTGTCTTTTAAATCGAATTTTCTGAAAATGATGGCATTTCGTGAATCGTAATGATTTTATCTATTCAATAGTTTGACTCTTTGTGAAATATAGCATTTAATTGCGAACGATTGAAAATCCAAATTCTTGTACTAAAACTGTGTGTTGACAACTATCAAGTGAAGTTTATAACACGTACACAAATGTATTTTCGGTGCAAAAATATTTCCTTAAATTCTGATTCATTTCGTTTGCTCTTTTTTATATAAAAAAGAACACATATGTTTGAGTGACTAAAAAGGTAAACATACATTTCTCCAATAACAAAGATGATTTATCACGAATGAAAGTGAGAATTGCACTGTTTCAAAGACATTGCTTGCATTTTCTGTTCTAATCCAAAGAATTCAGCTGTGAATTTAACCCATTCTCATTGTGATCCGACTGAAAGTGATGATAATGCATGTTGTGTAATGCATAATTATGTGTTGGTTCTGCATGTAGAGTAACTTTCTTTTCAATTAAATAATCATCAAAGAAGAACGATTCAAACATTCATTGGATTGGCGCATGGCCACTAGCTCCATCTAATGAGAACAAATGGATGATTGATGCCGCGGAAAACCGTGCATTCAAATCTAATTGTAAAGAGATATGTATTTGCGCGCGCATGTGTCAAGTATCTAAATGAGAAAATATTTGTGAAATTCTTGTGATGTTGACAGTGAGAGAGCATGAAATCTAGTAAACATTCGATTTACACATATATATGTATAACAATTTTTTCTCTTATCACGGGTTGTGTTTAAAATCGTGTTTTGTTTATATTTATTTTTATTTGTTTTGAGTTGACATTCACGTGTTTATTGTAATTTAGGGTTCAAATGTGATTTTCATAGATGTTTTTGGATAAAAAAGTTTCCACAAGGAAAAAGTGCGTTAGAAGACATTGACGTGTAAGTAAAAAATGACCTGATTTTATATTGGCCTATTAAGAAGAATAAAACTACAAAACATATAAGCCCACAATAACCCATAAAACCAGATAGTGTTGACATCGACGAAGGCTCTGCAAATAGTTCTGATATCAAAAATTAAAATAAAAAAAAAGAACGCACCGAGTCGCGTACACAGTCGATGATGACTCGTTTATTTAACTGATTCTGCATTGCACAATCTAATTCGACACGTTTTCTTTGTCATGATAAGACTGGTGTGCACACTTGCAATTTGTGTGTACACTTGAACTTGATTTTCATTTTATACAATAAAATGAAACGGAGAATTAACGCGAACGTTGCCTTTTCGTTACAGTTTGACGGCGAAAAAAATCCCATCTTATCGAAATCGTATCATGTATTGATTTCTAATCAAAATGCTTGTGTTGTGCGAATCCCGTTGATTTGGCAAAAATATTTTATCGTCTAAAACAATTGACTGGAAATTGAATTCCTATCGCCGTTGTCTTGCCACTTCAACGACAATATATCATCGAGATAGGATTTGTGATAATTTTTTTTCCGCTTGTCGTCATTAGAAAGGCAAACGGATGTATATTTAGAAATGATTCTGACAAGCTGCTCTGTTCATATACATTGTTTATCGTGAGCGCCACGTATATATATAAATGAACTACTCGATAGCTGTCGTAATAAATTTTGTTACATATATGTGCGTATAATGCAGGGACAGCACAGAATTCACTAGAAAAGAAAAAAAATAGTTGGATTTGTCTTTGACTAATTGCGCCGCATGGGATTCACATCAAGCCTTTAATTGAGCGAACGGGAGAAATGCGATGCTAGGCGTCAGTTGACTTGAACTTGTGTTGCTTCTTCGATGCGACTCCTTCAATCGGTTTTTCCAACACGTTTTTGAGGGCAGCCGGGTGGCGATGGCGACAACGGTACCAGTGACGGCGGCATCTTTTTAGTTTTCATTTTTTGAACGCAAATTACATTCAACATTTTCCATCACTTTCATTTGCGTTGACCGTCGCAGTTTCTAATGCCATCCAAGCTAATTGTGATGATCTTATGAACTATGCATGATTAGTGATCACACAATTTCTCGGCTAGTCTTTTTTCCTAATCAAAGTCTCAAAGTTTGTTTACTTGATTGAAATGGTGTATTTCCGTTTCGCATGAATAAAAAATTGTTAACAGTTTGGATTTTGCGCCGAAGAAAAAACAAACGATGAAAAAGGCATCAGAAAAAAACACAGACAGATCTGAGTGAAGTGGTAAGAATTTGACAGTTTCAATTTCGAAATATGATTCATCTGCGCAGCAATCAAATGATATTGGAAATGTGCATCAATTTGCATTGATTACACACTTCGAACGATGCATACTGATTGCACTGAGAACAGTGTAATAATGTCATTTGATTGGGTTCCGTTCTGATTTGCATTGCTTTGCATTGCTTTGCTTTGCCGTAACATCTGGAACGTTATACAATTGATATGATCGTCATGATGAACGCATAAAAACTACTGAATCGTTAAGATTTCAATGGATTTGTCGTCAATAAACTAACGAAAAAAAGGCGGCGAATCAAAATCCGCAGAATTTTGTGTTTAGTAAACAGTGTTTACGTTTATGCCACGGTCTTCTCTCTTTTTCTCAGTTCGTTCTCGCAGAGATGAAAGCGCCAGTAAGCAGTATCGTGCGTATGAAGCATCGTATGTTGATTAGCGGCGATTATTTTTCCTCTTATTTACGGCATAACATGACCCGTGCGGCTGTCACGCTTGTGTGACAAATTCCCACAAAAAGTAATGCCGATAACGATTGTAAAAGAGACGAGAAAAAAGAGCACAGCACACACATGTACAAAGAGAGAAACGTAGAATCGAAAGACAGAAAAAAAAGTGTCGCAGCACTTGGTGTGTGTGATTGTTTCAGTTGTTTATTGTGTATACAGCGAGAGCAGTGGCTTTTCAATAAAACTCACCAACCGTTCTGTCACCAGATGCATTAGCAACGTGATATTTTAAGCGTCAACTTCGCTCTTACTCTCCGGTACTTTGTGTTCGTTATAAATTTCGTGAGCTTTTCACAGTGGAAACAAGTTCAACAAGTAACAAGTAACGCGTATTCAAATTAGTTTTTTCGGTGTTCCGTGAAGCAAGCAAGCAAACACATACATTACATTCACACGAATCTCGAATAACCCAGCACCAAAAGCAATACACACGCCGATTTTTTTTTACTCTCATTCTTCTGAGCAAAAATTGCATTGAATACAACACTAAAAAAAACACATCCAACGACGACTACAAGTGCAATCGTAACTGTGTTTACCTCTTCTGTTTTGCCATTAAGTATACATTCGTTCGTGTGCTAGCTCCGCGCGCCCGCTACACTTTTCATTTTATCTGCTGCGACTGAGTTTGTGTGAGTAACGTGATTTTGACTGTTTTAACACATCGAGAGCCAACAACAAGTTAGAGTGGTTTTCTAGTTTCTTGTACCGCCGTCAACATTATTGTTATATCGGTTGTTATAGTGTCAACACGTCTTGGTCTTAGCTATTCGGTTGGTTTCGATTTTCAGACTGTGTCGTCTCACATCATTGTTTTTTTTTCTTTTCTGTTCATTTCCACCTGAATAAATACAACACAAATTTTACGTTCAGTGTCTTGACATGTTTCTTGACCGAAAATTTTCCATTCATAGAGAATAAAATAATAAAATACATCGACAATTTTTAAAGGTTTTCAAGAAATATATCGTTCATTTTTTTTCCTTTTTTTTGCTCTCACTTTCTTATCCAGTTGATTGTTGTTGTACCATTCAACATCCGCACTATTTTCTGGCCGTCGTCAACCTGATCACAAACCGTACGAATTTATCAATCTAGTTATTTACGACTACACAAATCAATTCAACAAAATGCCTGAATTACTTTACTTTGGAGGAATCGAAGGGTATGTACATTTTTTTTGTTTCCATACTGTACAAATATAGATTTAGCAAATCTATACCGAGAGATAGACAGAGAGCATATTGTTGTGCGTGTTGTTGTTAGGCTGAATGCCAAAATGAAAACAATTACCACCTCATTATTCCGAATGGGGCGCCATAAAAGCCGATAAAACGTTAATCTAGTGACATGGAATTATCTGTGCGGTGTAATGAAACTCATTTAATATATTCGCTCAAATTTGGCCTCAGATTGAACGATATATCGTCACAAACAATATCAACCAAAATGAAAAAAATTTGCAATGCAGTTACAATAAATTCGTTGTGCAAACGAATTCTTTTTTCATTCTGCACACAGTTATTTTATCATTTCAAACCCGTTAAAATGATGGACGAAGCTCTGTTTCGAGCTTATAATTCAGGCATTTCTTTCATTGTGCAATTGAAGTCAATTCACTTTTATTGAAATATCTTTCAAGCTGTCAACCAAAAATATACGTCCAAATTTACGCTTCAAGTCACATGAGCTATTTGGTTCAAGCCTTCCATTGGTGGTGCATGTATGCACACATATGTGGTAGTAGTATATTCAAAGAAACTGGCCATAAAACCAATTGAGTCTAAATTGATTGTGGACTGTAAAGAAAGAGACATTCCGAAATCAAAACATTTTCAGCGTTACAATTTACTTGACACCAAATTCACAACAAGAGAAAAAAAAAGTCATCGTGCACGTTTGTTTGTCTCGAAGCAAAACTTAGACATAAAATAGTGATCGCGATGCCATGGCAGCCAACCAGTTCGACCAAAAGGAATTTGCATTTTTAAGCAAGATTATCACTAGCACTAAAAAAAACCATTATAGACAAAATACCAAAGAAAAAGAAGAAGCGATAAACGTGCATAAATTAACCAAATTACGTAAACATACAATGTCAAAATGTAAATACAACAAACTCGGCGACATTTGGACAAAACATGTCCAAGCGTGCATTAACTGTTTGGTTTTGCCCCAAATAAGAAGACGCCTGTTTGTTTGTGGTTCGTTCGCTTGGTCTCGTGTGTGCGCGCGCGAGCGCTCTCGCCGAGACAGAGATAAAAAGAGAAGTGACGGGTCAACGTTCCATATTTGGGCTATTCCATCACCCGCAGGAAGTTATCTCTCGCTCACTCGAGACATAAAAGTCGATTAAAAATTGAAGCGCAATTCTCCAATTTTTACAAATGTATAAACAAATGCCTATGTCTCCATGCCACTATTAATAGAGCAACGCTTCAATAGAAAGTATCTTGAATATATGTATACCCACGCGCACCCAACTCAATACACACGATCGACGAATCCAAACGTGCGCATGGGCACACACCTAGCCACTCAACCGTCTGTGTTGCAAAAAAAGTGTATAAAAGAAACTGGTTTCTGATTTTAAACCTTTTTTTACTTCTTTCATTAACCGTCAATTGCACGTCACGTTATTTTATTATTTTCATTGGTGCAGCAGCAGGAGTGGATTTTTTTAAACTGCTTTTCGTTCGCACACAACCATTCACTGTTTATTTTATAAGTAAACGGAGGTCAAATATTAGTTCTGATTTGCCGTCGTTTTCGTGTGTAATACCGATCGATTAATTATCAGTCTAACGTCAATCAATGCATTGAACGTTAAACAAGTGTTTGGTTAATATCTCTCATAATTGCGCACTGCACGCGCATATGGCGCATTTTATTTCGTTCAGTATCGAATTCCATTCATTCTACGTTTGTACGCGTTTGAAAGCAAATTAGAGTGGAAATCGCTGCGACGATGAACTGGTGTTTGAATTGGCTCAACAAGCCCTCCGAATAAATTGTATTTACCAAAGACAGATTAAATTACATGTATTGACGCCGTTTGCAACAGATATTCTGTTGCGATAAAGCTGTTTGTTACTTCTTACCTATCAACTCTTTTCATCGGAACTTTTTTTCTTCTCTGAATCAATATTTGTTGAAAGCTTTACATACATATTCAAACTATATCCTTCACATTTTACATTTGTATCACTTTATTTTCGCATCTGCTGAACAAAATAATGTCGCGTTTTGATAAACTTTGACTTGATTGTTTTTCTTCTGGTTCGTAACTGATACGACGACCAAATGGGGCAAATTTTGTTGACATATTATTTTTTTTGTTCATATTGTTGATTAAAGAAACCGCAAAATTATTCTAAAAAAAAAATTCCAAAAATTCTAAGAAGATCTATCCGAAAGACACTAATATTTTGAAGGTGATCCTTTGAAATCGAATCGCATCCAAAGTTCACTGATAATCATTCAATTCTCGTATGATTCGTTGTGTGGTGACTGTTTGCGCGACAAAAGTCGGAAAAAAACCCAGCGTCCACAAAAAAATTATTTAATCATGCTCAAGTGAAATTATTATGCGAATTCAGGATGCGTAGCTATTACGTTGCAATTGAATGCTGCTGATAGCGAAAAACATTGACTTACTAGTTATAAAAGGTCATTGCTATGCATGAATCAAAAAACGAGACTAGGGAAATCAATTCAATAAAAATGACAAGTGAGAGGAGACGAAAAAGACGCTGAAATCAGTCACAAGCGATAAAGAAAAATGGACTTATGGGTTAATGTTGGCAGTTAACTTTTTGATTCATTCCGTTTGTAATGAGGAACTGAAGCTGTTGGCCCGAACGTAATGGAATTTCACATAAAATGAATGTGAAAGCATGTGGTCATCAATTTGTCGACTCAAATGCAGCATCAAATGAATGCGATAATGTACATTAGTTTTCAATCTATTGCCGGCTATTACATTTGTTAATTGGGGTCAATATGTTATTCGTCTAGTCTCTCGGTTATATTTTTTTTCCATAAATTGGAAATGGCGATTAATTAAAATGCATTTCTACTTGATAAAAATGAAAAGTGTAAAAAATTGTGTCATTAATCTGAGGTATTTTTCTGTTTCCATTTTACAGTGGTGCAACTCACTCAAAAGCCGTGATATGCGACCGATTTGGATCGATTATTTCAAAAGTGGCTGGACCAAGTACAAATCATTGGGTTTGCGGTATTCCAGAAGTAGCACGCCGTATTGCTGATATGATTGAATCGGCAAAAAAACAAGCCAACATCGATATTGACCTAAAACTTCAATCACTTGGCTTGAGCTTGAGCGGTTGCGAACAGGTAAGATAGAACTTCAGCATCTGTCAAAAATATATTTTTGGAGAAAATTCAACTAATTCATGAGATTTTCATTAACAGGATGCCACAAACAAAGTCTTGGAAAATGAACTATTGGACAAGTATCCAAATCTGTCAAAGTCATACTATGTGTGCAGCGATACGATGGGCAGCATCTTCACTGCATCGCCACTCGGCGGAATGGTTCTCATCGCTGGAACTGGCTCAAATGCATTGCTTCGTAATCCTGATGGTTCCACCTATACTTGCGGTGGCTGGGGAGCCTTTTTGGCTGACGAAGGAGCAGGTAAGATCACCATTCAATCACTTCGTTCATGAAGAAAAATCAATCAGAATGCCAGAATTAAGCGTTTTCTTTCCTATCTACAGCATTCCGTATTGCTCACAAAGCCGTCAAAACTGTGTTCGATCACGAAGATAAACTCATCTTAAGCCCATACGATACATCGGCCACATGGGAACAAATTAAGAAGCACTTCAACATTGAAACCCGTTACGATCTACTCGACCACTGTTATGCCAAATTCGATAAAGCCTTTTTTGCCAGTATGTGTGAGAAGCTGTCACATTTGGCCAGTGCCGGAGATGAGCTCTGTTTGCATCTGTTCGAAGACGCTGGTATTTCCTTGGCCAAAGCTACAATGGCATTGTTACCAAATGTCAGTGATCAACTCTTGACCAAAAACAACTTGAACATCGTTTGTGTTGGCTCCGTTTGGAAGAGTTGGACCTTATTGCAGAATGGATTCAAAACTGAAATTGCTAAGGCAACCAACAAATTTGGATTGAACTTGATCACACTAACTCAGGCAATGGCAATTGGAGCTGCTTACCTTGCAGCTGATTCCATCAATTACGATCTGCCACGAGACTATTCACACAACTACAACATTTTCCAACACATCCCACCAAATGATGGCAGCAAGACTAATGGTACACACACTAATGGAACATATACCAATGGCAACGGTGTAGCAGCCAAGAAAATCCAAACCAACGGCAATGGCAGCTTGTCGAATGGAAAATACACAAATGGCACATCGAATGGCACTTCAAACGGCACTACTAACGGAACTAGCAATGGATCTACTTATGGAAAGTCAAACGGAACATCCAATGGAATGAGTAATGGAGCCTCAAATGGTGGCACCCCAAATGGAAAATACACAAACGGAATTCAAGCAAAGAAAGGACTTAAAACCAGAGCCAATGCATCACCAAGTACAATCCTTGTTCAAGATGGATAGACACCACTTGCAAAGGAGAGAGATTACGAGAAATTGAACCATTTTAACAATTTGTAAATGTCGAAAGCTACTTTTTTGTCTTTTTTTTAAAACTACTGAATTTTATTGTACATTGAGATATGAGATTTAGATTTTAAGATGGAAATTTATCGTTGGATGTTGCACATCGATCGCCTGTATATTTTAAGAATCTTTTTTTTTTATAAACACTTTAGATTTTACAATTTACTTGAGTTTTAGTTAAGTATTGCGAAGATCGGATTTTCTGAAAAATTGTAAACTGAATCATTCAAAATAAATGCGATTAAAGTCAAGCCAATCGGGTTTTTATTTATTTATTCTTTCTTTCATTCGGATCAGAAAAAAAATCTTTTGTATTGCTTTGAGCGATTAATTTTGTTTAAAAACAGGTTCAAGTGGCAGTTGCAATGTGATAAAACTAAAATATAGGTCTAAAACATGGATGGACGAATTTTAATCGTCCATTTCTTCTGGAACAATCATGATTTCCAGTTTTTGTGTACCCCGATACACGGTCATGTTCAAGGCTTTCCCTTTTTCTGATAGAAACGAATAAATGTCTGACGTGTTATGAACTTCTTTGCCATTTATTTTTGTCACTATATCTCCTGGGCTCAATCCGCCACTATGAAAAAAAAAACAAGAAAAAAATTCATTGAGAAAATTGATAACTAGCTCGGCTTTGAATAATTTACTTATACGCTGGCGAACCAATTATAACCTTCCAAATCAACACGCCACTTTTAACATCCACAGGCACTGTATGGCTACGTTGCCTCAACTCAGTCAAAATGTCATCAGTTAGTGTGAGCATTGTGATACCTAAAATAAAAAATCAAACAATTGGCGTAACATCGGAAGGGTGAACAAAAATTGTTGAATGAAAGCTATACCCATATAACGCCGAGCTGGTGGTGGCTTGAACTTTTTATTATCGCGCAATTGTTGACCTTAGATTATGGACGAGACACAAAAAATTAAGTTTTACGACAGTTAGATAGGAGAATTGAGAATCAAGGACTCGGACCATAAAATCATAACAATTTTTGTTTTGTCAGAGCACTAACTACTTTGTTCTGGTCCTACAGTATTTCTGCAGATTTTTGGTGAATAGTATTTACTAAATATTTACTCACTCTTTTCGAGAAAATCACGAACATAATCGATCGGAATGGCAAAGCTAATTCCTGCCGTTACTTTCATACTGTTTATTCCAATCGCTTCGCCGTCGAGATTGATTAGCGGACCGCCTGAATTGCCAAATGTGATAGCTGCATCGGTTTGAATATAGTTGATGTTTTTGCCTGGAATAAACCAAGAAAAAAATTAACTTTCGATGATAACTTTACGATGATAGCCCGAGGAAAAAATCTTTTCTTCTTTTCCCTATTTTGTTCGTCTAATCCATTTTAAGTTTCATTTTTCCTCTTTAATATGGCCAGTACAACGAAACTCACCTCTTAAACCAAGTTCCTGTGAAGCGCGCTGTGTTGAGCTTACAACGCCAGCTGTAACGGTGTTATTCAATGCCAATGGGCTGCCCAATGCGACAACCCATTCACCGGATCGCAAATCCGACGAACTTCCCAATTTTATTGTGGGCAATTTCTTACAATCAATTTGTACCGTAGCCAAATCGGAGACGGGATCTACGGTTTCAACTCGACCGATGAATTTACGGCCATCCTGTAATCGCACCTGGACAAATGTATGAGGTTTATTGATAACAACGTGCGCATTCGTTAAAATCAATCCATTATCTTCGACTATAAAACCTGATCCATTGCTGGCTGTCACTGGTTCACGAGAGAAATAATCCAAGTGTCTCTTGTCTTTAATTTCGATAAAAACCACCGCAGGTGCTGCCTTTTCAACGATATCAGCAAAGAAATTGAATCGGCTGCGGTTCGACGCCTCGTTTGTGGTTGGCACAGCCGCATTTACTGATGGACTCAATGAAAACGCAAGTGGATTTTTGTCGTCATCATTTTTGTTTAAGTATTTGTACGCTAGAAAACCGGCAAACAATGCAACGCCTGAGATTGCAACCGGTTTCACCCAATTGCGGTGGATTACATCATCCGAACGCTTCTCTTGAGATGAACTTGAGGTAGATTCAACAATTTGATTGCTCAAAAAACGCACTGAGTTTGGTAAACATTTCGTTTGATACGAATTTTGAAATAAAATCCTCTGACCAAAATTCCATACTTGATATTTGACATTCAACGCTTTGAATCGTACAAACATTTCTCTAACTAGTACCTTTCTCTTTTTTCAACCAATTGATGCCAAACTATGTGCCAATGTTTTGTTTTGGGGGAAAAAAATATTCACCGCAATCTAATGTTCATCATCTGGTGGAAGTAAACTAAAATTATCACCTTCACCTTCTAACATTGAATTGAATGTTAAAAAAAACTATTATTTTCTTCTTTTTGGTTATTTATCAACAAATGAAAGTTGAGTCACAATAACAGTGGTTATTCGTTTGACGGTCGCAGCTGATTGTCAAAAGTCGATACGAGCGAAGCCTAGCGGCAAAAATACTTGTCACTGTCTGTCTTTTTCAATACACTGTGTGTTATCCACGAGCGCGTGTTCAGCTCATAGCAACACGAATTTCGAAAAAACACAAATTTTACGGAATTTTTTAATGTAAAAGTGCATTTTTCATCATGGGGAAATTGAATGTCACCATTTTACGTTATTTAACGAAGGAAGACTTTCGTGTCTTGACTGCCGTAAGTAGAAGTTGTCATTACAGTGTGGTGTTTTGGATATTGTTTTGCTATATGTGTCATAGATGTTATAACATGAATGTTTTCTTTCGTCTTCTTTGGAATAGATCGAAATGGGCATGAAAAATCACGAGCTGGTGCCAGCAAGTTTGGCTGCATCCATTGCCAATCTCAAAGCGGGCGGAGTCCATAAATTGCTACGGGAATTATGCAAACACAAATTGTTGTCGTACGAACGTGGTCGTAAATGTAAGTTCCACTACAATCTGTGCGCTGTTGGAGTTCACTGAAACGGAAAATGTGCAGAAATATTGAGATGATCTAATCAAATTCAATCTCTTTTAGACGATGGCTACCGCTTGACCAACACAGGCTACGACTACTTAGCATTGAAGTCACTCACTTTGCGTGATTCAGTTGCTTCATTCGGCAACCAAATTGGTGTTGGAAAAGAATCAAACATCTACATAGTTTCCGATGAAGAAGGCAATCCATTATGTTTGAAATTGCATCGATTGGGTCGAACGTGCTTCCGAAACATCAAAGAAAAACGAGACTACCATGGTCGACGACACAAGGCATCTTGGTTATATCTGTCGAGAATCTCTGCTACACGTGAATTTGCCTACATGAAAGCATTATACGATCGAGGCTTTCCAATACCAAAACCGATTGATTTCAATCGACACTGTGTCATCATGGAACTGGTCAACGGATACACATTGTAAGTTCATTCCGGAATGACCAAAATGGCTATTTTATTATTGACTCTAATTTGTTTCCACACAGAACACAAATCAACGAAGTGGAAGACGTTGAAGCACTCTACAACGATTTGATGAACTTAATCGTGAGCCTCGGAAATGCCGGCGTCATTCACGGTGATTTCAATGAGTTCAACATTATGGTTACACAAGATGCGAAACCAATTTTGATTGATTTCCCACAAATGGTATCGACATCACATCAAAACGCTAGAATGTGAGTTGACGCATTTAGTCGATTTGGTGCTTAACAGCATAACAATGACAAAAACAATAGTCATTTTCAGTGGTCAATCTTCGATTTCTTCATTTTCAATACTTTTTTTTCTCAATTCCAACAGGTTCTTCGAACGTGATGTAAACGGTGTTCGTGAATATTTCCGCAGGCGATTCGGCTACGAGTGTGCCGGTTATCCAACATTCGATGAGCTAGAACGTGATGATAATTTGGATATTGAAGTTGCTTGCAGCGGTTTTACGAAGCAAATGGAAAAAGATTTGCTACAAGAATATGGTATGGAATCAGTCAGCGATGATGATGACGGTTCGAGCGATGATGAGGATCATTCAGATGCAGAAACAGAGAATAATGAGGAAGAGTTAGATCGATTGCGGCAACAGGTCGATGCCGAAGTAAAATTTTCTGAAGAGCGAGCTGGCGAACGGGATACATCAAAAGCGTTAAATTTCAATATTCAAAATTATATATCGTCGCTTGTACAGGCAGACAATGCCGAAGAAGAATTCGAAGATGCCCTCGAAGACATTCACTCAGAAATTCCATTGCCAAAACCAATCATTAAAACACAACCAACTGAACTTGAATCAGTTAAAATCAGTTCAAATGATGTTGAAAAAGCCATAGATTTAGTGTCCAATGTCCATATTAGCGATAGCAACAGTGTCGATGGCAACGTCTCATCGGGTGGTGAAGATGACGACGAATTAGCCGATTTAGATCCAAAATCTCGGGAATATCGCTTCAAAATGGTCGAAAAACTTCTGTCAGACGCTCGTAGTCATCGATCGTATTCAACATCGGCCAGCACAATCGCGCCCAGCGTTGTTTCCGATCGCATCAAGAAAACATTGCATGTCAAAGAGAAACGAGACGAACGCAAACGTTGCGTTGCAAAGGGTGAAGCCAGCGCAGTCACACGAATTCGCAAAGAAAATCGCGACACATGCAAACAGTACGCTGGCTGGGACTTTTAATTTCTCTGGAGAAATTCTGTAAATGTTTTTAAGAATATGAAGAATAAAATTTTATGCAAAAGTTTTTGGATTAATTTCAGAGAGATTTTTTTATTGTTAGGATTTTTATAATTTAATTATTACTTGAATTACAAATTGAAAAATGATTCCCATACAATTTTTTATAACCAGTGAAACACTACTCAATCGGAATACCTAGCCACCAATCCTAATGACTTCGAAATGGCACACTGAGGCAACCCATTGTGTTTAGTATGCATTAAGATTGGTCAATGGTCATCCTCATCACTGTAACCACTTTCATCCTCGAATTTAGAGTCAATTTCATCAATATCATGCAAACAATCATTTTCCACCAAAATCTTAAACACTAAATATTCCAATTCGGTATTATTCGCCAATACAACTTCGAAAAAATCCAGATATGGTGATAGTTTTTCGGAAAAATCATCGGCCACCTTAGCGTCGTTGCTTTTCAGCGATTCTATTGTTGTCTCCATATCACCGCTCGATAACAAATCAAGTATTTTATCATTATTGCCATCGAATACAGCACCAAAATTTCCATCGTTACAATCAGCATCACCCATATTCTGTAATAATTTATAATTTGACCCGTTGTATTCGAAGCAAATTACCGTTGCATCAGGTAAAATTTCTTGACGCCATTCGTAGAATTCGTCTTTATGGTGTTGCGGTAAGTTCGGGAAGTTTATATCAATCGGTTCGGTCTGCTTAGATTTTACAATATACGTATACCCGTCGTTATTTATTATTTCTCTGAATTTATCACCACTTGGTCGTTTCATTGTTCTTTTTTTTTTCAAATGAAAATCAAAAGCAAAGTGAAAATTGAATGATCAAATGTTCTAGAATAGTGCGTTTGGTGTGTGAAATACTCCTTTTTTATATTACTTCAACAATTTAGCATTTTGATATTTAATTGTCAGTCATTATATCTCCATGTGTTGCCCGATGGCATTAGTAGTTCTCCATGTATTGCCGTCTTGACGATTTAAATTCATTTTTGTGCATCGCGTCTGTCGAAGTTGATTTACTCATATAGAAATGCACATTGAAAGTTGGTAGCATTGCATTAAACTGTGTGCTTGTATGCACCATTTTATTGTGATTGTCCCGTGATAGGTTTTTTTGGTATAAAAAAAAACTAAACAATTTTGTTTCAAAAGTCAAGTTAACAACAAGTTGGGTGAAAATCACAGTCATCATTATTCCATTGTAGTTTCAATTGATAACTATTTCGTTTTCGATCCATTTTCTTCGCCATTTCTTATTTTTCATTGAATGTCATTCAAAACAACAGCGAAAAAAAAGATGAATGAAATGGCGGCCACCAACTATTGTCGTGCTTATCGTGGGCCAAAGGCTGAAAGTCGTCTAATTGGTTCTACTTCCATTCTGAGTGCGGTCTTTGATGCCATCGATCAGAATATATTCAACTGTAATTTGGACGGTGTGAAATTGGAATGGTGTGAAACATTGAAATCACGAGCGGCTGTCACCTACCAACAAAACACATTCGCCAACAAGCAAGTGTACATTCGATGCAGCAAACCGTATCTGAAGGACTACCGACGAAAGCAATTCATGGAAGTCATTCTGGTAAGAGCACGCCACAGTAATTAGACACATTTGGTCAGAATTGGGCAATTGATGTTTGTTCTACATTCTTTGCAGTATGAAATGCTTTGTTTGTACATGAATATCTCAACGGTTGACAAAATGCCAGACGGTCTGCAAATGCATTTGCTGAAAGGTGCGATTGATTACTTGAATCATTGCTTCGAAACCGATCTCAAGATCAACAATAACTACGGCAAAGACAACAACACTTCGGATGTGAAGGAAATTTTGAACTATGTGGCCGCCGAGCGTAGAGTTGGCGATAAGAAACCATTGATTGATGGCTTCAAGGCAACACCAGGCATGCAAATTTTAACCAGAAAATTGTTTGGCAACAGTGAAGATTTTGAGTGCAAACAAAACTGCGGACTTTGCTATTGCGAACCAGCAATCAAATTTCGACAACACTTCAACGGTGTAAACATCTATGCCATTTATCCCGTTAGAGAAGATGTGAAATGCTTACTCTGCGAAAAAGAGGTGGCACGCGGCTCAATGGAAGATCATCTCGACTGCGATTGCTTTGTCTTTAAGCCATTAGGTGCTCCGAATTTTGTTGTTGAACTTAGCGGATTTGAAACTTTTAGAATTTAATTTTACACGTCTTGTCACCGTGTCAGCATATCATTCAAGTGATTACATGCTAGAAACAAATTTGTTCATTCTCTTTATACACAAATGTAAAACAGAATGGCACGAATTACTCTTAAATTCCCTTTTAAATTTTAATTAATCTTCTTTTGTTATAACAGATAAGTTATACGGGATTATATCCTAATTATTAAAACACTGCTTTAAAAGCAGTGAGATTATTGTCACTAGCTCATTTAGAAAAATATTAAATCTAGTTATGTGAACGCCTTTAACAAATTTGTAGTTTTTTTAAGAACTGTGGAACAAGTTTCCAAATATCAAATAGATTTTTCAATAAAGTCATTGGAACTAATATCAACGACATCAAAATTGTGTTTATTTGTATGTTATTGACCCGTTTATGATGAACCATCCCTCGTGTAAAAGAAATTTTGTTTGGAATTTAAAAAAACTTGATTTGTGTGAAACTATGCGTTATGGCTATGTTCAAGTTATTTATTGCTCCGAAATTCCACAAAAGAATGAATTGGTAGGAAGTCTCGTGAATTTAATTCCTAATGTATGGTAATGTCTTGAACTAATCTAAATATATTTCAATATCAGCATTTGAAAAAGTAGATTTCAGTCAGAGGCTTATAGTTAACTAAAGTGGATAAATTGTCGATGAAAAAATTATTCAAAATTTCTGAAGGTTTAGAATCGTTTTGAAGTGAGCGATGACACGGTCGTACAAGTCTTCTTCTTTGGCAGCAATAACACAGTCATGATTGCCACGTAGATAGAAAACTTTGCACTCTTGTTGATGGTTGGGAATATCGATGACATTGTATTTAAGTTTTAGAGCAGCACATGTCAGGTCAACCTGGTTTTTGCTGGTGCCATGGGTAGCAGATGAATTGTCCATCAAAATCTGTTCAGCTTCATTGCGATCCTTTTTTGGCAGCTGAAGAAAATAGTTTTGTCGATCGCTTACTCGTGGCGTCCATAGTTTTTTTCGCGACTTTATGAGTTCTCTAAATGTGAGCAATGGTTCGGCATCAATAGTACCCGTTTGCTTCTGTTCTTCACTTTGTTTAGCATCAATGGTGGCGATTTGTATTCGTTCTTCGTTTTGTTCAAAATTCTGAACGACGTCAATCACTGCACGAATAGCAATTTGTTTAGCCCCACTTTTCTTTGAAGCGACACCGGTACGTTTGATACTTGCCATTTGGCACACGTAAGTAAACATCGGCACATGGGGCTGACCATAAGATTGCATTAGTTCAAATCTAAAAAAAGGAAACTTCAGTGTGAAAATCCATTGGAAATTTGAATCAATCTTAATAAATCATACGTCGGAAATGGCCAATTGCGCTGCACGCAGATGTTACGTAGAGCCATAACGGCATCAGTATCGAATGTTGGTCGCGGTGTTACGGGTAACTTTTGAAAATTCTGTTTGAATCGATCCAGACTTGCCAGTTGAGCTGCAATCGAAATCGTATGTTGCGAAATAATGAAAACAATTGCAAATTCATTTTCTAAATTCAAACCTAAAAAAAACTTCAGGTTTTTATTCGTATTTCTAAAAGTAATTACCAATCAGTTCTGCGCAAGCTTCATGTCGGGCTACTTTTTTCGATCGACCCGATCCGATGGCAGACAAATCGAATGCAGTTGCAACGCAAGAGAACATTTTGGGATCGGTGGCATGTGGCACATTTTCATCAAACATCAAAATCTCCTCGTTTTGCATACAAAATTCATGCAATGTAGCGATCGGTGTTTTTTCTGACGAACTCAATTGTTGTGGCATAACTTATTCTTCTGTCTTGAATTGTTTTTGAAATGAATAAATAAATCTATAAATTTGTAAAAAAGAAGACGTTAAAATGAAACGTTTCGCAAATTCGCTGATGATCAATGAATTTTGCAATATAAACACAGTGATTCAACGTCAGATTCTGTCACTGTAAGGCACTCACAGTTAAACGTCAAAACGAACCAAGATTGAAAACAACACATTATATAACAATGTTTACATTCATGATATTTTTCCATCTATATTTGAAAAAATTGTAATGAATAGAAGTGAACCAGAATAAGAAGTTGCATGTATCAACCGTTTGCAATCAGCTTATTCAACACTCTTCAATATGCTAGTTAATATGGAATGACGATGCTTACTCCAATTGTAGTTGTTTTTCGTTGGTATTCATGCAGTTGGGTTTCATTTTATGAATAATAGTTACCTTGATATTGACACAATTTTGATTGAATTCAGAATTCCATTGTAAGATGCGAGACATGATAGACGATTCAATCGAAAACAACCAATAAATCTGTAGCCTAAAACATCGAAGTTGCACGGGAAATATTGCGAAAGAATGTGTTTTTGGACTAACATATATAGGAATAGGAACAACAGTTTGTAGAGACATCCTTTTCTCAATTATTTATTTCATTTAATCATTTTTGGTTTTACATCACGAGTAAGACTTTATCGGTTTAAGTATATTTTTTGTGTATGGACCTGTAATCTTAGAAAGTAAATATAAAGAATAATGAATACCGAATACTAAATCTATGATCGTTTAGATTGGTAGTTTTATGGCCAAAAGAAAAGAGAAACGATTTTGAGCTATCATTTCGTTAGAGAAGAATCCAAGCGGTTTTGCTCCATTTCCTTTGCATTCAGATTCAGGCGGAACAATCGGTTTTTTAATCTATTGTGGGATGTACTAAAACTAATACGGCATCGATTTGCGAACCAACCAAAAATCTATCTCTCCTTTTGCGCCATTGTGTTTCTTGGGTGGTTTCGGGCTTCTGAAAATGTAAATGGCCAACGATAAGGAATTAATTGATAACATTTCTAAAAACAAATGAGAAATGAAAAAGAGGGACGATGTTTGAAACTCACCAATAAAAAAATGTTGTAATTCACTTCTGTGCAATGACGAAATACAGCTTCGACACCTCATTCGCTATGTGATTCCGTTCCGACAGAGCTCCATCTTTATAAATTTCATAGTAGTAGTGATCTCTTATATCCTCTCTTTCCTTCTCTGTTGATGCAGCGTCAAGTTCCTCTTCACGTTTCTTGAACAGCTCGCTGACTGTATCATTTGCTTTGTCGTATTCCGCTGTTGCTTTGTTGTATCGTTCTATCAAATCTTGTAAGTTCATGTTCAACAATCCTTCACAGCTACCCAATGAAATATCCTGCCGCTCGTCTCCCCAACCGATAACAATGGATAAGTCATCATCCTCTTCATCATAAAAATAACGGTTCTGCAGATGATCATGGACATGTTCGGTTGAAACACGTTCAAAATCGATGAACGGATCGGCAAACGGGTCTTCAAAATCAGGATCGGGAAAATGTTTATGAACCTGCACGTAGAATTCATCACGAGCTCTTGAATCGAAAAACGAATCTTCTTCACGTGCCTTATATACTTCGTCAAATGTGTATGTGTATTTCTCTTTTATGCGTTCCATCAGTGCGTCGTCTTTGATTGCTTTAGCAACCCATTCGCGTTTGATTTCTTAGCCTTTGTTCAAAAAGTAAGCAACCAACTCCGACGTAATTTTATCATCGCCCAATGAATATGTCAAATAGTCTATTAATCCAGCAACATCTTCAACGCTCACTCCACCATTTTCCAATAAGTAGATTATTTGATCGAATGTAAAGGTGTAATCTTCATAATGACAGAGTGGATTTGCATGCTCAAATTTTTTCACAAATTTCAACAATTGTTCTTTTCCCATGCGTTTACCATAAGTATGAAAAATGATGTCGTAGTCAGGCTCGTAGTCAGGATCGGGTTGGTATTCATCAATTTTGTTTTTCAGCAAATAATTGAGCACAAGATCCTCGTCTCTTTCCTTCTGCTTGTTCTCCAATTCTTGTTTTTTGCGTTGTTCTTCTTCGTGCTTGATTTGGTGTTGGGCTCGAATCTCCTCGGTTAACACAATTTGGCCACATGTTTTGCATTGATGAACATTCCTCATATCATTCTTCAATTCATGTTTCTTCTGGAACTCACATTCACAATAGTAGCATTCGTGATGACGTTGCTCCTTTTTCAATTGTTTGTTGCTTATTTTCCATCCACGGTGTGCTGTAGGACGATGCTCCTTTCTCGATCGTTTGTTTTCGTTTCGCTCACAGCACCCCAATTTTCGTTTGCCGGAGAATTGTACTTCGTGTATTTCACGAATGGGGTCATCTAATTGTTCCTTCTTTTCAAATACGCACTGACAATGATCACATTCCACAGTTTTCTCTGGGAACAATTTTGGAATAGTTGGCTTCGAAATACTGGGATAGTTTTTATTAATTTCACAACAAGGCAACTTCGGCTTCATTTTGACAGCAAGTATTCAAACGTTTTTCTTTACTGCGTCATTTCGGTCTATATTCAAATGTCAAACATTCCAGTCACAGTCACACATACAACGAAATCACTCACTATTGGAAGAAGAATTGGCGCGCTCGTCGCTCATTCCAGTTTGACTGGAATAATACACAATATTATTCCAATAAGAGCGAATTTGAATATTGCCCATACGATAACAATCGTTCGTGTTTGTACGTTATTCGTACGACCACCAAAGTTGCATGGAAATTATTACAAAATTTATGCAACTTAGGATTACTTGAAGAAGTAACTGCTTTCTAAATCATTTATTTTGATTTTACTCACATAAATTAGCGAATAAACCTTCATTGGTTTTGATATGGTTTTTGTATACAGACTTGTGAATCTAAGAAAATAATCAAGACTATAGTCTTATTTATAATTTATAAATTAGAAAAAATAGTTTCAATTTTATTATTTGAAAATAGGTAAAACTATTTACATTTGCAATATGTATATAAATTTATCTAATGTATAATTTAAAATTGGAAGTTGTGGCTATTTTATTTCCCATACATTCGGTTAATATCCGCTTGATAACGATCTTGAATATCTTTCCGCTTAAGTTTGAATGCGGCTGTAACGAGACCCAAATCGGGTGTCCACACTTCTTTGCACAATTTTACAGCGGCTGGAACTTCGAACTTTTGCAATTTGCCTGCAAGAATGAAAAGAGACAAAAAAAAATCGTTGTTATAAGAGTTTTGTTCTTGATCTGTTAGTTTTTGATCTCTGCTATACTATTCCCAATGCTTACATTTACGTCCATGATCTTCTAATAACTTGACAACAGCTTTCTCCAGAGCCGGCAACGAGCACAGGTTTTCGAATGTATCTGAAATACCTAGCGATAGTGCTAGATCCTTCAAGTGTTTTTGGTTTGGCACAACTAATGCAATAACGAAATGTTTCGATGATTCTCCGTACACGCAAATGTTGTCGACAACTGGGCAAGTCTTCAATTCGGACTCAACTTTACCCAATGAAACGTATTCACCTGCCTGCAGTTTGACCAAATCTTTCTTACGATCTGGAATGAAAAATAACAACAAAGATTGAGCATGAGACGTAAGAGCAACTTAGGTTTGAAAAAAAAAAACATTAGACTCGAGCAAAGTTGTGTGATAATCTGCCCTTCTTGCTTCTAAGCGTTCAATACATACCGATAATTTTAAGCACACCATCTTCATGGAATTCTCCAATATCTCCGGTTTTGAACCACCTAAGTAAAAATGCAAAAAATTAATAAAGTATCAAATGATGTGAAACATGTGCCAAACTACCTTCTGCCATCTTCATCAAAGAACTCTTCAGCAGTTTTATCTTCAAGTTTGAAGTAACCTCGTGACACACAATCACCGCCAATGATTATTTCTCCTTGTGGATGTGGTTTGTTAGTAACACGATAGTTTCCTTCTTCCCACGAAACCAGACGAATATCACAGATTGTTGTTGGGGCTCCAACCCGTCCCAATGATAAATCCATAGCTGTTTCAATTAAATTGGAAGATTAACAAATTGTTGTTTTAAAATGTATATTTTAACTCACGATCCATGACAGTTGCTCCTGATGTTGTTTCCGTTAAGCCATAGCCTTGAACGACATCGGTGCACAGGCACAATTTGGCTTGTTCATGGGTTTCGGGCGATAATGGAGCGCCACCGGCCAACATCAATCGAACACGACCACCGACCATTTTTGAAATTTTACTAAACACAAATCTACGACAGAAAAAAATCATTCATTCCTTAAATTCATCAAATCCGCTTTGAATAAAATGAATTTGTTGAGTGACATATTTTCCCATGTAGCTTACTTGTTTAAAATTGGTGTTTCATAGCCTCTGCGTACCCATTTCTTCTTATAGTCATACGCAAATTTGAAGAATGCTTTTTGGAATGGCGTTCCTTTCTCAACTTGATCGTTGATTCCCTTGGTTATTCTGTCCAGAATGAGCTATCGAAAGAAAGGCGCAAATTAAATAACTGATCAAAATGGAAAACATTTGCAAATGAAACACTAACCGGCACAGTGGTCATCGCAGTTGGTTTTAATACTGATGCATCTCCTTTGGAACCCTGTTTAATTTTGCTGCTGATATCGGTGAGTGTAGTTGGTGTGGAATAACCAATTGGTACACCAGCTAAAAGACACAAACTCTCGGCAAGTAATTCAAGAACGTGAGCCAATGGCAAGAATCTGTAACAAAACAAGCCAAAAAAATTAATTGACGTTTTTTTTCTCCAAATAATTGAATCAGTTATTATTGGTCCTATTGAATTGATTAATTTCAATCATTTTCCATGTTCGTCCGCACTCACCCAAGAAGAACATCATCTGGATATACTTCCAAAGCATCTGAGAAGGCTTTAAGTGTTGCAATGCAATTTTTATGCGTTAGCAAAACTCCTTTGGGTGTTCCAGTCGATCCTGAGGTGTACATTATAATGGCAATGTCTTCGGCGCACGGTGGAGCAGCCACAGCACTGCTTGTGCTGCCTAACTTAATAACTTCATCGAATGGCAAAATACGAACACCCTCTTTGAATCCATCGGTTTTAGTTTCGTGCAATTGATCTTCCATATAAATGACCGATTGAACATTTGGCAGTTGTGGCAACAAAGATTTGAATTTTGGCAACAATTCATGGCTGGTAATAACAATGGTGGCGTCCGTTTCGTTGATACCATGAATGACACCCTCTTCGCCGAGCGTCGCATAAATGGTGACAATGGGGAAATTCTGTTTGAAGCATCCATGTGCGGCGATCATCCATTCGGCTCTGCTTTCAGCGAAGATGACGATATTTTTGTACGCCACTTGACCCAATTCGCGCAAACCACGTCCAAAATTAACGGTTGACTTTTCGACCTCGGCAAACGTACGCCATTCATAATCACCCATGTTGTACTTTTTGAATACACGACCGTTTGGTTGGATTTCATCTTCTTCGCTCAGAATTTTCCGTGTGCCCAAACACCTTTTGCTAGTATGAGTGTTTGCAGCATAGGTTAGCATCTAATCGTAGAAAATGATACGAAAGTTAAGATGTTAAATTTCCACGAACGAAGAAATAAACGGAGTTTTAAGGCCATAAAAATCGTTTAAACCAGTTTTACTGATAACTACCTTTTCCATTGTATCCACATTTGCTTGCACCATTTTCACGTGTGTCGCACTGAACGGCTCAACGGAACGATACGTAATTTCTTTATCATCAGCCGAAATTGGTTTTGCCTATTTACAGAAACGGAATGAAAAAAAAAATAGAAATGTAATTATTCCCAGGTTTAGCACATAGTGTAACAAATTAAATGGGAGGCAGTTGTTAAGTCGTCGGCCATCATTTTCTAATGTTTAACGTAATAGCAATTAACTGGTTTCGATGGACATTTATTTGTTCAAGTATAAACACTTAATCGAAATCGTAGTTCTAGTAAGCGAACAAATTTCGATTCGTACCAAACGGAACTTGTTCACATTTTAATTTTTATTCCTTCTCAAACATTGAATCGCTAAGTCATTATCTTCAATGTATCATTTGTTTATATTCTATTGGTACTATTCAATTTAGTAATTTAATAAAAATCCAAGGGACTCAGCTCAACCAAGTAATTGCCTCTATTTTTTTATTAGACATCAGTATGGAAACGTTAATCAAAACTGTTCACTTAGACTATTTCGATTAGAATGATTTTGATATTGTCAGCAATTACATCTGATAAGAAACGGACTCTGAACTCAGCGAACATTAAAAATATATTCAACTAAGCCCATCTTGTACGGCACACATAGATTTTTTTTAATTCTTCATTATTATCATTTTTTCACATCATTATTACACAATAATTGAGTCCCATCAGTAAAAATAAACGCTAAACTTTGACATCTCGACGGAGTGACTTTTGAAAAGAAATAATGTTTCAATGAAAAAATCAGAGAAAAAAAAATACTTACTCGGACTCGTTTTGATAATTGTCGTCGTTTCCATGGTTGCTGTACCACTAAATACACAGGAAATGTGATTACATCGCAGACAAAACTGACAACACGAATCGCATTGATTGCCGTTTGTACCCAAGAACTATCCATGTCGCAATTCAATGTATTTTTGTGGCAAATATTATGCTTTGAAAAACGATTTAAAAAAAATTATTCAAAATGAAAATCGATGAATTGAACGAAAAAATTGTCAAAACTTAATTGAATAATTTATAAATTGCTAATAATTTATCGGCGAAAAAAGTAAATCAGTACACGTATTCAATAGACGAGAAAAATTGAATGAAATGAAGCTGATAGTGTTGTGTTCTTTTATATCAAACACTCTTGATTTGGTGACACTCACAGACTGATTGAGTTTGAAACATCGAAATCACCAGGTACTGTCAGGCGACTGTTGATTTGAAGCGTACATTTGTACTGAGCAAAATAAGATAATACAAGCGCACAGAGAGTATGATAGAGTGAAACATGCTTAATTCGATGTGTTGTAATGTACACCACCAGAACGAATTGAACACAGAGACGGAAACTTCAAAACAAACACAGACAGACACGATACAAAAACATTATTCTGAATCGTAAACGATTCGTATAATTAGATGATGATTTAATTATTAGATGTTGCACGTATGTAGTGGTTACACGCACATTTTTATTTATCCCTCTCTTGCTCTTGCTCACACAGAACGTTTGCTACAATTTCGCAAGTGCCAGTCATATTCTGAGTGTGGTCATTTCACGGACTTTCCCATTCGTTGTATTCCACAGTTTTTTACGACGTAATTGTGTATGGATACATGAATCAGTGACATTGGAAGTGCGTACGTATGTGTCTGTATTGGTCTAAGAATGTTCTCTCTCTCTCCGTTTTGTTTCAATTGAATCAACTGTTTGTATACAACAAGTGGTCTCCAAATAATTTCACCTTCATAACCGTCAATTTTTTATTTATAGAATTATACACGAAAATTCAATCTTGTCCACCAGTAGTTAACGTTAAATTAAGCGTATAACTGAGCAAACTTTACGCAATTGTTATTATCTAGCGCGATCATTTACTTTCAATGTTATCAATTATAAGATTTCTAGTGAAAAATTACTTTTAATTAAATCTTACACTTCAAATGCTTTCAATTTTGATCGGAACCCGATTTTTTTTACTCATCAATCAATTTATCTTATCGCATAGAATTCAAGCGACTCTTTAATAAAACGTCAAGAAAATGAAACTCCAAATCAAAGTTCGAACTTAATAAAATTGTTCCTAAGAATTGTTGGTTTTTAACTGAACAAACAGAAACGTGCTCATTCAGCGAATAAATGAAACTAACTGAGATTACGTAGCGGACTTTAGCCATTTGATTCAATTCACTATGACCGATGGAATGAACTGATTACATCACGAAAACATACACAAGGTGTTGAGAATGAGAATCACAATACGAAGGTTGAGACGAATGAAACGTCATACCATATGTAGCATCTTACATGAGCTTTGCTCACGCAGCGACTACGAATTGTGTTTTTTTTTTAGGGAAAACAGCTGATACCAACGTTTTGTAAACACCCATACGTTCTGCGAATAACTGTGCGTCTGATATACTATAAATGTTTTACACGTCAAATGCAACGTAACGATGATTTCGGAAATATCCGCATCGTATGACATTTCTCTTTGTCATCATTGCAATGGGCTATTTTTGGAACAAATTATTTAGAAATCGTTCAACTCGGTAATCAAACAGCTGATGTTCTAAGGAATTTTTTTTAAATTTAGAACAAAACACGAGACTCATGTCGAGAATTCACTGCACATTGTAATTTGAGTATGTTTAACAAACATAACAAGTCAATTGAATGGGAGTTTGAATTAAAAGCGCGAAAATAGTAAAATGACTATCTAATACCTATTCGATTTAGGTTAAAACAGTCTATTTGGTTGATGTCTTTCATCAATATTCTAGTCACAACCTACTCAGGAAATGGCCTGATGATAAAAATTTGGGAATTCCCTATAAATTCGAGCCTCACGCACCAAAGTTCGTTAGTACATGTTTTCGAGTGCAACGTTTTTGTTTCCGTTTCGACGTGAAAAATGTTCCAAGTGTTTATTTGCTTGTTTGTTCTGAGTGCGATTGTGAGCGCCAGTGACAGTCAAACGGACTTTAGCGGACGTAGCAGCCAAACGGAGCGTGACTATTTCGAAAATGAGTTTACATTGGGCGATGAACGTGAAAATGATCGAAATGCAATGAAATCGGCTGCAAGTAAGTGGCCACACGGTATAATCCCATATCGATTCGATGAGAACTATATTGAAAAGGACAGAGCGTGCATTTTGCATGCCATGGAAGTATTTCGCAAAGAGACATGCATAAAATTCCTATTTAAACGTAGCAATCAAACAGAGTATATACAATTCAAGAAATCCGATTCGGGTTGCGGCACATTAGTTGGCTACAAAGGCGAACAATCCAATCCGATTGATGTATTTCTTTCCGAGAAATGTTTAAGTTCACCCGGAGCCATTCAACATGAACTGTTGCACATTATGGGACTGTGGCATGAGCAATCAAGACCTGACCGTGATGAATACGTCGACATCATCTTCGATAACATTCAACCGAGTAATTTGTTTTTGCTTTTTTTAATACAAAATTCACATTCGCAATTAATTTTTCCAATTATTCAATCGCATAAATTATCATTCACTTGACTTTTATTACATTGGTCATCATTTTTTTATGATGGGAAGATCATCAACACAACTTCGCAAAAAAGGATAGTGATTTAGTGGAAACATTCAATTTGCCATACGACTATGACAGTCTGATGCATTATCCAAATAACGCATTCGCCAAACCGGGAACAAATGTCACCATTGTTGCAAAAGTATTTTTTCCATATGGTTTCTCCGTGTACCACTACAGTTTCAAATTTTTTTCCTCTTTTTTTTCATTTTTAGAACGATCCGAATCGTAAACTAGGCCAAATCAACGGCCCGAGTAGATATGATCTTGAAAAAGTTCGACGAATGTACGATTGCCGATGAAATTTTCAAACAAAAAATTTTGAAAAAAACATGACTTGCATTGTATTATGTAATTAATCCGCAAAATACAATCGTCAAGCGATGCCGGCACAAAGATAACCAATACTAAACAACGTGCGTTACGCCTTGCACATTGCATATAAGAAGATATATATTTTGTATACGTATACATACCATAGAATGTATTATCTATGTAGTAGTCAAAGCGCCAATGTTTCATTTGAATTTGATACCAAAAAAATGCATTTTCCGTGATCTGAATAAAAAATGAGGTTCATTACCATTGAATGAGTGTGTATTTTAATCAGTTGATAATTTGCATAAAACAACGTGTTTCCACCGAAATTATCCGAACAAAGAAAAGTGTAATTACGTCGAAAATACACTGTCGCGCCAATTGCTTTGAACCCATCTGACGATGAAATGTCAAACCCGTCCAAAATGGTGGCGAATTGAATACGTGTGAAGTTGCCGCTATTCGTACAACGCGGCGAATTACTTTTGATTGTTTGTTGTTGTCGCTCACAAGTTGATTAGAGCTTCATTTTTTCCGCTTCGCTAATGTGAAAATAAAAAATTCCGCATTTAAAATAAAATTTATCAAAAAATTTCCAAAATATTCATTGGTAAACGCATTGGGCAAATTGATTTGTGGCCATTGGCAACAGTGTGAAGTGTTTCTAAGGTAAATTTGTGCATTAAAAAAAAATTAAAAGAACTTTTGTCAACAGTCACAGTATTGTACAGTAAATGAATTGTCAACGTTAGAAACATATCAAATGAATGTGACAGTATCGATGACCGTGGAAGGAAAATATTTATGTTGAAATCACAATGAATGCGGTTATTTAGAACGTATATTGAAATTAAATCGTGAATTTTTGTGTTAATTTTGGTGTTTTTCTTCGTTTTTAGATTGTATGAGCATTTTGGACAGCAAAAATGTCTAACCGAGATAGGGACGATTCGTTCGACGATGACGTTGAACCGCCAGCCTTTGGGCCAGCTGCTTTGGGATTGTTTCGCGTTGGTACCGCATTGCCACAGCGTGAAAAACCAGCGCAACCCATTCAAGTTTTAAATGCACGTGGAATGCCGGCTCGTATTCGAAAACGTAATAAATTATTTTTTGACGATGACATCGTTAATGACCCAAAGTCGTTACGTCAATCGCCGACAAAAAAGAGTGCTAAATCGACACCACTCAAAACACCCATCAAATTGCCGTTGCATTCACCAAGCAAACATTTAAAAAAACGCAAAGGAACCGTGTCAAAGTATTTGAAAAGCCCATCGTCGGCATCGAAACCATCACTTTTGAGTGATTTGAAGAAAACACCGAAATTCAAGGGTATGTACAGTGGACATTATTACACCAACAACCACAACCATATTAATGAATTGAATTTCATGATTTGCAGATAATAATATTTCGTCGCCACAACTGCCAAGTGCATCGAAAGCATCCACATCGAAATCGGTCCCACAAAATATCAGCGCTCCGGTGCCAAGCTCACCATCATCTGCCATCAGTGCTATTGATCGTGCAATTAGCCAACGGATTGGTTTACGCTTGAGAAACCTATTGAAATTGCCAAAAGCGCATAAATGGGTCAGTTATGAGTGGTTTTATAGTTACATCGATAAGCCATTGCTATTGGGTAAGAGTTGTTATCTTTGTTTTCACTATTTCACATTTCTTCGCTTTCTTCTTATCGTCTTCTCCATCTTTTTTTCGTCAATTAGTTTTATCATTTCCGATTCATCTGAAAACTAATTTATTTTCTTCTCGATGTTTTTTCTAGGCGAAAACGATTTCCAAGCATGTTTGCGAGAGTCATTTCCTCAATTGAAAACGAATCAGTTGAGTCGAACTGAATGGTCAAAGGTGCGCCGATTGATGGGCAAGCCAAGACGTTGTTCACAATCATTTTTCGATGAAGAGCGTCGTGAGCTCGAGCGCCGAAGACAAAAGATTCGTTTGTTGCAAAGCCGAAAATCCGGAGATATTTCATTTGTTCGTGATCTTCCGAAAGAAATACCACTCTCCCTATCGATTGGAACAAAAGTCACGGCTCGGCTACGTCAACCTCAAGATGGCATCTTCACCGGAACCATTGAGGCAATCTATTCGATGTCAAGTGAGTATCGTGTCACATTCGATCGTGCCGGTTTGGGCACACACTCGGTGCCCGACTATGAAATCCTGGTGAACGAACCGATCGAAACAATCCCAGTGAGCAACATAACACAGAATTTCCGACAGAAAATCAATGGTCTATGCTATGTGCCATCCCCATTGGCCATCGTAAATAAGCTGAATCGAAGTGATCCACTACTGGGCGGTATCAATAGCATTGGCTTCGATGCACAGTTGAAATTGAAAAACTATGTGTTCCCCAAAGAGTCGATTGGTGGTTTTCAATTGCGTTTGCTTGAATTGATTGTGCGTGCACGCAAAACGCTTGCAGCCAAACAAATGAAATTGACACGTTTAAAGAGTATGAACACGGAGGCCGAAACATACAAATCATACAATGAACCGTTCCCAGAGGACTATCAACAACGATACGCCAGCATTGTCATCGGAATGGAAAAGCTGAACAAAGACAATCAGAAATATTTGTCCGAGGTTCAAACGTACATCCGTGATTTGGCCAAAGATTCTCGCACCGTTGCAATGCTTGAACCAAGCTATTTACGTGAAAAATGTCGAGAGCTCGGCAAAGACACCGTACAGAAGAACTTACAATCATCATTAATCGACAGCGATTCGAGTGTGATGGTTTTGATCAATGATCTATCGATGATTATGTATGTCGCATCGCATTTACTGTCAACCGACCCAAACTATCACATCTCAAAAGTATTGGAAGGTGTTTTGGAAGAAGCGAAAAACAAATTGGATTCCGAGAATATCGATTCATTTCATGCAAACGTACATGCTCACATTCGGCATTTGGAAAAGAGTTTAGCGCAACACTGAAAACGGCATGTGAGTGTGTGAATGTGTGTGTATTACGCTCCTTCGGCGTATGCTGATGCCCGAGTTTCACTTTTCTTCCGCTTATTGTATTAGATATATAAGCAATTTTCGTTGGTTTTTTTTTCATCGTCTGAATCAACCCTCGATTCGAAATAAATTCCTTGATTGGTTAAGTGTATCAAATAGAGAAAAAAATCGTTTCTTTTTTTTCTTTTCGTGTTTGGATTTAAACAGTAAATTTAAGAAAAAAAACAAATAAATCTTTTTTTTTCTCTTTAAATGCAACTGCAATGCATAACGTAATTTAATGAATTACTAACCCAATATTAGCTGAATAGAATGTAAATTAACTTGACCCAATATTTACAAATAAAAATAAACACCTTTGCTTTTCTTTTTTAAAGAAACCAAAACACATTCTCTTCTTTATTTATTTTTTTGTTTGTTTGTTCACTGTTCATTCTTAATTGAAATGAAATACAATTAAAAGTCTAAATTAAATTTTATTGCACTTGAATAATACAGATGTGAATTGCTTTTGTTTCGTTTGTGTGTTTTTCGTTCTATTCATTAAATCGTCAAAATACCTTATAACTCAGGTTTAAAGCTAAATGGAACCAATAAATAATGCAATCAAATATAGCGAACCTTTCTCTTGCACGAGAATCGCCCAAAATAATGAACTGAAATAATTTTTTTTTCGATTGATTTTCTGTTTCGTGTGAATTGCACTTATCTTTCATCGTTTAAATGACTTTTTGGTAGTTTGATTTCGTTTCTTATTTGTAGCCAGCAAAATCGAAATCGCCATGTGATCCTGAAGATTGATCACCGCTGCCGGTGGTTTGATGAGTCGGTGATGGTGATGGTCCAGCGTTGTAATTATGGTTTGTGGCATAGTCATTGTGACGCACAGACTCTTCTGGAATTTCCTTCAAATGAATTGATGCATGAACAGCGGCGGCAGCTGCATTATTCTGCGCTTGTTGGGCTGAACTGTGAAAATTAACGATAAATACAAATCAATCCAACGAAAAAAAAAATAGATTTGTTTTTTCTTAAAAAAATATATCAATTCATTACCTAATTTCTGAACTAACTCGTTTGTTTGTGAAAAAAATAAAAATTATTTGTAAATTTTGTAGAAAATTGAACTCAAAACTATTTTGTTCATCTGAAATGCCGAGACGATATTTTACCATTCATTTTTGCTTTCTTTTCACATAAATTGAGTGCTATCAGAATACGAATTTATTCTACTTACGCTGCTGCTGAAGTAGCCGCATGTTGAGTGGCCTCAAAGTCAATTCTAAAACAATAAATTCAAATGTTAGACCTGGTTTTTAGTGCTAATTGTAAACTTTAGGAATTAAAAATTCTTCCAAACTTGAAATGTCTTTCACTTCATCCAATTTTACCCATTTTCCCTTTTTAACTGTTTTCAATTTGAATTTATGTGTTCAAGTCTTAACAATTATAATAGAAACTCAAGCCCTACCTTGCGGCATGCAGTTGCTCTTCAACCAATTCAACGCGCTGTTTAGCTGATCCAACCATGGACTGTTGAGATGCAAGCTCTCCGGCAGCTTCTTGTGCACTTTGTTGGGCATGTTCGGCAGAGGACTGGGCGTTATTCAATGCCGCAGTTAAAACTAGCAAAATCAGAATGAAATTAAAAGATGCACAAAGTATTGCAACAAATCTTGACTTAAATTCATTATTTTTTGGACAAAAAAATTCTGATTTTCACCAAAGTTTCTCCTATTTTTTATTCAAAGTAAAAGTTCGTACCTTGAATATGATTTAACGCTTGCTGCGCGGCTTGTTGAGCTGCTTTGGCCGATCGTTTAGCTTGTTGCAGTTGTTGAATTTCACTTTCCAATGCTTGTCTAGCCTCGATACTTTGCTGTTCCAATCCTTGTAATAAGACTTGTTTGCCCGCTAGTGCTGCCTATTAGATATTCCAATTCAAATTGACAGTTGTAAATAAAACTCATTTTCCGCTCTACGTAATTTATGAATAAAAATGCATCTTATCTAAGTCTGTATCGAATTCATTACCTGTGCCGTTGCGGCTGCTTGTGATGCGGCCTGTAAAAGTCATAAAAATGTTAGATAGCGTAATTTTAACAGCCAAATCTAATATGTTTCCTATACCTGTGCGAGCGTATTTTGTGCAATGAACGCTGCTTGCTTTGCTGCGGCATGCTAGGAAATTGAAACAAGTTTGATATCATTGCAAAAAGGAAGTAAACGCCAACGATGAGAAAAATGGCTTTATTTTTCGTTCGCAAAAATTCATACCTGATTACTAACTGCTGAGCTGGCTTGATCAGCGGAACCTTGCGCAATCGATCTCAGCCCACTGCCGGCGCTATAGCCCGGCTTTTTCGATGATGAAATGTGTTTTGCATGCAAATAAGATTCATGGTGTTCATGGTGGTCGGTTTGGTCGCGTTCATCGTGTTCAGCACTCTCCTCAACGACTGGATGTGCATTTCCAGTTGGATACTCATACTCATTATACTCGAAATCTTTCTTTTTCAATTGTGGATTCGCATTCTGTATTGATGTAATAATTTTCGGATGTCGACGAGCTTCGCTAATGCCTACCATGTTTGCATAAACAATGATCCGCATCAAAATTGAAAATTAAAAATTAAAAATTAATGACGGTTATAATTTAGTAGGCAAGATGTTGATGTGTGATAATCGTGTTTATCATCTGGAAATTATAACTAGGCAAACTTACCCAAACACAAGTACAATACGATAGCAGCGGTTAGTACTTTCATTTTCGTTTCGGTGATAATTCGTATATGTTTTCGACGTAATCTCGTTTTAGGATCGATGCGGCTGATACCAAATAACAAATTCGTTGATTCGCGTTGATTTTGTGCTACTGGTCGAATTCAACCAATTTCTTCACCTATTGCATGAAACAAAAGCAAAATGTAAGGCAAAATGCAAATTAAATGGTGTATCGATTCTATGGTAAAGTGCACAGCACGTGTTCGAAACGAGGTAATCGGCATTTAAGCGTTGCTTTCGCCCTGCTGTAATTCGCATGAAAATGTGCATTTATTTAATCGAAGACCGTTCATACTTCACGTTCAATTGGTTCAGTTTTTTTGTGTGTGCTACGAAATTCAATTGCACGCGCCGCTCAGCATGTTTGAATCGATTGTTTGTTTAATACAGCGTTGCATGTTTCCTTGTTATTGGTCTAATGGAACTTCCATGTTCAATTAGTTTGTTACAATGAAGAAAAAGCAATAATATACATCGCGATGAAATCACCACTAAATTATTTATCCAGTCAAATGAGAAGAAAGTGATTGTGTCAAAAAAGAGCTGAATATTATAAAAGTGCATGTTATGTAGGCATATATTGCATGTCATGAGCAAATAATGTAGGGTTTTAAGGCAGATTATCAGCTTGAATGAGGCGTAAAGTCTGACGCTTCATTGCCCTGAAAAATGTGAATCTCATAATTCGACGACCGTGTCGCAGGTGCTATTCAATTGATTTACGAAAAAGCTTTTCAAAGCTAAATACCATAAAATAATTAATCCTTCATTGAAAGCACACACGCTATAGTAAAGAGAAGAAAGAAAAAAACACGTGGCCAATTTTCATCGATTATCATTTCAATGTTGCGCTAATTCCATTATTATCTTTTGCATTCATCATGCGACATATCAATAAAAAAATATGTGAGGTCGGAAGAGCCATTGATGGATAGTGAAAGAGAGACAGAAGTAGAGAAAGAGAGAGACATTGTGGTTTTCTATTCATTGCAAAACAAATCCATCGAATAGAAGAAATGAATAATAAAACATCGGATTTGTTCTCTCATCAAAGATGCTTGCCGTTTGTTTCTTTTTTTGTTTGTTTCCATAAATTGCGGTTTTGACGTTGATTTAATGAATAGCATGCAAAGAAAGCACCAACACAAAAAACCGGATATTTAAGTAAAACAGAAGATAGAGTGAAAAAAACCCAGCCACTTGGGTATATCTCTTGATAAAACAAAATAATTTCACTTTTCATTACATCGAATGTGTCTTGTGTGCACATATGTTGATCTTGACTAGCATCTTGTTGTCGCACGCGTGCGCGTTGATCGCACGATTGCATTGCGCACCAAACTGAGCAGCAGCACACGAATTCGATAACGGCCTGCAACACATTATGACCACTTGCATCACGGTTAAAACGCAACGAACAAAAAAATGTAACTTCAACAGTTAAATGCCAGAATTGGATGTCAATGGCACTTTCAATTTCATAAGTGGGAAGTACTTTACTTCAATCGGTGACGGAAAAGCAACGAGCTGCATATATTTGCCTATCGAAAATTTCACCAATCCCAAAGCATTTACTGCCATGTGACTAACGCGAATGATTTTTGTTTACTTCATCTGCACACTTATCTCTCGAATGGAGTTTTGTTTTTCTATCTCTCCATTGAATGCAATTATTCAATAGCCATTTCGTTAGTTAACTCCATTGTGCACATTTCTATTGTGCACCATCCATAATTGCAGTGACTTTCCGAATTGTATCAATAGAAATGCAGAAGAAAAAGAAGAAAAGAAGGATGCAAATTGAAGATAATACTGAAGACAGAATGTCGTTCACCAAAAGCAATAAACTGCAACGAAACGACCGTGACATTAAACGAAAACAATGGGTAATTTTCTCGTTTCAATTAAGTGATGATGTGCAGCGACAAAAGAAACAAAAAAAAACCCTATGTCTTGATACGATGAACTCGATGTCAGCGAGTGAGGACAACGATGAAAAACCATCACATTACCAATCAATTATTTACCCGATTATTATTGCTAGCGTTGCAGTTTAATCAACTTAAATCACAAATGATGCATGAAAATGATAGACACTATATTATCGCGTCGATTGGTGTTACACCAGCACCGCCGCGCCTCTGCCGTTATTAAGGCTTTGATGACTGATTCGTGTGCACACGATCCCGCTCTTCGATCGCAATTTCTATCAAATTAACCACATTTAACAGCTGAGAAAGTGAAATTAAATCATTACAGCCTACCGAAAACTTTTTCTATTGCATCATTCGATCGAAAACAAAGAAACAATAACAATAATTTGGAATGAAATTTCTCTTTCTATCCACATACTATGCACGATAAATAAACCCTACCGTTCAAATATTCTTTATATCAACCAATTTGAATGATAATAGTCATTTGAATGCCTACCGTTCAACCATACCGGACATCAAATCTCTTGTCGATATTCATTGCAAAACCCATTGAATTTTATTCGAAAAATTGACCACGCATCAAGATGTTCAACGCTAATTCATTGCTTTTTCAAATAATCTTCAACGCGAGTAGCTCCAATGTTAACATTAGAAAATGGTGAATGGGAAACGTTATCGGTGTTTATTTGAATTGAAGAATACGGTATACGACATGCTTTACAGTGGGATATTGTACATGGTCCAATTTTTACGCAAATTTCACTGTCGTTAAATTTAAATGAGTCATAAGCCATTAAGTAATGAATACTTTTTAGTGCAACAATGAAAAAATGGTCAATCTTTTATGATTATGCCTTTATTCTTATCAATGCAACTCATAAGCTACCGTTAATAACACGGTTCGAAAGTGTGTTCACGCAATATATGTAACTGGGGAAAGTCTATCTGTTGAACACCGATTTTCACGTACGACAAATTATCATGTCGAAGAGTCAAGAGCAGAAGAAAAAAAGAAACAATGCATTCATGCACTTTTCTTTAATCACTTTCACGGTGAAATTGAAATCGCAATTGGGCGATTCAAAGTTTAATTTCAATTCAAGTTTAAATTGTAATCGTTAAATTTTACATACCAGATGCAGAACAGAAGTGAGCAGTGTATTTGCTCGGGAATAAAAACGGAGATTTGTCCTTTAAATTGATATAAGCTGCAAAAGCCGAAGGAATATTTTTCACTTAAGATATCGTTTACACTTACACACAAAAAGTCGTCGATTGTCGATTTTTTTTCAAACAAATTTTTTTTGGTTTAATCTTTTGTGATTCGAGTTTTTTTATTTATTTATTTTTGCTAAATTCATGTGTTGCTTCTCCGATAGCTCGAAATGGACTGAACAAAATGCGCGCTACATTTGATCAGGCTGGTGAAATTGGTGTCCAGTATTCAAAGAGTATTCATGTTCATGGCCTCTTTCACTTCCAACATTAATGAAAAAAGCTTGAGCTTTATGTTGTAGAGCGCACAAAAAACGCTATGTTCCTTTCCCCCTTGCACTTGATATGGTCAACGTTGCATGCACACATCCGAACACAGTGGCCACCACTCTTTGACGCCAATAGCGCGTGTTCATGTTGGCGGATTCTTTGTATGGTGGAACGTATGCGAAGAGCACTGGTAATCGCCAATCGTGCACATACAAATCGCAATGGATTGATCGGCTAAACCAAATATGGCATTCGCATACGTACATCAAAACGGATAGAGAGCTTCATTTAGGTGAATTCAATGGTCAGCTGTTGTAGTTAAAGAATTGATTTTCCTGCTTCGTTATGCATCGAACGGATATTGTTCGATGAAGCAAAAGCTCATTAGAAATGCATTCAAAACAGTTCCTTGCGAAGTGGGCAATTTTCGGAATGGGAATTTTTAAGAAATATCAAAGTTGAGCAAAACTTGGTTTAACATTTTTAAATGTTAAAAAATATTGAATCAATTAAAAAAAAACAATTTGCAAAGAGCAGAGCAAATTTTCATTTTCCAAATAATGCCAATTGAATCGATATTAGTTTTATTCATATTTCAATTGCTACTTTGACACATAATATTCCATATTTAACGCAACCATAAATAGAGTCATATTTCATTTGGCTCGTGTTTTATTCAAGGCGTATTCAGTTGAATATATTTCCAATTCAATACCATGCACATTGAACATGCCATACTCACGCTCTGTTTTAATTCGATGTAGATGTCTCGCGGCGAAGTAGATGTCTCCACTTGAAGGTTTACTTCGGAATTTGGCCGAAGAAATCGTCACAACTCAATTACGTTTGTTTTCAATGCACTTTTGACAATTCTTCATATGAAGGCAAATACATTGTTTACATGATAAATTTTTTGTTGTATCGGTCTCCTGTGGTGCAAAATATTGGTACTGACATTAGTGTTTGTTAGTTCGATATGAACGTAGGAGACTATTATTGTATTAGAAAAATTGAGAATCTATTTTCTTACGAAGAAAATCTATTTTCTTATCTGTGAAGCTGTGATCAATGCAATCAAAATATAAATTAAAAGTAATAAAATTGATGCCATAACATATCATTGCTACCTATTCCCCGAATCTCCTATACTTATTAGAATATTGGCGTGAGTAATTTCAATAAATACAATAAAATTAAGACGGAATTAAAAAAATTGATGGCGGAAATGAGAATGGTTGGATATTATGTCAAGAATCTCATGTTGAGTGTGATGAAAAATCAATAGACGAGTGCAAATACAGCTTGCCCATTAGAAGCTGATGAGTGCTTTATTGAAATCATTTTGAGCTTTGATAGAACTAAAGCCAAACTAATTGGCATTAAGTTACAAATTGGCAAAAGTTCATTGATTTGTTGAATTCCTTAGCATAAAATTACGATAAAACATTGGCAAAAAAGTGGTTGCTTTCTTAATACAATGCCATGCGATTTGTTCTATGCCACAAATTGCGAAATTCCAAATGTAAATGTGTTTGGCTTAATCTATAATGAACCGTTCAAATAGAAACGAAAGCGGTAAACATGTTTTTTTTCCTTCGTATTCCAAAGAGTAGACAACGATAAATTGATGTAATTTATCAGCCATTGTCATCGTTTGAAAACAAATCATTATTCACATATATAACAAATCAACAAACCGGTTTTGCAGAACATGCCGCCTGTGATATTTTTCTCTCTTCCATAATCGTATTCTGTGTGAAAAGTAAATCAAATGGTATTGCTGATGAAGTGCAAGAACCATCAACTTAAATTGGATAAGCTAAGTGGAGTAGCTTGATGAAAATGCATCGTGAATTATCGTAATCTAATTTTTCGCTGTAATCTTATTTTGAAAGAAGAAAAGATTCTGTAGGAAATTCTTCAAATGAAGCGATTTTCTACCTGAAAATCGATAATGGGTTCGTTGAATGGATGTTGATGCTTGGCTGATGATGTTGTAAATAAAGTCGACTGTGAATAAAGAACAGAATAAATGAAGACGAATAACCCAGTGAATTGGTCGCATTCTATATACGCTCAGAAATGATGATGATGATGAGCGTATATATAATGTTCATCGGCAAATTAAAGGCATCTATTCAATTACCTAATTGAAATTGATTTGAGAATGGCATTGAATGGCCGTAGATTCAAGCGTAGAAATCTGCGATTGTGAATCCAGCGCAAAAATGGAAGAGAAAAAAAACCGTTCATCTTCTTTTGTTGGACGAGTGTTAGGAATAAAAATGATTCAATGCCATAGAAATGCCAATTCACCTGACTTGTTTTGTTCAGCCATTTGATCGAATCTAACATATCATAAATTGAATTACAAAGAGAAATTAACGTTTTTTTTCTTCCTATCTTTTGATCTCGTTTTTTTTCTCTTAGAATTTTCTACACTTCAAACGGTTAATGGGCATTGTGGAGTTGCGTGCAAAATCAGTCGATATGTTGACGTGAGTCACAGAAGACGTGATTGCCGTTGCTCCTTTTTTTTGGGAGAGTTCTACTTGTTGCGCCATTGATAAATAAACCGGTATGCATATGAAGTAACACACAAAAGAATCAACTCGAAAACGAAGTAACAAAAAAATACAAAACTCGTTCGCAACGGGAAACAAACAATCACGTATACACATGAACAAATGTCATCATTGGTCGAATTTAGCGTTGATGAAACCAAATCAATTCTGGAGCTCAGTTTATGCGCAGCATTCAAATGGGACGGAGATCATACATTCGGATAACGAAGAAAACGGAGTGAATAAGAGTTTAGAAAAATTTCAGTTGACAAATGTTGAAATCGCATGAAGAGTGGCGAAGAAGTGTCGAAGCTTTGGAAAAATCACAAATAAGATAATATGAAACGACAAAGACAGTAAAAAGATCGAAAACAAAATAGTGACAAAAACGTGTTAAATCAACTATGAAAACCGATCGTTTCATGGCGAGTTAGTAATTTTCTAACGACTCTCAAGTTTTAAAGTGAAATTGTGCCGCATCGACATGAAATTAGCGTGTTAATTCCGAACCGAGTAAAGAAGAAGAAGAAAATCAACAGACCAACAAATTAAGTATAAACAATTACATCGAGTGCTATAGCCAAAACAAGAACGAACCAAACGCTTTGCTAACCCAATTAGAAATTGAAACGCACGAAAACGGCAAGCAATCATATTGCTACCTTCGATAAAGAAGAAATACACACGTGGAGATTGATTGCTTTAAAGAAGAATTCGAAGAATAAAAAAAACACGAAAACAAACCGAACGGCAGCCAAATCGTCGAAGTAATAGCTACGCTAAACCAAAACCGTATACGTTGAGCTTTCACATATGACGACGACGACGGTCGAGGTTTCGAAGACTGGGTGAGAACGAGAGACAAAAGCAGAATTGGCCGCATTGGTTTCAGTATAGGCAAAACAAAAAAAAACAGATTGATAAATAACAGAAAAGCAGAGAAAAAACTCCACCAGAATCCAGTGTGTTTTCGTCGTCATCATCTTACCGACATCGCATTTGTTATTGTTCAACTCGACAGCGTGTTGCATACGTATGTGATCTCTCACGTTGTGCTGTGTGTTGTGGTTTGGTGATCGTTTTTTTGGAAAACTGGAACTTTCTCAATCGGTTGGCGGTGGCGCTGTGTAGTTTTGTCGCTGTGTGAATTATTTACGCCAGTCTCACATTACTCGTTACGTTGTGTCGCATTGGAATTCTCTCTCATTGAATTGGCGTGCAAGTGCAGTTAGTTTGGCGCGCTCGATGGTACACCACGGCTCTTGAGCTTTGAATGGATGTTTTTGTGTGCTTTGTTGTTGTTTTTTTTTAGCCAACATAAAGTAGCTCACCAAATAGCTAGTTGCAGTCTACGCGCTCGTTGTATATTTTTCATTACTTACAATTAGCTACGAAATTGGCTGTTGCGATAGTGTGAGCTGGTGCACGAGAGTGCTGTTATTGTACACACGAAGCCTGTAATTTTAATCGGTTCTATGATCGCGTACACACAGCGTGTGTGAGTTCGATTGTACACATGACGGCGAGAGAGTAAATAAATCGACATTAATATCTAGTGAGTCTTGCAATAGCCCAGCACGCGCGCTCACGCTCACACACAGTACACGCAAGAGAAGTGGAAACTGTCTTGTTGTGTGTATTTTAATGTTTTTTTGCACACATTTCGCAGCTACGATCCAACGATTTAGACAATCATTTTAAGTAGCTCGTTGCATTCAACGGACGCGTTTTTTTCACCGTGTTGTTATTAATCGAAAAATTCTAAAAAGGAAATATTCAAATCGGTGCTAATGGTATACATTTGAATAAACCGAAATCAGGTTTTATTTCCAATGAAGAATTAAAGAAAATAAACAGAAAATAAATTGTTATTGTTGAGTTTGATTCGACTTGGAATTTGGTGTAGTGTAGTTAAAATTGTTTGTCTTCATTAGCATATAATTCGTATGCTGTTTGTGTGTTGTATGACCGGTTATTATTGTGAGCGCACCCAATAAAAATACATTGCCTTTTTAACGTCTCTCTCTATCTCTCTTGGTAAATTTGTCGTTTGCCAAAAATAAACGAACAGCGTGAATTAAGAATGTCGCAGGCGGTGGAAGAAAATCTTCAGATGTTACTGAATGGGTTGCAGATCAATGAAGATGTGGACACGCTATGTGATTTTACGCTTGAAGAGCAAAATGCAGTGTTCGAAGCGCAAGGCATTCAACCGTTGTCATCGTCGGATTTCGTTCCAGTGTTGGGTAAAACGGTGACCTACATCGTTGCTTGCGTACTAATTAACGAGTCTAATGAATGCCTGATGATACAAGAGGCGAAAAAATCATGTGCAGGCAAATGGTATATATTTTATAGCAATTAATATTTAAATTGATTTAACTTTAATTTTAAAATTCATTATATCCTTTGAATAAAATCCTGCTAAAAAAGGTATCTACCTGCTGGCCGCATGGAACAAAACGAAACAATTGTTGAAGCTGCAATTCGTGAGGTGGTCGAAGAGACTGGTCTCGATATCGAAGTGACCACATTGCTTGGGTTGGAGTGTGCAGGCGGATCATGGTATCGCTTCATTTGCACTGGTCGCGTTCTCGGCGGAGAATTGAAAACACCACAAAAAGCCGATTCGGAATCGTTGCAAGCCAAATGGGTTGGTGATTTAAATGAGCTCAATTTACGTGCTAATGATATTTTACCATTGATTGACTTGGGACGCAATTATCATCGTTGCCTGAAGAACCGTACCGTTGATCGTCCGCTACAATGGCACGGTAATATATTACCGGCAGCTAAATCACATGCGAAAAATTATTTGCGTATCGTTGCCGTAATTAAAAAACGCAGCAATAATCGTGTTAATATTTTGTTGAGCGAAAAAAATGCCTATCATTTTCCAAGCGTTGAAATTCACCATGCTCGCAGCATTCATGCAACACTACGAAAATTTATGATTGAATTATTCGGCGCCGAATTGCCACAGCATCGACCGCACGGTATTCTATCCATCGAACACTTACCGAAACAGGCTACGAACGGTATGGTTGGCGCACAAAGCAACGGTTCAACACCCAAAGGAGATGGCATTTGCATTACATTGTTATGTATTTTTCGGCCCCCGCTCGAAGAAGTATCGATTTTGAAGAGTAAATGCATTTGGCATGAAGTTTCCAAATCACTCGATGATCAAGTTTGCGATGTTCTATTGACGAAAAATACCACGCTTGCCTTACACGTAGTACGATAAGCAGCCGAAATGAAATGGTGTTGAGAAAATTCGTTTAATTTTTAAATTTATTGTTACTAAACACCTATCCCATGTTTGAAATGGTTTAGACAAACAGATGGATTAGTCATTATGAACGTAATTGAATCGTAGACACTAAAAAAAATGAGTAGGCTAAATAAGATTGGAAATGACACGATGATTTATTATTATTACTATTATTACCGTATTATGTATATGAATGTCGAAACGAAGATAAAAATTTGTAGCACATTTCAAGTATTTGATGTATTCGAAGAGATGGATAGAAACAATTTCTGATTGATTTTAGCTAATGGCTGATATTTTGCTTTATTATTAATGCTATTATTACCTATATCTTATTTTTCTTGTATATTTACTGACCTGGCGTCAAACTTTCCTAAAGTTCCATTAAAATATGTTGTATAAATCGGAAATTCTTATCGATTTTTTTCCTCTATAGAAACTTTCTTTAGTGCTTTTCAATGAATGTGCATCGAATTACAGGTGCCAAAGGCCATTGGTAAGTTAAATTGCATTCGAATTGCGATCAGCTGAACAAATACTCTAGCAGACAAAGCTTACCTCAATCGAGATTGAAGCGTCCAAATGGAAAATTTTCCACATTCTTTACTTTTCTCTTTGTGCGATGCGCGCGCACGCCACTTCGGCCATTCAATGCAATGTTGAAACCGTTGATTCCGTTAAATAGTTTAACATTAAAACAATTCGATCACGTTTACCCTAATTTTCATCGAATCGGCAGTTTTGCATCGTCTATTTCGTCCGTCGTCTTCTTTGTAACTACCAATCGCACTTGTGCCAATCGCTACTTGATTCAAGTATCTTGAACATGTAGTACGCTTTCTTGTGCTCACAATGCCAACCATATGTAGTCTAGATGGGAACGTTTTGAATGGAAAACAAGATTTTGCCGATGAAAAGAAAGCGATAATTTTTGTGTTGGTGGTTTTTCCTTCTTCTTTCTTTCGTCGCTTATCTTATCTGTCACCGAGAATGAAGATCGACCACTTTCCATTGTCACACAATGCAGATTACCGCGAATTTGATATTGTTTCTGTTGACAGAGAGATTAGATCATTCATCGGGAAAAAGACACTTGAACAATTGCAGAGGCTTGGGTGAAAGGAAGCTGAAATGTTTGACATAAATAAAAAAAAAGGTAAGGCTATAATTAAAACACCTTCAAACCATTCCTACTTACAAAATTTCGTGTTTATTGTGTATTTTTTTCTCATTCTCTCTATCTCTTTCTAACGTATAAATTGGAATAATCGACTAAGTTGTTGTTGTTCTTGTTATGATTGGATTATGTGCTTCCATCTAAAACCTAATAATAGCTTAAATTTGTAAATGACTCAAAGGCGCAGTTAACAACTAAACAAATACAAAATAAATACGAACAAGTCATGCATCGCAAATTTTCTGTCTTTTTTCTGAATTCCTCTAAGGGGATAAAAATGGAACAAAAAAAAAGTCGAAATCGATGTGAATCGTCTATGTATAAAAAAAAGTCATTTTTTCACCTCTATTTACATGTGGGAACTATGATTAACTACATCGGCCAAAACTATAAACTATAAGCATTATTTGTATATAAATAGTGTGTGTGTTTTTTTGGGCTTTTCAAATCGACTCTTCGGAAACCAGTTTAGATCAAGAATATTATCAACGGCTTTGATTTCAATGAGGCAAGCGATTTTTTTTTTTTGTTCAACAAATCATTCATTTGTACCAAATACACGGAAACATTTTCTAAATGACGTGTTTGACAAAAGAATAATTTCAGGTGAGAAAAATACAGTTGAAATGATTCTCTACATCACACACACGGTGCCCGTTCAAATACTATCTATGGAAAAAATGCTTATGATTGTGTTGGTTTTTCCTCTTTCTTGGCCTCCGGTTTTTTCGGTTCGGATTTTGGTTTATTCGTCGTTGATTCGGGTGCTTTAGACGTCACCTTATTCGATTCTACTTTCTTCGGGTCTAATTTCTTTCCATTTCGTTTTGACAACACCGAATTTTGCAATGCACCAATATCAACGGCTGGTTCGGTGTCGTTCCCAGATTTACTCTTAAAGTTCGAGAAGAACGTGAGTGCCTTCATCAATTGATAGCTCTTTGAAACGGGCAAGTTAGAATCGTACAGTGATTTGCTCGATTTACAATCGACATAGAACCACCAGTTACATTTCAAGATCGTTTGATCGAACAGTGTGCTCTCTGGACACAAAAACGATTTCATAATTAGACCATCGTCAGTTAATGCACAAACGTGGAATACCTGCGAAACAAACAGAGTACTTTAGTTTAAGTATCAAAGCTTACACTTGATTGTGTGAGACAACAAAGCTTTCATATCAAGCTTTCCATCTTCGATCACGATCAATGTGGAGACGGTTTCCGGTCGAAATACTTACCATGCAACCCAGATCAACATCACCATACAGGCCGGGGAAATGCTTTTGATCGCCACATTGGAATGCGGTGGGCGGTAAATCAACCTTTGTCGTGAAATTATCATCAAAGTTTTTATCATAACCAACTGGATAGTACTCTTTTGGGGCGTTCATCACCTGTAACATTTTGAATGAAAAAAAAAGATTGGTTATGCAATCGTTATTTTATAATTCAATCAAAAATTCAAAGACGTTAATTTGATCTCACGATCTTCGCAGCTGAAACAACAAACAAGATCCGTGATAAGGCAATGAAATGAAATGAAATACCTTGCTTTGAACAACACTGGCAGGAACTTTGCCGCTAATTTTCTGCGGAACTGGAGCACGAGTAGCTCTTCTGGCTGTTGTCGTTCGAACGGTTGTAGTTGTGGTTGAAGCGGTGGTTGGTGCTTCCGTTGTGCTGGTTGCCAAGAATTTCTGATGTTCTTGTTGGTACATTGCCAATTGCTTAGCGATCATTTCGTCTCGTTTTAGCTCCTCTTCGAGAGTTTTGTTGCGAATCAATTCTTCGTGTACAGCCATCAGTTGCTTTTGACGCAGTTCGATGGCTTTTTTTATAGCCGAAACACTCACATTCGCCACAGCCGCCAATTCCTCAACCGTATGACCTTTGAGATCGATTTCGGGCAAAGTTCCTGGAGTGGTGCTGCTTGACTTGAAATTAGTCACATCTATTGTATCATCCTTTCTATTGATTGTCTGCAAGGTATGAATTGGATGCGATTAACCAGATTTGCAACTTTCTAACAAGAAAAAAGCCGTAAATGCCAAAATGTTTGGAAAATCCAACATATTCATTTTGAAGTAGGAGAAATATATTCAAATTTCCAATCGTTAAAAAGAAACGCAATCTAACGTTGTCATTTTGGTTACTCACGTCGAATCTTTGAATCGTCGTGTATTGTTCAGTTGCAGGTGATACTTTTCGAATTTCATTGTCGGTATGCACAATTTGTCCGGTTGAAATGCGTGACACCGACGATGGCAACGCTTGAAAAGCGGGCACTTTGAATGCATTTGCTTGTGGCGAAATGACCATTGGCTTCGTTTTAATGGGTCCGGCTGCATTGGTGTGTGCCAATTGCGTTTGGATGAAAGTCAAATTGGCGGCCGTCAAATCTGGAGCTGGATATTGATGCAGTGCACCGTTGCGTGTGACAGTGGAATCACTGGCTTTTTTCAGCAACGTTTGAATGTTGTTCGTTGCCGAGGTTTTCAATGGCCTGAATGCTGGCACGCCAAGCGGTAACGATTGAGCTTCGGTCATCGCTTGTGGTGTGTTTCGTTTGTAGAAAATTGGTGCGCGGGTCGTTGACGGCATCAAAGCGCCCGGTCGCTGTTGTGCATATGGATATGGGAACGATTGAACGGCTCTTTGTTTCTCCGCTGCTGGTGGCGATGTCGACTGAAAAAAAAACACATACATTTTTCGGTTATAATGAGATAACACACCAATTTCTCATTGAACAAATTTCAAATAGCCTCCAATTATGAAAATTATTCAAATTTTAGTGAAAATGGCCCAAGAATAGCCATTAAAAAATATCGATATGACTTACGGGCAATTTTGATGCTGGCAGCGTTCCAACGCTATTAGTGGCAATCAATGCATCGGTATTACTGATCGAACGTCTCTTGTTACCATCCAAATTACCCAGCGATTCTTCTAAACCGAGCTCATCACCGACACTAAAACCTTTTCGACGAAGGGAAATAACGTTTTAATCAAAGCTTGAAAAGAAGTCAAAATAAAGGTTTTCTCTTTTGTCTCAAATGGGTAGTTATGAATACATTTGACCGTTTGACATGCTATTTTCTGGTGTTACCGTGTAATTTTCGAGACAGCGGGCAGACAGAGATCACCGATAAATATTAGAAAAATGTACAATAGTTTTTGAGATTATATAATTGGATAGTGAGAAGGAAAAAAAATTACACACGAAGAAGTATTTACAAGATTTGTTTTTCTGGTTGTCGTTTTGGATGCGGTGACAATAAAAAATAAACGTTGGGATCGAAAGCGAAAAATAAAATAAAATGTACAACAGTAAAAGTGATAGGTAGATTATGAGATTCAAATGGGTTGTTGTTGTTGTTTTTTTTTCTCATTGGTTAAAATGTAATGGTTTCACGTTTACACGCATCACCAAACTACCCAAGCCCTGAGGAATGGTATTATTGATTACGTACACACTTCGATTAGAGCTAAATTAAGTGCGTAAAAGCTTTTGGTGTTTTAATTCACCATTAGCCATATATTACGCATTGTACCCGAGCTACATTTTACGAGTTTCGATTTAGAGAAATTCCGATTCGAATTTTAAAATAAAATAAAATGAAGAACACGTCGTATGGAAATGCCAGCGATAAATCACTGGTCTGGTCAATGTATGTGATTCATAGAAACACACATTTTGAGTCATTTCAGTCGGTCAGTCAACAAAAACTTAATTACCTAAACCGAAATGGGCTTTAACGCCGCCCAAATTTCGAACACGGAACAGAGACGATTTCTTGAAGTTGCAATTGATAATGAAACCGAACTCGGATTCAAGAACACACGTCGAATGTAGAACACCTAAAAAAAAGAAGTAAAATGAAGCAGTGGTGAAAATAAAGAGGAAAAAAGCATTCATATTTAACTATTCGCTAGTATAATTGGTCTAAATGGTGTTTTATGCGTCAATGGCATTTAATTTTGTGTGTAACCTAATATTTCAACAGAGAAAAAAATGCTTATGATTTTCGTGCAAACAAAATTAATAACGTTCGCCTCATTTCTTCCTTCACTAAATGTGCGAATGAATGGGTCTAACAATGGGTGATATTCATTAGAAAACAACACAAAGCGCAGCGAATCCAACTGATTTTTATCAAAATGATTTGTTGTTTATTTTTTGGTTTGGGTCGCTATTGTGTTCAAAATCCATTTCACGATTTCCACATACAAATACATCAATGCGATGCGGCCGACCGTTGAAAAGAAAGAAGACCATCCGAGAACTAAGTACGCGCCCGAATTACATACAACTATCATTTAGCTTTCTTTATAGCATTTTCTCCTTGTTCTTTTTTCTCTCTGCCTCTCAATCGATCGAACGATCGATTGATGTCTAAATTACACCTAACACGAATGTATGCATTGTATCGATCGGTTTATTGTGCTGTATCAAGTCCATTTGATGATTCTCTATAATTTTATGATTCACTCAGCTGGAGGAGCTTGTTTGCTTCGATCAATCGCTTTATGAATATTATGATATGGAATTAGTCAAAACGGGCACTAATTTGTCGATGGCTAAAATGGTAATTATCACATCGTATGCAATAAACGTAATCAATTTGCGACCGATGATCGAATCGACTAGCTGGCTCATCCATCGCCATTGATAATGGCCAACCAATGAAATTGGTTTCGCTTCAATTGCGATTAACGTAATAATTTTTGAAATGAAAATCAAACTGAATTTCAATCGATTGGATGACTCACCGTTTTCTCTTAAGTAGTTGCTTGATGGTTTTCAACTTCTTGACTTCGCGTCGAACGCCGTTGATTGGAAGAAAACGAGAAAAGCGCTCGAGTTGCCGGTGCATTAATATGTAATGACCGTAATCAAATAGCGTGAGCAATAAATCAACGGAGAAATGTGCAAAATGCCTCACGACAAAGAGTTCAGACGACGCGTACGAGAACGATGTGTATTCAAATGTGTAAAGAGAGTTATGACGGCAATTGAATACGCACACTACATAATTCAATGACATCGATCAACTTTCACAAAAAAAAACCTAACACCGCCGCCGTCGCGATAAACACTAAAAACCACTCATTTAAAGTGCATATTTGAGATACAAAGCCGTACGCACAATTTCTTTGAATTTCCGATTGACAACGATTGAGACAGACTTTTTTTTCTTCTTTCAAATAGAAAATTACCGTACACCGTGCACGCAATATTGTTGTGGCTTTTGCGGTGCGAGGACGTCGACATTGTTGAAATAAAGTAGTTCAGTTTGTGCTTTAAAAAGTGCTTTTTTAGAAAGTGCAGTGTGTTGTTGTGCGTTTGCAGATGACGCATCGTCGCGATGACAGTATCGTGTTATCGAACAAGAAACTCCGGTATCGTACCGTACGTTAAATTATCTGCATCGACAAAATTGGCGGCAATAAAAATGTATTGTTTTTTATTGTACAGCATGTCAAGTATGGTTCGATATGTTTCGATTGCAGTGCGAAATGAATTTTTGTGGAATGACAGTATTTCTATTTTTAAAATACCCTTGGAATCGGCAGCTTTGTAACATTTTGGTTGAGAGGATTTTCTGATGTGGGTAAATGCGAATGATTCACATTGAATTAAATTACAATTGATCAATTTTTGCTTTGAACTGAATTATATTGTTTGAAATCAAAAGTCATGTTATCATCCACAACCTTCTGCTTTGAATGACGCGCATAACTTTGGAAAACACGCTAACTAGCCATACCTGAAAGGTATGCAGTCAACCTGTAGATATAGCATAGATACCGTATGCAAACAATCTCTTCACGTTTACTTTGCAAAATTGGTCTGTGTTAACGAACCGATTTCCAGTTTGGTTGCGACGGCGACGGCCACTATGTCATTTCACAGTCGATGACTTTCCAACAGATGTCATGCACATGAAACAGAAAGCAATAACATCAGTAAGTAGCCACTAGCATTCGGACTGGCATCTTTCAAATTAATTGATAGTTTACATTGATCGGATCGATCGATAGTTTGGCCATTGTAATGGGGTAATTGACACCAAAAAACACAATAATTTGATGTGTGGATACGCTGCCATCGGGTTAAACTTTGTGAATGAAGATGTTTGATGCCTAGCAGAAGATTGATGGCAACGGAATGCGAGAAATACGCGAAGACTAGTGACAAATGGCAGACGAACGATACAAGATGCGATTACAAATTGCAAACAACTAATTTTTAGCGCTAAATGAGCTGTGATTAAGTGGTGGTGAATGGCGAAAATTATGCAATGTTCTGTCGAAATAGGGCAAATTGAAGATCAAACTGGAAGTGAGATCAACTTCGGCAATTTTCTTAACGGACCATTTTTGAATGGGATTTTTGACTAAGTGCGGCACATTTTTGAATAAGCTCAACTTTTAATAAAAAGCCGAAAAATTGATGGCCAAACTTTGAATAAATAAATAACTCAATAAAATTTGAAATAATTTTTTTTCTATTCCCATAAACAAAAGGGCTATTCAAATGCAAATTTTCGGAGTAGACCATTTATGATGTTGAGACTACTGTTGATAATTTCCATTTAATATAGTTCAAATGCTCGTAATAAGTGCCATGGTCCGCTTTATTGAACTTATGAAAAGATATCACTTTTATGATCAATTCAAAAATGGTACGATTGCACGTGCAACTTGGCATCATATGGGAAATTGCTAACAAGGTTCGATAAAATCGATTTAGTGCCGATAGTTTTGAAAGGCACGCAAGAAAAATGGGCGAAAAAGTTGAGCCAATAAATTCTCAATAGCCGCAATTATTCAGTTTGTCAACGGGTGACCTTAGCGTAAACTACTTAATGCCATATTTTTCTCTCTCTATCTTTGGCTGGCTTATACATGTGATATGTACGTCTCATTGTGTGAGACAACGCCTCGTCGTTCATATCATGCTGTAAATGCATCGATTGAATATTTTGGGTCAGAAGCAATGGATGATTTATTTGATGTCTATTTATGGGATCACATAGTAAACACAAAAAATTCCAACCACCACCTGGGCATTGTGTAATTAAGTTGCGGGATTTTCAAAACCTAATTACGGATGTCACGAAACCAATGAGACTTCAACAACAAGGTAAACCCGTCCTTGACTTTCAACTACGATACGTTTCGGGCGAAGAATTATAAATCATGCATTTCGAATAATTGCTATCATTCTGTCGTATAGAAATGCATGACATTGCCCTGGAGTTATTAGATGTCGATTGTTCAGGCACTATCACTTTGCATATATGACAGTGTAATGATTCTGACTTCTTCATTCGGATTCACATGAATCCAGAAAGATCGACAAGTGAAATTAACACCGATATTTGCATGTTGAGTGCTTTGTGAAATAGAAACCGCCCAAAAATGGCGGTTGGTTTGTGTCACCAACACGCAAGCATGACTATAAAAAAATTCATGTTTTTTTCCCTGTGTATCTCTACTCTTTCTCAACTCAACAAATCATGCATAGAAATATTGATGTGACGGCATTTATGGTGATGATGATTCGAACAAAAAAAAAACACTATGTTTGGTCCATGATGGTTTGACCCACATATTTTTCGGTATGGCGGCGTTGATTATTAACACATCTGTTTATTATCATAATTCATATATGAAGCGCTCGTTTTCTAAAAATCCAAAAAAAATGAGCTTGACTCTTTGGTGTCACTGTTCCACTCAACTACTTCCTACAAACAATGTTCCTTCACTCATCCAAAGAAAAAATCGCATGTAATAAGGTTGTCTCAGTTATAAGCCCTCATTATGCTATTGTTATCGCTGTGCAAGGAGTGTTTTTGATGACCCGTAATTAAGAAAATGACAATAACAAAAATGCCAATCAACGAATCTACAATTAGAAACGGTTTGACCGCGACATCAGCATACTATCGTATGAGAAAGAAAAACGACAGAATAACAAAAGCCTATTTAAACTAGCGAGAATCTGGTGTACTTCCATGGCACATAATGACTTAAAGCTTAAGGTTAAGGTTCGGTGTTCTAGCATTGGCGACAGAGTTCATGTGCTTTTGATTGGTTTGGACAACAATCACTTTGTTGTTGTGGGCCGCGCACGACTGCAAACGCAAAACATGACCATTCATCAAGGAATCATGACAAATAAATGAAATCCATCAGTGCTTTGGTTCATTTTACTTTTTGATGAAATGCTTGTTCATTCACGGAAATTCCATGGAAAAGGCTTTGGAGCATTCTTTTTTCGTTTGCAAATGATAGAGCGGCTTAACGATCAACATTAAAATGATCGTGATTGTACGTCGTATACATACTACATAGTTACTACGTGATATAAATAGTTGAGCATAAGATCCTCATTCACTGTGAAATTGCAAATACATTCATTAAATGATCGTGAACCACGACCATCATGAACACCAATCAATTAATTGGCGAATATTTTTTTTCCACTGAAAATGCCACCTGCAGCATATTATTATTTACTTGGAAAGTATTTTGTTTCCATCACTTCTTTTTTCAAATGATAATTCTCGATGATTTAAAAAAATAGGCAATCCATTAACGATAATACCCATCACTTACTATGTGGTGCTTAAGAAAAGGCTCATGAAATAATTCACTGAACGAACTAATCAGTGGGCAATGAACCGAATTTGCAAACTTACAAAAGAAGAAGGAGAAACATATTAAATCATTTTTTTTTTCAGACTGGCCGGTGTCTTTTTTCCTCCAAACGGCGATCTAGTTTTGTTCCAAAAATTCAGGGTTAACTTTTGTCATATTATCTATCACATTACACACATGGTCGTTAAATTTAAATATGAATTCGGTTTTATTGGAACAATGTGATCATTTTATTTACGAGATAAAAGTTTTGTGCAATTTCGATTTTGGTATTTAAACATGCATATGTTATCGTGTACAGTGAATATGATCCCCTGAAATGGTTCGCAAAGATGAAAGTGTTTTGGATTTCTTAATGTGAAATTCATGAGTTTCGCTTAATCCTAATTGGTCAATCAACGGTTTTAATTCCAAGCAACTTGATTTAATGCAACTTTGGTCCGATTGAACTAACCACATGCAAATAATCCATAGCCATAGGAGTGTAGAAAATAGTAGTGTAAATTAGATGGATGAGCAATTAAACTACAGCAAAATATCATCATTTTGAAGAAGGAATGCAGTAATGAGATAGATAAGGTGATTGAATGTGAAGAGATGGCTCTCGCGCGCGCAGGTAAATCATTCCAATGATTCATGTTGAACATGAGCAAAATTTGTGCGATCATAACTACTACTCACCGATCATATGTATCAGCAGCAATAATCCAACCAGTATGATTTTCATGGTGCTTCTCTTCCACTCTGGTTCGCCTGTCTCGTTCACAAATGCACAAATCCGTTCGCCACTGCTTGTTGTTTTTGTTGTTCGTTGGTTTTATTATCGATTACGCAAATCGATATAATTCCAGTTTAAGACGTTGAAATACAAAACGGTTATGAGGCGCTTTGTCGTTGAAAAGATTCCGTTTCGACGGTTGAAATTGCGTTCGAAAAATCACTAGTCTCTATTTTTTGTCTCTCTCTCTCTCTATAAATGTTACACTAAAATGAGAGGTTTCGAAGCAGTGCACAGAGTTTTCATTCAGCTGGCTACACAAGCATCGGTTCGCTTGCAAACATGTGCGAGCATTAAATAAACTACCGTGCTTTAACTTTGTACGGAACTAAGTAGATCTAAAAAACAACTATTTGTTTGTTTAATTCTTTTGAACAAAAAAACTTCCACTTTTTCCCCTTTTCGGATTGTTCAAATTGTTCACTGAAACACTTTGTGGGGCGATTTTATGCAAGAAGCCTTTTTTTTAAAAAGAAAAATTATTGCTTATCACTTTTTGGGCTGAAATTAAACAAAATAAAAAAGCACTTTAATTAAAACAAAATTCGTAATTAAAATGAATATCACACTAGTTTTTATTCTCTCACTCTCTCACTGTCTCTGTCGCTCATTGCAAGTGTGCACACCACTACAACCATGTACGGACTATGTGAATTGTGCGAGAGAGCTGCTATTTTCATTTAATTGTATTTTCATTAAATCAACACCGGTGAAACGAAACAACGAAATCTCCAGTGAGTGCGCGCTCGCTCGCACGATATGCATGAATCCCCATAACATTAGTAGCCTAAAAAAGCAACTTTCGTCTTCAAAATTAGACGAATTAAAATGAAGCAGAAGAAAACAAATTGATGCGGCAATGGAAGAAAAAAAGCATAGCAGCCACACTTAGCCAGCCAGCATCAGGTGTAAACATCTCGGTGTGTGTGTTTTCGGTTCAAATTCATTTGAATGCGCTGCGAAACATTCAGGTGTGTGTATGCTTATAGTATGAAACGCATAATGTTATGATTTCATTCGTTAATTATAATCTTTTAATTTGCGTTTGGAAACTCGCTTTTTTATTCGCTTCTTTTGTTTTATGCACTAGTTTTTATTTCTCTCTGAGTGTGCGCACACGTTCGCACATTTCATTTCTGCATACACATGCGTTGAGACTGTGTGCAATTGGAATTTCTGTTGTGCTTACATTTCGCTGAAGAAAAAAAAAATTGAATGAAAATTCAAATTTCAAGTGTGACTCTTTATTAATCCGATGAAATCTGCACTTCTGTGTCAGTTTTTTCGTTGTCTTTTGTTCGCGACTAATTTTCAGCATTATTTCGCCATTACGGCGCTAATCTAATTTCACTGCGACAGATTTTTTTTTCTCACACTTGCTTTTATGTGTCTCATAATTTTTAATCGACGCCAATTCTCCATTCAAATCAAGCCAAATTGTTGATTTTTAGTATTGCTGTCTCTCTGGCTAATGTGATTTCTCCTCTTTTTTTTGTTTGGGCTGTGTCTCAAATGTCTGCTTGCATTTTTTGATGAAATCATTAGATTGAATTGGCAAACGAAACAAAAGTCGCATGTGAATTGTATTATATGAGCTCTGATGGACTAATGCACCGGTTTTCCGTTTGTCGTATGTGTATGTGTGTTGCAATTTAATACGCACAATGCGTTTATGCTTGCACTCAAGCTCCAGTCACAGTCAGTTTGCGTTGCTGATTCGCTGAATCACTAGATGAGTGTTTGTTTTGGTACGTGCTCATTGGTATAAGACTTGCCAATTTGAACAAGACAAAAAAACAATTACACTTAAATGGTCGTCATAAAAAAAACCATTTTGATTTCGATACAATTCTCTGCAGCCGCCACAATTCACCACACTCGACTTACATTGAGGAAAAAGTGCATCTTTTACACAAATCGAAACAACGGCATAACAAAATCATTGGCTCAACCAAACCAAACCGCCTGATATAATGTGAGTTCAAAGTTGTTCCACTTTGCGAAAAATGTGATCGCGTTTTGCTGTGGAAAAAACCGAAACGACAGCATATTTCAACGGTTCGAAGAATAATAACATTTTGTTCTCAAGGTGGACGCTATTTCATACAGATTTCAACAATTATTATCGATTCCCTTGCATTCAAATGATAGGCTAGCAACAACAAAGTTTAAGACTGATGTGTTTTTTTTTCTCTTCTGCTCTGCATCGGTATCGAGAACCACTCAAATGGAGTGGTGTGAAAAGTGTACGGTGACGGTGATGGAATTAATTTTATTAGAACGTTCTTGCCAAGTGAATTCGTAGGCAAGCTAAGCGTTGCAACGGTACACGGGTGCGAGAGCCTGATTGACACTTTAACACGCAAAATCAACACAATGTAGATATGCAACAATGTATCAATTTATCTTTTCATTGGAATTGCATGCGCCAAGACGTAACTGTTTATTGATCGCACTGTTACATTTTTCTTCTCTCTTCTGTACATTGTTGTCTCCCGATGGCATTTAAAACCGTCATTCAGTTCATTGCCACAATTTTTCGCAATCACAGAAAGCATGTGAAATCCATTTAAGTTTTCGTACATTCTCTTTTCTCCCGACAAAAAAATAATAAAACGCTTATCAAAATGTCAGTTCATTGTCACAATGGCATATATTGATCAAGCGCAAACCACACCATGTCGAACTGGAATTGCAGTGCGGAGTTATTCTTTAAAAAAAGAAAAGAAACTCTCAATAAATCAACACAAAGCGAACCAGGCGGAATTCCCCAAAGTGGATGGCCATTAAAAAATGTTATCAAAGGGGAAAATGCAGGTTTCGAAAAATGTAAATTGCATTGTGCTGCAATATCGAAAACAACGGCAGTATTCATCTGGCCGTTCTTACAAGTGGTTCGGGTTTTAATCGTTTCATTCAAGGTCATACATTCACTGATCAATCGATTCGAACCAAATACATATCTCGTTCATGCAAACACACGGCGCTGGCTGTGCAAGAGTTGAAAAAACAGCTCGCACAAAAAAACACGTATCGCTTTTGTGCGATTGGGTATATTTTTCTTCTCTCTCTATCCGTGGCTATTTACATGAAATGATAATTTTGTTCCAGTTACGAATTCAGTGTGGCTGAATATGCGTATACATTGAAATTCCGTTGGGTAGCGCATGTGTACGATTTTTGTGGCATTTCTTCGTTTGACGAGCCACCGAAATTGACGGAATATTTTGATATAACACCAGATACCGCTTAATTTGGAATATACACAACGATTCGGCATTAGAATAGGCAAATCAATCGAAGGGAACAAACATTGATACAAACAAGCTCTTGATACAAATAACCGTGAATCACTCATGTCAATCGTAATCCTTGAAACATTTTGATGCAAAATACTTTTTTTTTCAGTGCAAATAAACATGGTTCAAACATTGAATAGAGAAAAACGGTAATTTCATGCATTATTTAACGTGCGCGTCTTCATAGACAATGAAGAAAAAAAAGAAGAGTTGTTGTTTTTGCTTGTCGAATAAGGTGAACATACCGAATAATTTCACTTCTATATTTGGCTCATCGTTTTGTTTTATATTTAGAATCGATCAACCATAAAAATGTGAATTTTTGATAAGCGATAACTTCATTTTTATTTCTTCTTTTTCGTTGTTTTTGAACAGTAAAAATGACGGTAAACATGCAAATATCTTTCACCGCTAATTATACCCAACTTAAGTCACGTACTACGTTTATTTTGGGTAAAATGTATGCGTCAATATTTGGGTATTTTGCATGACAGCTCATGCTGATTTTCACACCATACTCGAAACAACAATCGGCATCCAAGATATTGGAAGAAAATGGCTGGGAAAAGTGTCTCCACAATGCCCTACTGACATCATTTGGCTCCACTTCATTTGATTAACTGTCATAAAAGCGATCGAAAACATTGTGTCGCTTTGGTTTGAGCCGATTGTGTCAGATTCGTTTTTATTGTTAAGCCACTTCCATTTCTCGCGCATAATAATTTCCAGCGATGAAAGTTTTCAAGAATTGTCATTATGCTGTGCGTTTGTTTCTTTAGAAAGTGCATAAGAATGACAGAAGCACGTTCCATGAATGTGTGTGTGTGTGTGTGCGACTGTGCGTGGTTTCTTTTTCGGAACGAATTGTTCATGAAGTACTAAATAGGTGCGACTGTAAGCGAATCGATGAGTTTCAAATTACATATTGACATGAAAAATCTATTCATGCAAAACCATGAAATGGCATTGTTTGCTCACATTAGCTACGGTTTAATCTGCGGTATCCATTGGGTATAAGGGTAAAAAAATAATATCTGGCATCACGGATAAAAAAAGTAGTTCAAATAAACCTGATTTTCATCGAATTTAGTCGTGCCGATTACGCCATAAAACCGTTAAAAACTCAAAATCTGATGAATTTTGTGGTTTTTTCTTCTTCGGATTTATAGTAAACTCTGACTATGAGCCAAAGAAAAAAAATCAACGCCGCTTCAAAGGTGAATATATTTGATAAATGCTCCAGTGTATAAAAATCGATTTCGATTTTAACAGCCGATTGAGAAATGATCGGTGTGTCATTTCGGTGTTTTATGGAATATCTCGGCACATTTGATACATGAATTATTTTAATTTGTTAATTAAGAAACATCAAAAATTTATTCAAAGCCAACACAGCTAATGCTGCGCACGAGATATGTCAAAATGCCTGAAGGTCAAATCCATAATATGCATCATCAATCGTTTGATTGTGAATTTCAAAGAACAATCAAGCGAATTGTTCGACAGCAAATACCATCGCGGTAAATCAATGCAGAACATTTATACAAACAGAAATTGTAACATTCACAAGTGAGAAATGCACATCCGAGTCAAGGTACTCAAGGTTGATCAACAAACAAACAGAAGCCGATTCATGTGTGCTGAATGCTGATTTATTCATTTGTCTTAATTCACTTTCAAACGATTCAATTTGACGATTGTTTTTTTTCTCTTGATTCATCACAAATGCTCATACCGCGCATGCGAATGCAATGAGAAGTTCAATTGCACGAGCGATTGAATCGGTTCAAGAAGAAACCATTTTTCCTCGGGTGATTGCCATGTGAACAATCCCATTGTGCATTGATCAATCATATAAGCAAAGACCTTGAAAGAAATTGAAATAGTGCGTTCGTTGTTTGTTTTTTTTGTTCGTTTCGACTGACGTTTTTCAATCCATATGTGAATTGTGAGTTTTGCTAAGAGGTTCCGACATTTCAACAATACTTTCTGATTACGTTTTTTTTCATCTCTTATTTTCTGTCGATCTCTTTGCGTACCTCAACAATTACCCCATACATTGAAATCATCATGAATTTACAGTTGGAATTGATAACATGCCGCGCTGCTAATTGACACATTTTATTGGGTTGTCCCATTCAGATATTTTAATTATCGCATCATAACTTGTGCTGACCACTTTTGTGTGCTCAATGTAACTAAATGTCAAACAAATGTTGAAAATTGATATTTTCAATTGGCCCGGTTAATTGTTTATAGCAATCATTTATGCTTTACTTTCGATGGGCCGATTCTCATTGCCATCGATGGCATTTAAAAAGTAATCAGTCAAACGTCACTGTTTTTTGTTGTCGATATCATTGATCATTTGTGTTTTTCATCTGATCGGCGTTTTTTGCGCTTCTGATGAATCAACCATTCAATGATCGTTGAATGAATAACCGTTTAACTCGGCAAAACCGTACACTAATCATGTTTCAATTTCATAATTTCACTTATTTTCGATGCAGAAAATATGAAACGGCACGCTTTTGAATCGCAACAATTTCCGTGCTTTGATGATCTCACCACCGCAATTGAAACAATGTTTTCATTGCGTGCATGTGATGATGATCGCTCATCATCGTGTGCATTTTTCGCATATGTTGCACGCTGGCAATAAAAACCGAAGTTGAACTTTTCAATTGAATTTAATTGTTTTGTTTTTTTTCTGTTTCTGGCTTGGTTGTTTATGGTTTTTCTGTGCGCGTTTCTGCGCTTTTCCGTCGCTTAGAGCATTGCGGTGGTCAATGCAATAAAATTGAGAAATCGATTAAAGCGAGACAATAACAAAGCGAAAGAAAAAGAAATACCACCTAAGTGAATTGAGTGAATTGTGGTCACTGAATGGGAAAAAGTACAAGTGAAAGAACAAAATCACGATGATTAACGGCATCGGTGCGCGATAATTATCCAACACAAGCGAAGGAAAATAAAACGGAAAACCCAAACTCGATCGGAAATTTCGAGCAATCGGAAAGTTCCAGAAACGATTTTCATGTGACGAGGTGCGGTTGGAAATTCTTTAAATTTAAACACGGAAAGAGAAATGGCATGAGAAATCTGAAGAAGCAGAAAAAACCCATTGGCTGCACCAAGTAGTATCCATGTGTGGGTAAGAAAGCGCCAAAAACATTCAAATCAAATCGATAAATATAACAGAATATGAAATTGATAAAAGAGCATTCCGAACCTGCGATCTGGTGTATGTGGTGCGGTGTGTGCGCACGCGCACTCAAACATGGCACACGGAATCAAGATGAACAAATATTTATGTATGAATGAGCAGAAAACGACGTAGAAAAAGAAGAAACGAATAAAAGTGTTTAAACGGTAAAATCTAGGTCAAATGATATACATATGAGAAAAAAATCGCTTTTTCTCTCTCTTCCTCTCTTGTTCTTGTTTGCGCACCGATTTTTCTTCTTCTTTTCTCAAATGGTTTGGCTGTTGTTGTTGTTGTTGTTGAATATTGCCGCTTGCTTGGCTGCCTGCTGCTCTGTCATTTTAAATGCACACAGATATTTCCTCCAGAGTGCTAATGCGAATTAAAAATCAAACATACTTCAGCGGCTATTGCCTGCCAAAATGACTCTCTATTTTTTGTTTCGCTTCTTTTCCAATCATTGTGTTTTTTGTACGTATTTTATTTAGCCTCGGCCGCTTGTCTTGTTACTGCCCGTTGAAATCTTTCTTTTGTGAGCGACTTGGACACTCGTGGGTTTCGGTGTGTGCGTCAGGTGTGTTTGTGTTGTGATAGTGTATTTCAATTTTTTGTCATTTCTTCAACTATTTGAGCCGGAGCTACGCTTGATTTTGACTGTGCCAATGAACGGTGAATATTTCATATGCGCGCTGACACACACTCACACGAGCACCGCATACTGACTTGTTGACTTTTAATTAATTCACTTTTCTTTACGTTTTTATTCATGGAATAAAATAGTGTATTATACTGTTCTTTCTTTTCGGCTGCTTCTTCTTCTCGCCGAGAGTTGATTGTCCAGATTTTGTTTACTTTTGGTCATTCTTCACTTTTTTTAATAACTTTTTTCTCTCACTCTCTTTACGAACGAACGTAAACATTTGCGTTTATTCGTTGAATTTTATATGGCTACTGAAAGCAAGCAAATTGTGCAGACTCGAGAAGCGGTCACGACAAAACATGAACAAAAAATTCGCTTTTCAATGGACAGGATCCGTTGTTGTTTATTTCTTCATTCAACGCTGTGATGATCATTATCAGTGGCTTGTGCGTGGAGCGTCTTAAGCTTCTATGGAGCAATGCACTTATATAAAGAAAAATTCGGCGTAAACATTGTTTTTGCTATGAACTGCCCACGAATGATGTGGTTAAAAAAGTTTAAATATTCAGCGCGAAAATCAACAATAACGTAAATCATAGCGATGATACCACTATGGTGATTCATTGGCCATCAATCTGAAAAAATCGGTTTATTGCGAGGCCTCATTCCCATCGATACAAATGAATTAAATTGTGCGGCACGCGACGAAACATTTTATCGACGGCAAACTGGGGAATAACCATCTGCTCATGGAAATATTTGATCGAGATAAGTATTCCCATTTCCATTTGAAGAAAGAGTGTACTAATTTAGGCAGAAAATCAAACAGCCACAGACACACACATAACAAAATAAATCATAAAAATCCAACAAAATTTGCAATCTAGAGGTCATTTTGACCGATTTCCAATTTGACATTTCTGCCTACTGCACTCTGATTTCGATCAGTTGTTGATGGTTTTATGTCGCTTGTTTTTCGATTGTTGATATGCAAATGGCCAGAAATTAAGTGCGATTTGATTTAATTCTCCTTCAAAATTAATTGAATGCCTTCATTTCGGGACTTATCGTGCGTAAGCTCATTTTCTCTAAACGTAAACCATCATCATTAGCCACGGCACAAGGATGTTCCAACGCATTTTTTTTCTGTCTTCTCCAGCCTAATTAACGACCAAGGCTCTTGTGATGCTAGAAAGTAATTTTTGATTGCTAATTACGCACACGATCGATTGACAATCGGTAAACAAAAACATGCCATTGAATTGATAACAATAACAACAACAACAACAACGAAAAAAACAAATTCGTGTCAAGAAAAATAGCCTCCGAAATATTCCGATGAGAATCGGTTCGGTCACTATACAAAGTATGGTTTGGAGTTTTTTTTTTCTTCACAATTGCGCAAAACAAATTCACATTTTTATAATCTTGCTCCGATTCCAAATTAATTTGGTTTATTTCAGTTTTTTACGACTCTGGTTTTTCTCGCTATTCATTCACATTTTCAAATCCACTGCAAAAATGTTCAATGAAAACTTCACTAGTTTCGTTGTTTTTTTTCTATCACGTCGAAGACTTCACGCGCACAACAATTGGAAATAGCAGCTCTCTTCCATTCAAAACACCGTTGGGTCTTACCTCCGATGGAAGAAAAATTGAAACGATATCTTTTCGCTGTGGAACGATCACAAATAAAAATCGACTGTAGTTCACTCATTGACCATCTCGCTAAGACTGGTTCGAATGGTTTCGAGCGGCAAAGAAGTGTGCCATGCTCAAGCCACATAACGTACACATACAACACAGCGCAAGCAACGCTGATAAAAATGAATCGACTGGGTTTGAGTGCGACGCATATACATGGCGTTGTGTGTGCAGATGAGTGAGAGGCGAATCGTAGGCAAATGAGTGAATGGTTTTTCCATATGTGCAATGAATTTTGTTCATTCAAGACATTGTACCGACAACCGGAGAGATCAATGCGGAGAGGGCGAAGAGAACAGCATGAGCGCGGACGCCAAACGAAGAAATACAGGGCCAAGTGCCACTGAACGATATCTATACTTGCACTAATGCTAATTAAAAATCATCGATATGCAAGTTTGGATCTTTTTTTCTGTTGCTGTCGCATGCGCTATGGACCAAAAGCCAGTGTGATATTTATTAGTTTAGCAAGCGCGTTTTTTTTTCTAATTAGATAAAAATTAGCATAAAATTTGCGGACCAATTAAACGAATCTGCTGAAGTTGGTGTTTGACAGAATCTAATCCAATAAATAAATGCAAATGATGTCAATGGGTTTGTGCAAGAATTATCACATGAACTCGAAATGCCATTTTGATCTTTTTTCATGAGATTATTTCTTTTTTTTTTGCTTCAATGAATTGCGAACGGAACAACAACAGAAGCTACTGCAGCCCGATCTTTCGAATTGCGCGCGACGTTTGCAGTGTGTTGGGCGAGTTAGCCCGAAATTTTATTGAATTCGAAAGTGCGGCGAATTGGATGACGACGAGGCGAAATACTACAACATATACACAGAGGCACTGGCGATTGTTCGGTGTTCGATTGAAATGAACTGGCAACTACAAAGTCATACTTGGTGAGTTTGGAAAGGATTTTGATATGTGACGGTTTATAATAATTTGTGTTTTTTTTGTCGCTCTCTCTCCCTATTTGACGGTGTGTGCAATCGTATGTATGAAAGAGTGTGAGTGTGTGTATGTATGGATGATAACGTATGTATTGGTTTCGGTCGAAAAATGTTCAGTTTGCCAATATTAAGGATTGGTGATGAGACCAAAAACCGAATACATCGATAGTTGCGTACATGTACACGCAGTAACCACATAATAGCGACACACACTAAAATAAGAAGAAGAATTTTTCCGTCGTCGTCGATTTTTTTTAAGTAACATTAGATGTAACACAAAACTCAGCAACACAATTAACACAATTTTTTAGGGAAATTCATCTAAAACAAAATAATAGCAAAATATTAATGGAATTCGTTTTGTTTTAGTTTCAAGTGTTTAGTCGTTTTTAAATTCAATCAAATTTTCCAGTGCAAGCGATTTTTTCTTTCTTCTCCCGTACATTTTTTTTTTATTTAATTGTACACACACCGTAACTGAAATCGGGGAGAAAAAAAAGACGTGAATTTTAAGCAACCGAAGAAGTAGAAGAAAAAAAAATCAACCATCCGCATTGAATTTGTGCATTTAAAATCATATACAATATCGACTTCAATAAAACCAATAAATAGTTTTTCTTAAAAACAAAAAAAACGATAACATTAAGTGAAACATTTAAAGCAATCCAATTGAGAATTACAATAGAAAAATCATAGAATTTGCTATTCAGTTCAGTTCAATCGAATTTCATAGAACAACAACAAATCCATTATAATGGACTGCCATCGAATGTGTCGGAGTGTTTAAATAAGAAAAAAATAGTGGATTTCTTGGGAAAGGCACTAAATCATTCCGCAGGAACAAGATTTAGTGGTTTGGTGTGTTTGTTTTTTTTTTAATGAAACAACGTTGTTGTTTTTTTCTTGTGTTCTAGTGGAATTAGGTGAGTTGCTCGTGTGAGACAATTGGATTTGGATTGTGTGTGCACTATCGGAATCGCCCGTACAGACACTGACTGAACTTTCTAATTGCACTCAATGCGCAAATTATAATTCATTATCTTGCATTGATATGACTCCCATCTTGAGATTTCAATTGTTTATAATTCAATTCAATAAACAACGTCTGTGTGTGTTTTTCTCTCTACTGGCTGGCTGGCTGGCTGGCATTGAAAAGCGAAAATTGTTCACGTACGTACAAAGGCAAGAAGTGAATTGCTGTGGCTTTCAACAAAGAGAACTGTCAAACATGCAAAAAAAAATGTCGCAGAATTTCTATGAATCCAATGCTGTTGAAAGTGTTCCGTTTCTTTTTCTCAATGCAATCCAATGAACGCAATTTCATTTCAGTGCTTTTCATTTGCAAAAATTATTTGCAAACGCCATCAATTGCCAATAGCAGTGGATAGGAGAAAAAAAGACAGCAAAGAAAAAAAATGTTGCACGACGCCATCTTGTAAAACCGGCCGATTGCTTCGTGATTTTGTTTTGCTTTTCTCATTTCATGCCATTTGTATCTTGTCATCGAAAGACCATTTGTTTTCTGCTGAAGCGACACAGACAACTCACTTTTCAATGCTCTAGTAACATTGTATTTGAATTATTATTAATTTTTTCTCGCTTGCCTATGCTCTCGCCACAGAAACGATGTGAGTGAAATAGTGATCTTGCACTTGAATAAGATGCGATCCAGCAGCATCATGCTGATTAGATTTAATTGGATAAACAGTTTTTTTTTCTTTGTTTCAATTCACACTTCACGTGAGTGAGGTGTTTTATGACGTACAGAGATGAGTCAAATGCCAAACTTAAATTGAGTTAGACTTGGGGCGATGTCACCAATTGAGAAAAGAAGTGAGAAAAATAAATAAGTCAAATAATGTGATGAATCCAATGAGATTTTATGGGGCACACATATTTGGAAATGGCAAATTGTCGTTCGATTTCATGACTGCGCTTTTCTTCGACGAACATTTTAAAACCGAAATACTACAACGTTTGGAGCTTATGTCATAGAAAATTTTGCGCATTTAAAAAATCGAAATGTCATCATTTTCAGCAGTAAAAAAGAATCATAATAAAAGCCAAAGCAGATACTGATGTGTGATCCGAAAACAGTGTGAAACGAAACGATACGAAAATATTATATTCATATACACATACGCGCATTCAATCGCCTAAGTCCAAAATGTGTACACATTTAAAATGTATTTGAAGTGAGCACACGAGAGTGAATGAGGGAGAGACAGAGACAGAAACAGACCGACCAAGAACGAACAGTGCGTGTGACGTTTTTCGCCAGAATCAATTTGTATATAGCGTATGATTTCATACAAACAACATTTTGCGGGTGTACCCTTGGCTCAAGTGTGTATGCTTGCGTCAACGTTAAAAGTGCACTGGGTGCCCAATGAACCGAAATGAACATGTACCATATAATTTCGGTCGTTTTGCTTTTACATTTTTCCCTTGGGGTTGGGTTTGCCGATCATCGCGAAGAAAATAAATCGCTAATTGCATTACGAGACACGACATTAGTTGATACCAACACATGAATCCGTTTCATCGTTGACACAAAATAGCTGCAGGTGCAAGAAACTTACGTACGCAACGAATAAAAAAAGAGAGAGTTGAGAGAAATGAAGACAAAGTCGAGATCGTAGGCGCTTGCTGTTTTTCACTGTCTCTCTTTCTCTCTCCGTGCAAATGCATTTGTCCAAAAGTCGAATGTATACTTTTACCATTAGGCCAGACAATGAATCGCATTCAAGGTGCTGTAGAACACCGAACGGCAGACGTATCATTTCAAAGTTCGCTAATTCGCCGTCAAATGGAATTGCGAATTGCACGAAACAAAGAAACAGTTCACTTACATGTCGGTCGCGTTTTGCTTATTTTTTTTCTTCATTCTTCTACTTTTCGCTTCTCCTCTCTTGCGAATAATATTTCAACTCTTTCTCTGACACTTTGTGTGTACGGTGAATTCTGTGCGTATGTGAATCTACCTATACCACTGCATCGATTTGTTTTCATTTTCGTCGACTTGTGTATTCGTTGGGTATTTTGCCGTATTTTCGGTTTTGTTGTCGGTTTTTCGGGCAACCAACACATGCAAACGCGTGCTCGCTCGGTCGCTTGCTCGCCGTTGATGCGGGAATACGGAATGAAAATCTCTTGCTCCGCACGCATACACACGACGCACAGCATTCGACATTGGTGTCATACACACAGTGGTGTCTCGGTGCTCTGCTGCTGCTGCTTCGCCTATCGCGAATATACACAACAATCACATCGCGCTCTGTAAACAAAACTGCGCATTCGGTGGCTGTGTGTAGACGATTCACACACGGTAGAGCTCTGTGTGTGCCTTCCATTGGTATAAGTTATTCATTGCTAAGTTTTTTTTAGCTATTCTGTCACTGCTAACTATCCAAACCAATGGATTTCGATGTGTCAGTTTTTTTTTTATTCGACAAGTGCGTGAATTTGTTCTATAGTAAAAGTCTATACAAATTTATGATTTCTTCTCACTCACTCAATGGCCATTTGTTATTTGTCGTTGTGTTTCCTATTTCCAAGCGAGTACCTTTTGTGATTACGATCTTCGATATTCTTTTTGTTGGTAAACGTTGTGTGAATGGTTAAATACTTACGTATGTACATACGTTTTTTGTCTTATGGCTTGGCGTATTCATTATTCATGTTTCACAGTCGGAAGTAATAAATGAAAATCAAATCCTTCCATTATCATTTATTTGAATATGTGTCGGCATGCGATTCAAAATGAGGATGCATTCCAAGAGACTCAATTATTATTGATCGGTTCATTTAAAAAGTGTCATCCATGATGTAAATGCCACATTCCGATGGGCTATGCACACACAATCAGCTGACTTTGTACAGTTTGTTGGAAAAAAGAATGCTCGGTGTTTGGGTTGCATTAACCATTTGTTGATAGATTAAAACAGATAATCGACAAGTGAAATAAAATCCATAAATAATTTTTGTGTAGCCTTTGAACGAGTTTATTGTTTGACGGCTAAAAGAACTGTGCACTCGACAAAAACGAGGTGGATCCCAAAGCTGTAGTTGGAGTCCAACGGGGGAGAGCTGTGTAAAACACAATATAGAGGCTGCAGCGGTGTCCAACGATAGACAAGCAACGGTAGAACATAGAAGAGAAAGAGAAAAAACAAACTAGATTAAGAACGTATTAGGAAAATAATGACATACGATAGCAGAGGCCATGCAGTTGAATCGGCTGATATATCGGATCAACGACACGAAAACACAATGCTCAATCCACGGAATAATGAATCAAATCAACCGTAAGACTCATATAATTTTCATTCCTTTTTTTTAAGTTAACAGGAAGAAAAAACGACTCATATAGTCAACGCCAACATTCTTTGTTGTCGTTTCTTTTTTAATTTTTGTTTGGTGCCTAATATCGTTTCAAATAACGAAGCGGTGCAGATAACAGAAACACTACCACTGTTGTTTCCCCTGATAAGAATGTTTTTATTGTTATTGCACAGCGATAAACGGCCCGAGAAATGGACGAATTCTATTTATTTTATGATTTTCTTCATTCACACGGATTTTTTTGGGCATTAATTTTAAAAAATGTTCTTTTTTTCTGCTTTTGTTTTCTTTGTTTGGATTTAGAACGCCGGAGCAACTGATTGAAAATTTTCCGGAAGCAAAGCTTCGATCACTTATTGCAAAGATATCCAGTCCAAGATGGGTAGTACCAGTGTTACCTGAACAAGAATTGGAATGCCTTTTGAATTATGCGATTGAACTAACGAAGGCTGGTGAGTGCTAACCATCCGAGCAAATTTCCACATTTTCCATTTTACGAAACGATTCAATTCCTTTCTTTTGCTTCTATTTTCTTTTTGGTTCAGGCGTCGATGAGGAATGTGAGTCATGCATGCGCTTCTATCGCGACGGTTTGACGGTTTCTTTCATGAAAATCCTCACGGATGAAGCGGTCAATTCATGGAAATACAATATACATTATTGTATATTTAATTCGTGTGCAAAATTTATGCAATTGTGTGCATTGCATTTGAAACGTGATAATTCGTATTTGTTGGAATTGCTGAGCGTTGTACTGGATCCCGATAATAAATTCAATACGTTTAATATATCACGACAACCGGCCAATGCAACATCGTTTGCAAGCATTGCGGCCAATGCAAAAACGGAGAATTCAATCGGTCAAACCATACCGACGATCAGCACAACTCCTCCCAGCACAACGGCGAGCACGATATCAACAACCGTAACAACAACAACAACAATCGCTACAACAGCAACAACATCTCCGACGTCAAGTAAAGTTTAGGACAAGTTTATTATTAAATTGTCAATGGAAACTGATCGTCGTTTTGTCTCTTTTTTCATTTTGTACACAGTTACTCAAATCCAAAGTGTCAATGAGGAAATAACGACGCAAACAAGTTCGACTTCACCGTCGGCTGTTAGCAAACCAAACACGTTGCCGGTAAACACAACAACGTTGAGTTCAACCAATGTCACACAATCAAGACAATCGCCAGTTCAACTACAAAGCAACGAAAATGCATCATCGATCCCATCACGAAATCAGTCGAATAGTACCGTCACAAATGCATGGGCCACAATGTCAGAGGATCAAATTTATGCAAAATCACCACCAGAACCACATCATCCACGCGGTTGGCTGGTCGATCTCATCAATCGGTAGGTTTTAAAGCGGTTTTCTTATACTGATATGAAGAAATGGGTCTTTTGTCTGAACAAACTTTCATTTTCCATCCAAATAGATTCGGTCAATATGGTGGTTTCGATAATTTGCTCGATCGTTTTTATGCTGGCGTTGCTGCGGTGCAGAAGAAAACCGGCGAACAATCAACGGATGCCAAAGATGTCATCACAAAAACAGCCACATCAAATGGAATCGCAAACACCACCCGTTCAACGGCAACTAAAGCAGCCAACGAAAATAACAGCAACATAACATTGCATTTAATTTATGCATTAGTTCGGCCATTTGGCCAATGCTACGAATTACTTACCGTGCACACCATTGAAAAATACTTTTTACCAATGTGGGAGATTGTCTTGCAATTGCTGAACAATTTATCGGACGACGAGCTAAAACGTGAAGCAAAACCTGAAGGTCGTAACGATTTGATTAATGGCATTATTAAAGCGGCACGATGTTTAACTAGTCGTTTAACGAAACAAGAAAATCTCATCAAAGAATTGGAAATGTTTCGATTGAAAATGATTTTACGATTGTTGAAAATTTCCAGTTTTAATGGCAAAATGAGTGCATTAAATGAGATCAATAAGATTTTATTCGCCTTTTCGTACTATCCACGTCAATCGCAGATACCGATGTGCGCACCCGAAGAGGAAATCGAATGGTTGAATGCGGAAAAGATTGCCAAATGGATAAAAGACAGCAATGTTTTGGGCATTGTGCTGCATGATTCACTGCATCAGCCACAGTATGTGGATAAATTGGAGAAAATTTTACGGTTTTTAATCAAAGAAAAGGCTCTAACGCTCAGCGATTTGGATGCCGTGTGGCAAGCACAAGCCGGTAAACATGAGGCCATCGTTAAGAATGTTCATGATTTGCTCGCAAAATTAGCCTATGATTTTAATACCGAGCAATTGGACCATTTGTTTGGATGCTTTCAGGTGAGTTTCATTTTCTTTCAACCGTGGCCTATGCCCTATGAGTCGAGTTGGAATTAATCCAAATTTAAATTTTGTCCATATTCCACATACAGGCTAGCATGAAATCAGCCAATAAGCATCAGCGCGAGCGTTTGCTCGAATTAATACGTCGTTTAGCCGAAGACGATAAAAGCGGTGTGATGGCACACAAAGTGTTGAAGTTATTTTGGACGTTGGCCCATAGTTTGGAGATCCCAAAAGAAGTGATGGAACAAGCACTGACGGCCCATGTAAAAATTCTGGATTATAGTTGTGCTCAAGAGCGTGATGCTCAGAAAACGATATGGTTGTCAAAGTGTGTGGAAGAATTGAAACAGGACAATGGATGGGTGTTGCCGGCATTGCGTTTAATACGGGAAATTTGCTGTTTGTATGATCCATCAACTAGTCATGTGCAGCGAATGCATCAAAGTTTCAATCGTCAGCATGTGATTGAGCGGCTACAGAATGAGCATACGCTAGTCATTTTGGTAACCAATAGCCTTACCACGTACATGGATCGTGTACGAGCAATTGTTAAAGAGAAACCAGATATCGTGCCTGAAACATTGTTACTGGATCAACGTTATCCGCATCAGCAGCAGATTCAAGAGCGTTTAGATTTTTTGAAATTTGTCCTAAAGGATGGTCAATTGTGGCTGTGTTCCGATCAAGCGAAACAAATTTGGCAGTGTTTAGCCGTGAATGCCGCCTTTCCAACCGATCGCGAAGAATGCTTTCGATGGTTTGGCAAATTGATGGGCGAAGAGCCCGACTTAGACCCCGGTATCAACAAAGACTTTTTCGAAAATAATATTTTGCAATTGGATCCCCAATTGTTAACGGAAAGTGGAATTCGATGTTTTGAACGCTTTTTCAAGGCGGTCAATTCGAAAGAGGAGAAATTAAAAGCAAAATCACGCAGCTACATACTCGATGACGAAGATCTCATTGGCAAAGATTATTTGTGGCGTGTCATTACCACGGGCAACGAGGTCATTTCCCACAAGGCAATCCAATTGCTGAAAGAAGTGTCGACCGCACTTGGGCCACGACTACAAGCAAATATTGCAACATTTCATGAGAACTTCATCCGGGAATGCTGTGATCGGCTGAAAGCTTATTACGACAACATTATGGTTCTTACCGAAACGATGCAAGGTGACAATATACAGGAGAACAGCGACGAAAATAAAGATAATAAAATGCGTCATGTTGAAGCGGAAAAAATGTGCCGTGTTATCATTATGCTGTTGGAATACATTGTGGAATGTGATCGTGCATTTACCGGTGAACGTCTGTTTTTGCCATTGAGTCGAGCCTATCGTGGAAAACACACTACACTTTATGTTCGCATCCAATTCCCGGGCCGGCAACAAACCGAAGACATTGAAGTGAATACACACAGCAACGAAATGGTCGCTTCATTCAAGCGACAATTGCTCAAACGCATCAAAAGCACACCAAACAACATCAAGATCGATTTTTACTATCCAAATGACAATTTGATCGAAATTAACGACGATCAAAATGCAATTAGTTATTATAATATTCGTGATAAAATGTTGATAACCGCCAAACTGTCACCATACAGTCCGGGCTTATCGAGCAGTCCGGATAGTTCGTCTGATAGTAGCACAGGTATTTATTGTCATTTATATTCCGATTATCGCGATTTTTCCTACATTTCTCTCTCGTTCTTGCGCCACAGGTTCTCCACCTCGTCCGTGTCCCGATATGTTGAAACCGGAAAACGAACGACAACTGCCCGGTATCATAATCGCACAAAAGCCAAACTTTACCGAATTCTTTTTGCGATTGTATCAGCTGGGCATCGATTTAAATCATGCACTGTTGCGAGAAGGATGCCGTAGTCTGTTGCACTTATTGCCAATCGATCGATTAACATCACAGAAATTGCAGCAAATGTGCAACCCCTTGGCAACATACGATAACTTGGTGGTGGTTACGCCTGAATCGATGTTCCTGCATCCACCATTCGCGCAAGTGATTTACAATTTGGAAGTGTTGTACGCGTTGCTCATACCGGCCGTCGAGCAAAATCAATCGTTTCAACTAACTTGGATTCACTCAGGTGTTGCTCATTTCATTTTGGAGCTATTGACCAAAAACAATTTCTTACCAAACTCCGATGTACATACTAAACGTGCTGCCTTCACTAACGTGCTGCGTCTTTCGAAGATATTTTTGTTTGTTGTTGGCTGTGTACTGAGCAAAGGTGAGTTTCATTTTCTTTCAACTGTGGCCTATGCTCTATGAGTCGAGTTGGAATTAATCCAAATTTAAATTTTGTCCATATTCCACACAAAGTTGGCGATGAACCGACATCAACAGCAGCTGAAACCGGTCGGTCACAAATCGATCTGCTGAAATCAACGTTTACGAATATTTTGGGCCAGACGGAACAAACGATTCGAGCCATTGCACTGAAATTGGCCGACAGTCTATCGAACGAGATGTTGTCGTATGAACCGGAAGGTGAAACATGTCGCAAATTATTTGCAAGTGCATTGAAGTGGTCGTGTCCAGACGTGCAAACGATCAAAGCGATTGTTCAGTTGGCATGGGCCAGTGGCTGTGGTCATCTCGATATGTTAGATGCGAGCAATAGTTTTAGCGATTCAAAACCGACACCAGAGCAAGCGGATCATAATTTATGCAAGGAAGCTCTTGAAGTGTTGACCATATCTCTGGTACTGAATCCCGAGGCGAGCGAATCACTGAGCAAAGATCCAATGTGGTCAAAATTCATTTTGGCATTAGTACTGGAGAATCCAATGCGTCAAATACGACAGAGTGCAACCGAGCAGCTGTATTTGATTTGCACCTATTGCGCCACCGATTGGAGACCATTCTCATTTGTTATTGCCTTGTTGATTGATGCACTGGAAAATCTGGCACCACACAATTCCAACACGTGTGCCGAATTCTTCCAGCTATTGTGTCGAACATTGAACTATGGATGCATGTACAATTGGCCATTTCCCATTAACGATGTACTATTGACGCAGGAAATCTCATGGCTGCGTGCCATTTTGGAAAATGTGAAACAAACGGGTGAAACAAGCGTGCACGAAGATCTCCTCGAAGGGCATTTATGTTTAACGAAAGAGCTTATGTTCTATTTCAATGCTGATCTAAAGTCGCAGCTAACCGATTTCATTATGGAAATTCTCGATGAATTCCTGTTCCCAGCCTCACGTCAATATTTGCAACTCCATCAAAGCGATCAGTTGATTAATTTTGATGCTGCGCCACCCGTTTGCCGGAGCCCGCATACCATAACGGCCGCATGTGATTTGTTGATTGCATTATGCCAAAATTCGATACCAAATATGAAATTAATCGTTAATAATTTAGTCAATATGATTTGCACACATTCGGAACCGTTACGCGAATGGGAATATTTGCCACCGATCAATGTACGGCCATTCAAGGGATTTTGTGGTTTGAAAAATGCGGGCGCCACATGCTACATGAACTCGGTGTTACAGCAATTGTTTATGGTGCCATCGATAAGAGTTGGTATTTTGACCGCAGCCGGAGCATGCAACGATCCACACGAAGATTTTAGCAACGAAGCTGAGGTAATTAATTACCTTTACACTCATTAAACTCTATAAAGAGATGCTAAATCGACTTTTTTTGCCTTAAAATTTTAGTCGCCACCCAATTATTATGGAAATGAAAGCGACACGGAGCTCAGTAACTTGAGCGCTCGTGAACGTTATAATGTGTCAATTTTAAAGCATGTTCAAGCAATATTTGCTCACTTGGGACACAGTGCACTCCAATTTTATGTTCCACGCGGCTTATGGAGCCAGTTCAAGTAAGTAAATCTGTCATTTTTCTCTCTCGTTAGCCAATTTTTGTGTCAATGTTCTATTAATCCAACTCCATTCTCTTTAGGCTTCAAGGTGAACCGGTGAATTTGCGTGAGCAACAAGATGCTGTTGAATTTTTCATGTCGATTCTCGATAGTTTGGATGAAGGATTAAAGGCTCTGGGCCATCCACAATTGATGGCATCAACTCTCGGTGGTTGCTTCAGCGATCAAAAGATTTGCAAAGAGTGTCCGCATCGTTATTCGAAAGAGGAACCGTTCAGTGTGTTCAGTGTAGATATTCGAAACCATAGCTCATTGACTGAATCACTGGAACAATACGTCAAAGGAGAATTGCTTGAAGGCGCCGATGCCTATCATTGTGATAAATGTAATAAAAAGGTATGTCAAAATTGATGAAACTTGCACATTTTGATCTTGTTTTAAACCAAACTCTTTCCATTTGATTCGACAGGTGGTCACAATAAAAAGATTATGTGTTCGAAAATTGCCGCCCGTTTTAGCCATCCAATTGAAGCGCTTTGAATATGACTACGAACGTGATTGTGCTATCAAATTTAATGATTATTTCGAATTTCCACGCGAATTAGACATGGAACCATACACAGGTATAATATAATGACTTGATTTCCTCACGAAGAATGGTTTAAAATTCTAATTTCCAATTATTATTTTTTTCAAACAGTTTCGGGATTAGCTAAAATCGAAGGTGAAGTAATTGAATACGAAGATGAGTTGGATGATTCACAGAGTACGACCAAATATCAGTTGACTGGAATTGTTGTGCACAGTGGACAAGCCTCTGGCGGTCATTACTTTAGCTATATTCTTCACAAGTAAGTTTAAAATCAGAACAACACGAAAGAAAAATTCCGGATCTGATATTAAACTTGGTTCTTTTCTATTCGCAGGGATTATGAAACGGGTAAAGATCAGTGGTATAAATTCGACGACGGCGAAGTAACCGAATGCAAAATGCATGAGGATGAAGAACTGAAGGCACAATGCTTCGGCGGTGATTATATGGGAGAAGTGTTCGATAGTAATTTGAAGCGGATGCAATTCCGTCGTCAGAAACGATGGTGGAATGCGTACATGCTGTTTTATACACGCTGTGATCAAAAATTCATACATAAAAAATCACTCAAAGAACAATTGTCACTGGCTGAAAGCCGTCACTGTATATTACCAATGCCGGAACCAATCGAACGCAGCGTTCGCATCCAAAATATACGTTTCCTTCATTCACGCAGCATTTTTACACCCGAATTTTTTAACTTCATTCGCAAATTGGTTCATTCATCGGCACCGACGCGTATTGAAAAATTGGTATGACTGAAATGATCAATGGACTCTAAAAAATGAACACTCTGATGCATTTATAACTTTATTTCCTTTGTAGACGCCACAAATTGAGGAGTTATCGTTGTTAAGCATTCAGTTAGCATCACGTTTTTTGTTCCATACTGGATTACATACGAAGAAAACGTTGCGTGGAGCATCAACCGATTGGTGAATATTTTTTTCTTTTTTCCTTTTTAATTGACCTCACACTTTTTCGACCAATGACTTTTTTGAACGATGTTTTATATCGCCACTGACATTCTGTCTTCTTCCTCGATACAGGTACGAAACCCTTTCACTCCACCTTCGTCACTCGCCAATGGTACGACGCTGGTTCAGCGAAAATGCTTTGCTCAGTGTCTCTGGGCGATTGGCTGAATATATTTTAGTTGCACCAACTCCAGAGCTTCGCAGCATGTTTGTAAAACTGATTGTGTTCTTGTGTCATTTCGCCATGACGGATGAACCATTGCAAAGCATACAAACGACGGCCGATTCGTTGTGCGAACAAATTCTATTGCATGTATTGTATTTATTAAAAACGGACGTACCAGATAATGGAAAGCATTTAACGCAATATTTCACATTGTTCACCATGTACGCCGGTATGAGTGTGCAACAAAAGCTGCAATTGCTTAAGGTAAGTTGATGTCAAGCCATAAATTTGTTGGCATTGCATGAAAAAAATCAATCCAAAGACGAAAATTAATCGACTTTACTTTGATTCCCAGTTGAATGTTCCGGCGATATTCATGCAAGTGGCGTTGGACGAAGGACCTGGTCCACCAATCAAACACCAATACCCAGAATTATGTAAATTGCATCATGTTGTATCGATGCTTGTGCGATGCAGTGACATAACATCGGAGTGTTCGAGTCCAAATGAATCGCCAATTTTACCAAATGTCTATGGCGAACCGCAAATCAATCCCGATGAACGACCCAAACTCTCAAAGGAAGCCATGCAACATCTGTTTCAGAAAACAACGTAAGTCAAAAATACGGTATTTTTCACTGTAAAATTCGATTTTTTTCTCAAAATTCGTGGGAATTAAACCATGTTTTCTCTTTCCGTAAATAGCTATATCAAGAAAGTCATTGAAGACGTGCATGTAGGCGAAGAAGGATTGAAATTGTTGCAATATTGTTGTTGGGAAAATCCGATATTCTCACGTAATGTCTTAGTTGAGCTATTGTGGCAATGTGGATTCACATACTGGCACGATTTACGCCATCACACCGATATGCTGTTGAATATTTTGTTGATGGAAGATTCGTGGCAGAATCATCGCATCCACAATGCATTGCTTGGGGTGGCCGAAGAGCGTGAAGGATTACTTGAAATAATTCAGCGAACCAAAACACACTACCAGAAACGAGCCTATCAAATCATGAAATGTTTGGTGCAGCTGTTCAAGACGTGTCAATGCGCACACGAAATGCTGTTAAACAACTTCAAAGTGACAACACAATGGGTGATGGCTTGTGAGTGGCTCCGCGAAGAGCTTGACCGACGAGTGCCCAGCAATCAGTACAGTTACAGTTCCTGGTCACATTCATCAGTGGCCATTTCATCGGTTGCTACGAATGACAACTCCAACGGTTACATGCTCGAGCGATCACAATCGGCCAAAAATCTGTTGACGTTGGCATTCGAGTTATGCCCGAGTGAGGTAAATATATCATTTTTCTTATAAGATTATACTTTTAGTTGGAAACAGATCGAATGAATTGAATTTCGGCTATCAAATCAATTGAAAGCATGACCAATTGTTGAAATCCAATGCTATTTTCCAGCTTGATTCAACCGAAAATGAAGAGATTTCGGATGGAGGTTTGGTACGTTTGCAATCACAACAGATGCTAGATCAAATCCACAGTGACGAACCGCTGCCAGCGTCCGGCACCGGTCCAGTCGATGGTGATAATGATTCATCGGATAGCGCAGAAGATCCACGCGAAACGATGCATTCTGGAATAACAAACAAATCACTTCTTGGAAATATGCGATGCAATCAGAATCTTCGTCACCGAAAAGATCTCGATAAATCGGACACCGTGCAAAATGGTAGGCACTAAACAATAAAAGACTTTGAAGTATTTAGCGATGAATTTTGTTTAAATTATTCATGTTATACTCTTTAGATGAGTTCGAAAATCGACTTTTGCCATACGAAGACGATGAACAAGAGGATGACAACGATACAAATATCACGGATGACGAAGAGAACGTTGATATTGGGGTGAGAAACAAATATGTCTTTTTTTCGATTCATAACAAAACTGAAAGCAAATTGAATTGAAAACTAATCCATTTTACTTGTTATCGTTTGCCATCCACAGAATCATTATTACCAAAAGCTTGGTATCGATGAGAAAACTGACGGCACGAATTCGAGCCGACTGAAATTGCTGTTGACTGAAACGCAAGATGTGGCAAATGATATGAAAAATTTGCTAATCACCAATCCAAAAACGGTTGCCGAGCCAGACACAACAAAGCCAGATGTTAAGCCGAATGTATCAGCGACCAGTTCATCACCACCAACAGTTCAATCGAAAAGCGAACAGTAACATTTGGACAAATGACAGCAGCGGCGACAACGGCAACGACAACGTTCAATCGAATCGAGACGATACTCAAGCCACTGATTTACCAATGCAAACAAAAGTAGAAACAAATGAAGAAAAAAAAAACGAACCAAGAGACACAAAAATAGTTGTCGCTGTTGTTTAGTTCCATGCGTTGTCGGAAGCTCTGCAAGGAGAGTATAAAGAAAATCAGGATAAGAAGAAAAAAAGACCGAATCGTAAACCACAAGAAGACACAAAACGAACGAACGCTGGTCGAATTGTTAAATCTTAAATGAAAAAAAAAAACAAAGAACATATAAATTTCATTTTTTTGCGCTTATGTGTGATATAAAATTAATAACTGAGAATGAATGGAGGTAAATTGATAGTAAAAAAAAAACAAGTTAAATAATCTAAAATCCACTAATTTATATACAACAAACACAACAACAAGAAAAAAACATGGTGAATAAAACAATTGACAGTGAAGAATGAATTAAGAAAATTAGAGCGAAGGAATGGCAATAGAAGAGAATGCAAATGAACAAGATAACGAAATTGAAAGTAATTGCAATCAATTGCTGATATATATTAAATGGAAGATAGAAGTTGAAGAGGAAAAATCCACTCGAGCAAACTGTATTCTTAATCCTGATTTATGTTTAATCACATAATCATCTACTTATTCACACATTCACAGAATAACACACACACAAACACACACCGAGAGAGTAAAACAAATTTAAGCTAAATAAAATTGATCGTGACTCTAGTCCATCGAATCAGTAAAACAAAAAAAATAACATAATGAAAACTTAGCTAAACAAACAAAAAAACAAATCGTTATACAACATCAACAACACAAAAAATTACAAACAATTTTCCAAATATGATTATTATCGAAATAGAATTCAATGAATCAATCGAAATGGTGAGAGGGAGAGAGAGAGAGAGAGAGAGAGAGAGAGAAGAAAAATTTGTTTACATAGATGCTCGCGAATACATTAGGAAGTTAATTTGAAAATTTGCATTAAAAAAAATTAAATTACAATTTTGTTGCAAATGCAATGCAACACAAATGAACTATTGAGTTGTAAAAATCTAAAACTATGGAAAATCAATAAATTTACATAAATTAATATTAGCGCGAGTATTTTCCTCCTTTTTTGAGCACATTTTGGGCATTAAATAGTGGAATGGTGTTAGATGCCAATTTCCACGTGAAGCGAATATTTTTTAAGCGAAACAAGGGTAAGTAGAGCAAACAGAACAAAAAGTAACTTTGTTCCTTCATACTAATTTATTTGTTGTCATTAGTCAGGAAAAGATACATGTAACAATTCAAACAAAAACATGTTTTAATTTTTCACAATCAGTCGATTCATAATAATAAGTTGATAATCTCAAAATGAGGGGGATGAATATTGTCAACAATGATATTGATTGAACGATATCCAGAAAAGCGGTATCGTTGTCAATGTTCAATGTCCATTGTTCGTAAAACATTGGTTATGTATTGATTCCATTTGCAATCTTATGCATGTGACAGGGTCTTAATATTTTCTCTCGTTCAATCGATTGGTCAGTTTTTGGCGCGTACACACAAACACCACTGTATACTTATGCGACGCTTTTCGCACTTAGCACACTATAAGTTGAAGCGAGACAACGCAATACGCGCGTTTACTGTCGAACGCCGTGCGACGTATTATAATTTCAAAACGAAAGAATTCAGTGCAAATCAAACTGTCATCTGCGTCGTCCATTACGCGAATGTCTTAATCGTACATCGTCGTTGAATAATAATTTTCTGATCTATTTTACCAGGAAAAAAAGTCTATTGTTGATGCAGTTTACCGAATCAAAAAAAACAGTGAAAAACAGCCAAACTAACCATCAAAAGCTGTTTGCAAAATGGGTCGCAGAAAAATGAAGAAGAAGATGCCACCGGCAAAGAAGACTGCATCACCAAAAGGTTCGTCGGAAAGAAAATCGCTCAAAGTCACCAGCCTGAATGATAAATGTCTGCTCAAAATTTGCGCGTATTTGGAAATTGATGATTTGGCACATTTGGCAGCATCGTGCAAACGTTTCATCCCGGTTTGTATGGAAATATTTGAGAAACAATACCAAAAGATGCACTTTCCGATTCGAGTGTACGAAATTTACGATGAGGACAAATTCGAGCGCTATGAAAATATGTTCACCTACTTCGGCAAATTCATCAAAAAATTGCGTGTGGAATTCGATTCGTCCGATCATCGTGACAATAAAGACATGCATAATTTAATAGTTGAATACTGCAGCGCCACACTCACCGAACTCCATTTCATTGAGATGGATAAACGCATGGCAATCTACAGAAGGTTCCCGCGACTGACTCATTTAACGCTCACACAGTGTCATTTGAGTGCAACGGTTTCGCATTTCGAGAAATGGTGTCCAAATTTGCGTTCGTTGGAGCTTGAAATGGTTCAATCCGTTACCAACACGGCGTGCATCGAACGACCACTACCAAAGTTGGAACATTTTGGGCTTGTGAGTGTAAATTGATTTTCTAAAGCTAGTCTGTGTTCATTATTTGGCAGAAAAAATTGATCAAAAAATTCACTGTGTGAAAAAAAATAATTTCAAACAAAAAAATGTCTAAACTTTCAGGTGAATTTCATCGACTGCAATTTCAGCAACAAAAATGTTCGTCGCTTCATCAAAAACAATCCGCAATTGAAAGGGTTGCGACTATGTCGTGACATTTTCGGAATGGCACTCAAAATCACCACCGAATACATTTCGTACATCGATCAAATGTTGCCAAATTTGGAGGCACTGGATGTGATTTACACTCACCGATCAGCTCCGCCGGCATGTGTCCATTCGAACAACATTCCACCGAAATTCAGCAATCTAAAATGTTTGCAGATGACGTGTCGATCGGCTGACACTTTATCAGCATTTATGATACCCAGCAAACTAATCGAAAAACTCAGTGTTGATATCGAACAAGGGGCCAGCGAATCAAACCTTGGGTACATCATGAATTGCAAAGAGTTGAAATCACTCACTTGGTGTTTGAACAAAGAGAACGAGGTCAAAAATGTCTTCAAACTGTCCAAAAACCCGGCTCCATTACCCAGATTGACTGATCTCAAGCTGTACGTGGTTTATGGTTTAAACGAAAAAAGTCACAAGCGATGTCAAGTGCTGATTAGTATCATTGATTTCATGGTTCATCACAAGCAACTCAATTCCATTGTTGTCGGATTCCAAATGACAGACAACAACAAAAAGTTTCAACGTGCTGAAATTGCTTGCTGTGAAAATTGCTCGAAATTTGTTGACACCGACCAAGAATCAAGCGACGATAATAGTGATGGTGATGAGGAAGCCGAAAACTCAACACCACCCAAAAATGTGGCCGATTTAGGTGAAATTTTGCACCCCTTCACAACAGTGGTCGAACACAAATTCAACGGTGCATGGAAAGCAACATTCTACATACATAAAATGCCAAACAAATTGATACCTGTGATCGAAGACGTCTTCATATGTGTTGCATTCAAAAAGAATCTCATCAACTAAATTATATCATTCCTTTTCATCTGTTTTTATTTTAAGTCTTCATTATTATTATTATTACACACACACACACACATTTTCTATATCTATTTTCCTACTACATAGTCATCAACGGTATTTTTTTTCCTTTCGCTTGAACATGTTATTTCATATTCATTTTATTCCGTCATTTGTTCAACATCCAAAGTTACACCGATTTAGTATAATGGCTTCATTGTCTGGTACACTACGCCGCTATTTTGTGTCAATAAACATTTCGTTGGCTTCAAAAATAAACTTACATCGAAATGTCGATACATAAACAATTCATCGTGTATTTGTTCACTTTCCTTCTCTAAATTGAATTGCTTTTTTCCTTTTGTCCTACCTAATAGCAAACTTCGTGTCGTGCATGTGGTTCTATTGACACGCACATTTGGTAACAATCATGCCACGGTACTTTTTAATCGAAAAATTATTTTCACTTTGTTCGTACAGCAGTTTTACGGGTTGTAATTTGGATGGTGCACAGCAAGGCTTTGGTATGGTATGACTTATCATTAGATGAGCTAACTCCTGAAGAACTGCATGACGGGTCACTTCGACATGATGAGAAAACGGAAAATCACAAGATCCAGCACAATAATAGGCTTCATAGCCAGCCGGCGCAAAAATCCAATCATCAAATCGTAATTGCTTGAATGTGATGTACAACGTATGTCTTGAGCACCCTTTAAAACTGGTCGATTTCTTTGGGTGCAACAAATGATTTACTCGTGACGATGATTTCGAATTTTTCGGCTTCTTCGGCTTCAAGGAGCGGGTACTACGCTTCGAACGGCGGTGCTGTTAAAAGATAAAAGTAAAAATTGTTTTTTTTTTAATTTTAAGATTGAAGTTGTGTTTAGGTCATTTCTTACCGTGGTAGCACTGGGCAATTGCTTTAGAGACCCGTGCTTCAAAACATGACCGTTCGTTTCGTTATTTTCGAAGTAGGCAGTAATGAATGGCAAACGTTCTCCATCCGTATAGCTCAGCAGATAGTTCACACTGATGGATGGAGTGTCAAGATGACCCAATTCATTTTCATATTCAACTGTTATGTACAGCATATTGTTTGACTTTTTCTCGGTCAACCATTCCCTGAACGTTGATGTGGTATTGATTTGAATCCATCCTTCGAAGCCGACGGTCGTTTCGGCCGTTTGAATCGCATGTAACTCTTTAACACTAAATCAATAATACCAGACAATAGACAATGATATTTGTTTCGAAACCCACCAGAAATGTACAGTTCTACATATATATTGAAAAGGACTTACCCATTCGGAAAAGTTAGCGCATAAATAGTAATCACGCATGGATTCGAAGCAAAATGTTTTTCCGGCAGTTGTCGTTTAAATAGATGCAATTCACTCATCATTAGCTCGATTCCATTTAAATGTGCCCCAGATAGATCGAACGATAAGCGAGTTTCATTTTCAGGATTTGGAAATGCATTACCTAGAGTGTGTTGTTAAGAATTCAAGAACAATATTAAAAAAAATGTCTATGTATCAGAGATCAGAGCGTATTTTGAGCTGATGTCAGCAGCATTTTACAGTATAAAAACGGAATCCAACAAGGTATCTAGCCATTGGCGATCACATTTTTATACTGCAAATGAGTTAAAACAACTCAACGCATACTCGTCAGTAGCTGATATCAGCAACTGATGTTAGTTAGTGCTGATGACATCAGCTCATAGCACGCTCTACTATGTACTTAGTGCCTCTTTGCCGCATTACTTACGATTATTCATAAATGTCATAATAGTGTCACTCAGTTCGATGATTCTATCATGTTCATCGGTGAATCCGTCGTTTTCCTCATTCAACCGATTTTGCTTGAGGTGTAATCGTTCATCTTCGTCTTCACTCAACCGCTCATAGATTTTCCATAAAAATTTTGGCACCGATTTATGCGATTTCCTGTAACTTTTTCGATCGGTCATTAGCATCGATGGAACTTTCATTTCTTAGGTTTGGACACTCAGACTCTGAGTTGATGATTTTTTTTTTCATTGAACTTACCTTGCAGTTGATCGATTGTGATGAACTTTATGGTGAAAGTGTTCACGCTTTGGCAGTCCAACCATTTCCAGAATATGGCTTCTGATACGCTGAATGTCGGCTCGTGGAATATTTTTCTTCTTAATCGTCTGATCAATCCCATTATCACCATACAGCCCAGAAAAACCGAGCACAATCTCACCATACATTTGGAATGTAATTATAATTAACGTCCAAAAAACCATAGAACTTGTTCCAAACATATTTTCTTTGCATTCAATTCAAAAGTGTGTTGAAAAACTTCGTCAATTTTTTTCTCAGAAAAATGTCGGTTGCTTCTTCGATTACTCTATTGTAGCTATCACTCTTGGTCTCCTGGTTTGTTTGGCTGTGATGTAAGTAGTTTCACAGACAAAAGAGTACTAAATTGGCTCATGGTTCAGGCTGCTCTATATAACGAACATTTTCATTACACTTGTACGAGCAATAGCACCATCTCGCATACCGTTGTGACAAACATTTTGCTTATTATTATGCACATTTGTAGCCTGATATACTTACAGTTAATCCGTTTGAAAAATAATCATATTTTCAAAAAGTTCCGATTATGCATAGTTTTTAATGACCAAATCCTCATATTTGCAACACTTTACCTGCTCCGTATAGATTAAACTCTCGAACCAAAGGTCAAAAGGCAAAATAAGTTAAAAAAATGCGTGCGTTTTAACTGTTTGAAATGTGTTCTTGTACCAGTTTATTTATGATATTTTTTAGTAAATGTTGGAAACACAATATTCAGTAAATATTCATAAAGGGGCCTCTAAAAATGCGTGTGGCTTTTCCAAGAACAAATTCTACGGTGTCTCTTTGCCTTACAATAAAAAGATATTCTTTGTTTGTTTTTTTCCCCAATGTTTTTGCACACATATATTTTGCAATTGTTTTCTTTTTATGTGGAATTTAGTGTGAGGGATTTTTATTTGCAGTATATTTGGTTCGTATTTTATTTTTAGAAGTAAACTATTTCATTAACAATTTTTTTTCTCAAATATTTTTTTTCATCTCTTCTGAAAGAACTCGAAAAATGATCCAAAACAATTTTTATATATTTAGAATTGGGCAAATACATACGGACTTGTTTTTTTTTCTTTTATTGTTGCATAAACTATTTTTCACTTTGCGTTTTGTTTGTTGAGTAAAATTGTGTGCAAAATGAATGTTGTTCTACTATATCTTTATCAGTTGAAATATCGACAATGTTTAGCAGTAAAATGATTTTAAAAACGGGGCGAGAATAGAAACAATTTAAAAAAGACCACAGTATTGAGTGTTCGTATGCTGTGGAGCACAGATCAATTGAGATTGATGCAATTCCCATTTTCGGTGGCTTTTGTTTATTCAAGTAAATTTATGTCAAGTAATTGTCGTTGGCACCATCATCGGTGCTCTCATTTTCATCCACATCGGCATCGTTTGGCATCTCGGGAACGCGAATATTCGATAAGAAATCGCGCATCGCGTCCACAACGGATGTTAATGAATTCCGGAGCTCGATGAATGGCTGATTCAGTTCGTTGTTTGTAGCAGCAACTGTAGTGCAAAAGAGAATAAATTGAATTTATTTCTTCGTATTTTCCAAGGCGTTTTCTGAATCATATCCACTTACCGTTGTCAATTTCATCAATAAGTCTTAGTTCATCCATAAGGTGTTGATCATGTGCAACATTTTCATCCCATGCAACGGCCGGGTCTCGATTCGGATCAGCATTCCGAGCACCTGGTACACCCGGTATGGCTTCTGGTGCAACAAATCGGCCACCTTGTACATTGAAATTTGGTAAAAGCGATTGGAAAAACATTGACAATGGCGAAGCATCTGGCAGCAGGCGTGATTGCGGTGTCAATGTCGGCTTTGCATAAATATTGATTGAATCAAGCGGTGGAAGGGGATCGTACATCACAATTGGTTCAGTTTCTTGATTGATGAACGGTGCCAATGGCACCTTCTCTTTAAAATCAGACAGAATAATGTGGCGCAAAATTGGTCTCGGTGGTGTTTTGTACCTGAAATACCAAGAAAATGATGGTACAGAATGGCGAAAAAAAGAATGGATTTGAAACAAAAGTTAGGAGAAAAAGGGTGAATATCTTATTTTGAGAAGATCAAATAGGCAAATGAACGTTTTTTTTTTCAAATTACCGTTGACTTCTCTTGGTGCTGTACTCATTTACAATCGCATCTTTTTCATCTACTCGATCCAGCACCGTGTTCACGTTGCGTGACAACCAAGGTAAAATGTCTGTATCACGCCAAACAGTCTTTGAACGTGATACATAAAGTGATGTGAGCTGCTGCAAAGCCGCTGGTTGACTGTGAACAATTCATCAGATTAATATCAGTTATTTTCAATATAATAAACAAATAAATTTATCCCAAATAAAATATGAATTACTTGTCATATGCTGAAGACGAAATGTATTTGTGTGAATTGGCACGAGAGTCAACTTGCACCGATAGCGCATCCAGCAACGGTTTAACCACACCAGGGAACATGAGGACTGCATATTGTATTGCTTTGTCAGCCAAATCCAAATTGCCATTTTTATTTAAATAAAACAGTGCCAGTGCATATGAGTAGGCCATATTTGGCAGTTGTGATAAATTGTTTGAACTCTCCAGTTCGTCGTACAGCTGCACCAGCCATTCATATTGTTTGGCTCGTAAGGCATAATAGTCAATGACTAAAATCATGGCCAGCGGATCATTTATGGGATCAAATGTTAGAATCAACTTGGCCACCTCCAAAGCAGTGCGGGCACAAGCCCGTCCCTCCAAGTATTGAGCATGTTTGAATAGAACAATGAACAGTGCACGATTCTCTTGCCGGCGATAATCAAGTCGTGAATTGCCAGTGGTCAAACTGAACGATGAGTGAAATGCCGATTCCAATGCCAATATTGCGTGTTCGATGAGTTCAGATGCCATGGCATGATCTTCGGACATTTTGCACAGTTCACTCATTTGAATCAACGAGTCCACGTGATACGGCTGTTGATTGATAATTTTGATGATATTATCTGAGTCCATGCTCTCGACGGCAGCCAAGAATTTCTGTTGCAATTGACGATAAGTCACACTATGCTCAAACACAAACCACTGCACTCCTTTGGCTGGGTTCAACCGGTTGGATGCACCGCGACTACAGGTCGATTCATCTGTTTCATTCGATTTCGAATAGTCAATAACCATCGAAAGACCCGTTTTTGTGGCTGGTGGCCAATTATCTTTCGGTGTCACCAACCATGTCGATTTGAATATTCGCCCACCACGGCCATTTCGACGATCATTTGAACTGCAAACATAACAAAAGCGATTGTTCATAAAGAAGTACTAACTACTCAAAGATAAATCTTGATGATGTAATCATTCTCTTTCTCAGAAATGAAATGTGATTAAAACGTTTCTTGGAAATTAAATGCAATCAACTGAAATAAACAAATCAAAAACGATTTACAAATCACTTTGAAATCAAATTCACTTACTGTTTCAACTGAACCACTTTGCTGCCAAACATTCGTTTCATTTCAAACGATGGATTCAAGTTTTTATGCTGAATCGAAAGCAACGCCTTGGTTGATAACAAGTTCGTGTTGCTGGCAGCCGATTGGTTTGCTGGAAGCGGTGTATTCTCATCGTTAATCGTGTGATAATGAAAGCTCTTGAAGGTGCGAGCAAGTTCATCGACCTACGCAAAATCCAATGTAAACAAACACATCTTCTTTTTATTATGACTGACACAAAAATCACGGTGATACATTAAAGTAAAACACATTTGCTGCCATGCATAAGCACCTCGCACGAATATATGTGTGAATATAAAAATAGAACCAAAAAAACACATTTTCATACGTACATCAGCATTATCTTCGCTACTCCGATGATATCCACTATGTTTTCCACTGCGTTTCTTGCGCTTCTTACGTTTCTTCTTTATGTCCGGATTTGGTGTAGCGGTCGAATTGTGTTCGGTTTCATTGTCATCCTCTTTCACTTCACTTTCCGACATCGACTGTTGGAACTGCAAACATTCAAAACAAATAATTACGCATTGGAAAAAAAATTGACTCTAAAATAACACACGTCCGATTAATTTCATTGTGAACCGACGACCAAAAAAGAACATATTTTAATTGCGACGTTGTATTATTATTTGGTTCGCTCTTCTACGGTAGATGTTTCGTGCGCATGATAAATATTGCACAACAATAACAAAAACAACAACAATAACATCAGCTGAGTGCTGCCTGTACATTATAATCAAACACAAATAATCGTAACCAAATAAAAAATGCCATAGAAAATGAACGATTCGGTGACGATAATGCCAAATTAATTTTAATTTGAATAAAAAGGTGCGTGAATAATTACCAAATCGTATCGATTTCCATCAAATTGCTTCTTACGAGCTCCGCTGCTGCCAATGAAACTGTTGTCATTATCGAGATCGGAGGCGTCTTGCTCGCGAACTTCCAAATCATTGTCGCCATGCAACTTCTTCAAAACACGTGAGGACATCTTTATCGCATTGCCTTTTGTTCTGGCACATCCAAAATCCCAAACACCCTGATTGTTTCGTTCCCAATATTTTTAGGTCAACCAATGACACGGTGACACTCTTAATATGTCAATTCCGTTCTGGAGCTTCACACTTTTACCCAACACTTTGTGCACTTGTTTACAAATTGAAATCGTATGAGTGCACTACCTTTCTTTCGGTCACAATAGTAATTAACCTTTTTTCAGTAAATTCCACTTAATCCTGCTAGTTAGAAATTCTACTAAATAACAATAATATTCTTAGTCGAGCATATGGTTTTTTCTCTCCGTTTTCATCGATAATTTCTGACAAAAATAATTTTTCACTGACAAAATGACACGAAAAATGTATGTGTTCACTGTTCGAATGCTTTTAATAAGCTTGTAAATTTTCTCCAAAGAATTTTCGCTTTTGATGCGTTTCCCCGTAAATCAATGTGTGTTTTTCCTTCAGTCAGAAACATCGACTGCAAATATAGATGAAATTGATGACAAAAGACTAAAAAAGAAACTCACACACCATCAAAACCAAAGAGATCCAGTTCATCACGACTGTTGTCTCGTTCGTTCGTATGCAGGCTCTTATGATTTGTTCACTCTATAAATAACATGATATCAGTACAAACGACTCTACATGCAGTGAATCGAGTGTCGGTGGCTGCGCGGCACAATACGTGCAAATTACGACATGAAAACATTTCAATCATTTACCTTTTGTCAAAAATCTAACTCACAGTGTGTTTGACCGTAGCGCCATCTCTTGACGGTCGACAAAAACAAACAAATTTTAGTACACAAATTTGAATGATGTGAAATTTTTGGTTTAAAATTATCTTATCAGTGGAAAAATACAGCTCTTTGTAATTCATCAAATCGATTTTATTGGTTTGAAAAAAATATCTGCAAATTCGTCACATTCAAAGTCAATTTTCATCACTTTGTTGCAAATTTGGTTTCGATTATGCTTTTGCCACAGCCGAATTGTCTTCGATCCATTTTTTGTGTGAAAATACTTTTGTGTAAAGATTCGGAAGTTTTTCGGGACCCCTTGTTGTAGCCAAACCATAAAGTATATTATTTGCAACCAACGGGTTGCCTTCACAGCCAGGATTAAAGCTATATCCTTGGTTGTTCACCGTGCAAATAATATCGGTGATATTGTAAGGGGGTCGATCACGATAAAACGTTTTGCCGTATAGGTTTTTGCATTCATCCATTGGAATCATCGAGGTTTTGTGGTAATGTAATTGATCATCTTTGTATACTATTGGAAAGTGGTCAGCAACCTAGACAAAATATAAATCAATATTTTTTCGCATAATTTTACTCATCTTAAATTGTAGTTTGCTTCATCGACTTACTGGTTTGAGGGCAAAATCGAAACCACTCGATAGAAGGATTCCGTCAAACACGTCTCCATTCGTTGGAAGTGCAATTGGTTGAACATTAGCAGAAAATTCAATTTTTCGTCTTACTCGTACCAACGCAACATCGTGATGTATTTCACCAAAAACAAATTCTTTCGGGATTTTTATTTCGGAAATTAATCGTTTGTGCTGCACATTACGAGTATTCGTTGTGCCAAGATATATGACCAATTTATTCAGCTTTTCGACATATTGGTGAGTGGCTTGGGCACTACTTAAAATGTACCATTCATTCAGGATAGCACCACCGCATATAGGATGACGGTTTGGATAATATAAGAGAACTTGATATTTGAAATCACCTTCTTTCACATCAGTTCCTTCAAGTACATCTTTGCCAGTTGATGGAGCTGCAAACGCCAATACAAAACACACAACCGCGAATAGAGCACGATTCATTTTAAAATAAATCACTTGTTCAATTGTAGCTCCTTAAAATACACTTGATTTTATACCTCTGGTTCACGGCGGTTCTACACGCATTGTAACAATAAACATACATTGGATTTTTTTAAAATTCCTAAAGATTATACTGATTTTAATTGATTATCAGAAAATGACGTTGGACGTTGACTCTCCACTCTCTAGACTGTTGTTTGGAAAATACTTGAAAGTGCCCACTTATATCTACAATGTATGAGACGTAAGTATTAAATGAAAGTTGAGTGATACGCGGCAACTCTTGTTAGAATGCTACACGTTGTTCTTTGTATGAAGATTTAGACAAGAGAATTCGATAATCTGCCAACAAAACACACTTCAAATATATTTGCAATCGGTAGCTAGTCGAAATGACTATTGAATTTGATTGTGAAATATCGATTGAATTCATACATTTGTTTCCAGATAAATTCAATTTGAAACAATAACAAGACAAAAAACGAATGACTGTAGGATAAGTAGGCTTATCAAATGGAATCAGTAAAATTATAGTAACCATTGTAATGTAATAAATCAGTTTTATGCTATTAGTCCTAAAATAAAGACTTATATTTAGCTAATTCTCTACATGACAATATTTATTATCAACGTCGAGGGAAGAGACTTTTACTTGAATTTTCTCGATTAAATCGTGCCTTCTCAGAAATATTAAAAAATAATTTCAACAAAAAATTAATAAATTATTGATGTTTTTACAATTTGTTTGTGGTTTGTAGCAGAATAGCGAATATAAATAGAATTTGGATATGAAGCTCCTGTATTTTGAACGAAAGTTCGTATTCAATTTTCTGTCCAAAAGATTATTGTACGTTTCAAAGTGATAACTGTAAGTACTTCAAGATGAAGCGGTTTTTATTCGTCGTTTTGAGTTTAATTGTACTTACTTCACAAATAAAAACGGAAAAAATTCGTGGCATCAGCGCCATATGTATGAAAAGAAATGTTCACCTCATTCTGAAATGCGATACGATTTGTATACGTGCCTTTTTAAAACCTAAATTAAAACTAATGGAAACAACGTCTGTATTGTAATATGTATATGTTTATTGTCTTTTGCTATATCGTTTTTATTTATGAAGAAAAACTAACTTAGAAAAGAAGGAAAAATATGAAAAATAATTAATATTCCAATTATTAGAAAGACCTGCAGAATTCGTGTTCTATGTGCCAATTTGTTGTGTTTTTACGTTTTAACATGACCGGGAAAAAATCTCTTCCTGACGAATTAATCCACCGACTTTTGGTGTATTTTAAGGACCAGTCAGTGCTTAGACACTTTTGTAGATATGTATATTCGGAATCTTCGGAAAATTCAAACTCAAAAACAGTAAGTTGTTTGAATATAGTCATAATATGTTGAACCTTAGAACTTGAAATAGGACAAAAAGCTAACACTTCTAATTCAACCAAAAATGGAAAGTTTTTTGTGATTATTCCTTGATTTTCTATGAGTGAGTTTACAGCATCGGGCGTATACATCCGTAGTATTAGTGTTTTTATTGATTGAATTTTCGGAAACAAACCATCAAAATATTCGAACGGTT